GAATCCAACTAAACTTTGCACAGCTTGCGCTCCTTCGGCGGTCCTGCCTTCTCACCCCTCTGTGCAGCAGCTGCTCTTCAGCTGCCGCTGTACATCCACACTCTGGACTGGCAGCCCCTGTTCCGCGATCTGCGCGATCGCATTCCAGAGACATATACATATACATATATATATATATACACACAGAGGAAGGATCAGCGGCTTCAAATTGTCCACGGAAGCGTTGCCGCCAGATCTGTGCGCAGCCAATCAGAATCGACGCCTGGAGCCACTTGCAGACGACAGTTGCCGCACGACGGCGCGGCACCCTAGAGTCTAGAGTCTAGGGTTTCTGGTTCCAGGGTTTCTGAGTTTAGGGTTTTCTGGTTCCAGGGTTTGGGGTTGAGGGCTTCAGGGTTTCTGGGCATGGGGTTTCCGGGTTTGGCCTCCAACAACTCAACAGCCTGCAATCCCTCTTCTAAGAAGCCTGACAAGCCCTTCTTTTTGAGTCGGCCGAATTGTACGTTGTCCAGTCATAAGGTACAATTCAGCCGACCCGGCCCCGGGGTACCTTTAAGGGTTCCTTTTAAGGGGGTTCCTTTAAGGGTTCCTTTTCCTTTAAGGGAGGGCTTAGGGCTTTGGGTTTAAGGCTTTACATTTAGAATTACGGCTTTAAGGGTTGGGGGTTTAGGGTTTTGGAGGGATGAGGGCTGGGGGCTTAAAGGAACCCTTAGAGGAACCCCCTTAAAAGGAACCCTTAAAGGTACCCCGGGGCCGGGTCGGCTGAATTGTACCTTATGACTGGACAACGTACAATTCGGCCGACTCAAAAAGAAGGGCTTGTCAGGCTTCTTAGAAGAGGGATTGCAGGCTGTTGAGTTGTTGGAGGCCAAACCCGGAAACCCCATGCCCAGAAACCCTGAAGCCCTCAACCCCAAACCCTGGAACCAGAAAACCCTAAACTCAGAAACACTGGAACCAGAAACCCTAGACTCTAGACTCTAGGGTGCCGCGCCGTCGTGCGGCAACTGTTGTCTGCAAGTGGCTCCAGGCGTCGATTCTGATTGGCTGCGCACAGATCTGGCGGCAACGCTTCCGTGGACAATTTGAAGCCGCTGATCCTTCCTCTGTGTGTATATATATATATATATATGTATATGTATATGTCTCTGGAATGCGATCGCGCAGATCGCGGAACAGGGGCTGCCAGTCCAGAGTGTGGATGTACAGCGGCAGCTGAAGAGCAGCTGCTGCACAGAGGGGTGAGAAGGCAGGACCGCCGAAGGAGCAAAAGATGCGCACAAATGATCTCGTTGCCATGGCGTCAAAGACCAACTGGTCAAGTTTAGTTGGGTTCGGGCTTAGATACTCAAGAGAGAGAAAGAGAGAAAGAAAAAAACGTCAAAGGAGAGACATCGAGAGAAGATGAGGGAAAGAACAAACAGAAGGGAGACAGTCAGATAGAAAAGGGGGGGAGAGAGGGGACAGAAAAAAAAAGATATTCACGAAAGAGAGAAAGAACAGAAGGAGAGAGAGACTGAAAAAAGAGAGACACAATCAAAAGGGAGAGAGAGAGAGAGAGTGCGCAAGCACGAGAGCGCGAGCGAGCGAAAAAGGGAGAGAACCGGAGAGCCGAAGCGATGATGATGTGCAGCCGGGAGAAGCGGCAGGATGTGGGGAGGTCGCCGCCACCTAATGACCACTTTCGCATGCACATACCAAAACACAACATAGCCTCCGGAATAATGTACGACAAAGGGGGGTCATCGTACATTACCGTCAATATGTAAATTAGCAGCCTGGTGTACGGGCACCCTCGTTGTACATTAGTTGGGCGCCCCCCTTGCTCAAGGAAGAAGCCCCAAGGCTCTAAAGGAACGAGAGAGTATGCGTAGTAGGCGGTGTACTTGATTGACTTGCCTTGGAAACCAAAAGCTTCAGTGGCCTCGTACCAGACCCTTGCGCATGGGGGTTTGCCGGGCCTGTCCTCCACAATGCTGCAAAAACGGATACGAGTGTTTAGATTCGCTGCTCCATACTTCCAGCGCAGAACACACATTCAAGACCACGGGAAGAAGCAAAGACCGCCTCAACGTGCAAAGCTGTCGGAATGGGTAGCGCGGCGGGCCCTGCAGCACTGGAGAGATCAAATCATCCTCACACGGGTCCTTTGTCAGCTCTACTGTCAGCAGCACTTCTGTCCCGTGGGGCTCCACTATGTGGAAGTCCTTCAGGTCACGAAGGATCATGGCTTCAAGACTGTGCAAGGCATCAGCTCGAAATACATAGCAACTAGGACGGCCGGCCAAGCGCGTTAGTCTGAGATCTCCTGCTCTAGAAACAAACCCCCGACGATAGGCATTCAGCAGTCCCGGCCATGCAACGTGCTCCCATCCGCATTCACGGCGACCTCCGCGGACGTCGCCTCCCACGGCGGCTTCTTTGATTGAAGACGTCAACGGTCTGTAAATATGAGAAGACTCCCTTGGAGATTTGCAAAATTCAATGCTTCAGATCAAATCCCTCCGGCGATAAACAATTCTCTCTGGCTTTGAGACGGATTTTGGGCTCCTTGACATGACAGTGGCAAGCATGGCCCAAGCATTAAGGTATCACATCTGTATATACATATACATACACACACATATATATATATGTATATATACATACATACGTATGTAAGTATGTATATATGTCTCTGTGTGCGTGCATGTATGTACACGCATACACACAAACATGCTTCTGTATGTATGAAGCGCTCCGTGCATGTGTGTTTGCACACGGCTCGCAAGATTCGGCTTCCTTCGTTACAACATGTCTTGACGTGCCCCTGTCTGCCCATCCTTGCAGAAGTTCAACCCCTCATCCTCATCAAAGCCCGAGCCCATCCCCGGACATCAGCACAACTCACTCGACGTTCGAAGGCCTCACGATCCCCTGGCACGAGGATGTTCTGCGCGTTCCACGCCTTGTCGACGCCCTGGCCGGGCTGCAGCGGGTAAATGTTGCCTAGATTCTGAGACTCTTCCTGGAGCTCTCTAATTTTTACAAGCGTTCAAGACAGGTGTAGGTGAGCTTTCACATTCACTGCGGAAGCTCAAGGCCCTCAGAGGGGCGAAGCGCCAGATGCTGCTTCGCGGCGGCGGGCACAAGACGCCAGTCCCAGAGCTTGTCGGCACTGAGGATTTGGAAGGACACAGAGACCTAAAATCGATTGGGAAAGCTTCAACCCTTTGACCAAAAACTAATCGACCTAGGTGGAGGAAGCATGGTCGTCCAATCCGTGCCCTTCATCGCCCGCCAAGGTTTCATGGTTGAATGTCATCTCGAATTGCGACGGGTCCTGTGCTGCGCATTTCTTGCGAAATGTCGAAGGCTTCGCGCACATGCAATAGACGCAACATAGATAAAATAGTAAATTGTGTCCTCGGCGAAAGCCATTACTCAGTAACTCCCAAACACCATGATGAAACCTCACAGGAGCACATACTCCAAAAAGTCTCTGAACCTTGGGTTTTTAAACCCCGGCTTGAAACTCCGGAAACTTCAACGCAAAACCGAACCCAAAGGCTGCCGAAAGGCAAACACGAACTGCCAGCTGATGGGCATTCCTCGGGCCAAGGGCTCAAGCTCTGCGGGTAGTTACGCTCTTGCTCTCGGAGAAACGGGTTATAAGGTTTGCGGGTTCACAGGGTTTCGAATGCAATTGCTTCTCGATTCCGGTAGTTCTCACGATCCGCCTGATTGCATCTGGTGGTAAGTGTTGGTCTCGATGCTTAGTTGTCTACTGCTGCTGCTACAGCCGTACGAAACTGTGCTATGGTATACACTACATAACACCACATGAATGTCACGTTGCATGCGTGTAGCATGCGCAGCTATACCTCACAACCCCACTGCATTCTGCGATGCTTTGTTTGCATCGAAAATCCAAGGCGAACTTGGCTCTGAAACTCGATGCATCTATTGGTCGTGGTGCTTTTCGGACTGCGACCGTCCCCTGAAACTTACCTGTGAGAGTGGAGATCATGACCTCTCGACAGAATGTTGAGAAACTGTTCGCAGGCAACCCGTGACCGTGCAGAAGTGCCTAACTTGAATGAGGTTGACCCATGGTTTTGGCTTTTCTCGACGAAGGCATCAAGTAGCCAGGGGCAGATGTTGAGGTAAATTAAGTGTGCGAGCTTGAGAAGCCTGAACGAAAGAATATAAACACTGCATCTTCAAAGGCCTGGCTTGTCGTCTCCAGATGCGGGTTGCAGTCTCACTGCCAGCTGGTGGATAACCTCGGATCACGCTACGTCGTAACCATATGGAGCAGCTTGCAGGGCTCCAGAAACGAGCTGTAAGCTGTTGCGCCACCTTTTTGAATGTAAGTCCCCAACCTCCCACCTCGGGCTTGTTCATGCAGTTGACACGAGGCAAAGCCGGTGGCACGAAGATGTGGTGCAGGGTAGTGGCTTTACCACGGACTGCACACAAGAGATACGCGAGGACAGTGTACTTATGCTCGCATGTAAGTTTGCATCTACATGTGCCCGTACGCATGATGTACAAAAGGGCACTCTGAGATCTGTATTCTCGTGCTCCCCATGTACGCAATCACTTCGGTATCCTTACGTTAAGGTTCTCTATGTATACATGTCAAGTCATCCACAGACATGCCATTGCTCTTTCACGCAAGCAGAATCAATGCCCGTCCTTTGCAAAGGCAGCTACTTGTGTGCTGCGAATTCGCGTGATATCAAACAACTGCCAGGCACTGCTGGCCAGATCACCATGCTCCGATCCGGATTCTCGGAGCCACGCACGCGGCTGTGCCCCAGTCAAGATTAAGCGAAGTATGATCATGAACACGGAACTCGAGGCCCAATTCCAGTCTTGTGCATTAGCCACGTGACGTGTGTGAATGTGGGTGTGGCACGCAGGTTTCGCGACATCCACTGAAAGCCCCGGTGCTGAGGCGCCGCTACACTAACTCACTCTGCTACGGAGTGGTAGTTCGCCGCAGCCATGGCCAGTCATCGAGAAGCCTCCATTGCGTTCTTCTCCGGGTTCTCTCTGAAGCCGAAGGGGTTGAAGAGTCTTTCTCTCAGTTCGCGGAGTCCTGGGCCAACTCTGGAGGCAGCTCCTGCCAAATTCGTCACCCAGGAGGGAAGCTCTCCAACCCCCAAAAGCTGGCAGAGCTCGTCGGCGAAGTGCGTGCAGTTCTTGTTGAGCAAGTCGTACCTTAAGGCCGAAATGAACCCTGAAAACATTTCAGGTTCACATAAACCCTGAAAGAGTTTCGGATATACAGGGATTCATAGTACAGAATAATGGTTCAGGCTCATTTGGTCTTCAAGGAACTGCCGACCACGCCATCGCTTGGCCATGTCGGCAAGGAGCATCTGCACTTCGAAGGGGGTGAGGTCCGTGTTGCCCATTTGAATCGATTCCCGGTATGAATGCTGATCGCACTCTCCTGGTGGGTTTTCAAATATGCCAGGACCCCATGGCGTTAGCCCGTAGCTCCACTCTCTACCATGAACTTCCACGGCAGCATGGAAGGCACCCGTGCCGAAAGGGCGCAATAAGCCGTTAACAACCTGCATCGGCGCGGTGCCTGTCACGTCATAAATGTGGACGATGACTGGCGACGGCGCAGCAGGAGGGCAGCAAAGACTGCCCATCTTCTATGAATACCAACAGAAATCTAAGCTTCACCGTTGCGGCCGATGACTTTGGGCACGAACGGTTTGAGCCACTGCATTTAGGCAGGGTCAGTATCCTTTCATGTGGCTACCGATGTGTTTCCTGGTAAGAATACTAGACTCAGAGAGCATAGCGCCGATGTCACAAATGCACCCTGCCATAATTTGTTGCACAATAACAATAGCTCGAATTACAAGCTCTAATACTTCAGCAAGCAATAGCAGGTAGATGATCAGTAATGTCATTGCCACAGGTTACAACAACTGTTGCAGCATGATGGTGGGTAGCTTCTCATACCAAGACCTCGATGGTGCACCACTTCGCGGTTGATGTGAAGAGTCTGGCCGAGGTGCTTCATTGCCGTCGCTGCCGACTGCGCTGAAGCGAAACCCCTGCCATGCTCAGAGCGGATCGAGCAGACTGGATGCTTTTCGGAGAAACTTCAAGCACACAGCTTCCAAGAAAGAATACGGAAGGCCCTGCGGAGGATTCAACGATCCCCACAATCCCAGGGACATCTGTTGCGCATGCGAACTGCTAGCCAGAGAGGGCCTGGCTCAAGCTCCAGCTGTTGGAGTCGCAAACCAAAATGAGCGGCTCTTGGCATTCGCTTGGTCCTTTTTGCAAGGATCTTGATTCCGGGCTTGTTACGGGGCCCCAAATGCAGCGGGGCGTTCCGGCTAATTTGCTGCTTGAGTCTGCTGGTCAGTCGGAGAACACATCTGGTACCAATTCCACAGCTCCAGACTCGCACCCTGCTAGATGCCGAGGCCCAGCTTGACATCATACTGCCCTAAGACCCTAAGAGCAAGCCACGGGCGACGTCCTGCCGCGGCGAGCGCAGTTGGTCGTGCAAGTGGTGTCGACACAGCGGTGAAGCTCGGCTTTGCGAGCCCCTGGCAAATGTACCTGAGTCTCCAATATGCCGCACCCTGCCTTTCACAGCGTCAGACAAAGCCGGGATGCCACAGCGTAACGCTCCCCGCCGGTTCCTTCCCAGACATCGCCAGGTGCAGTGTGATGCCTCGGTACATCTGGTTAAGCTTCCACTTGGGTGCACTTTCGCTGCCTATGCACTTTCGCTGCCTATCTTCATCTTGCATCATGCAGGAGCAGGAGCAGCGGCAGTCGTGGTAGTCGTAGCACTAGCAGCTCGGTAGCAGTCTTTTCAGCATCGGCCTGGTCTGCGTAGTGTAGTTCTCGCTATCTGTTTCAGCGACTACAACTTGTGATACGATTTTGTTGAACATCTGGACGACCCACCGAACACCGACGATTGAAGCGACTTTGTCCCGCAGTGCTTAAGCGAACTCAACTCATCCGATGCATGGCTTCCATGAGTCAGGGCCCTCCTATTGCAACAACTCTCTGTCAGATAGAGGTACTGATGTTGCGGCCCCTTCAGTTTGTGACAAGGTGCGGCTTCCCAGAAGCTCGTCGATCCAAAAGAAGGACCGCTGCCTGCAGGTGCTGTTCGACTCGACTTCAATGCGGAATAGGCTCCATGCAAAGGCCCCGGATCGTGAATCCCTTCTGGAAGCTTAGACTACCGCACGCGTGATACGTGCACTGGCATCAAGTGTAGACGTATTGAAGGCCACACTGTCACACCCTACATCCTCGACTCAGGCAAAACTGGACATCAGCCGCCTCGCATCCCATGACGCCCCAAGCCGCACGCTCGGAGCCATCTTGTAGCTGCCGTTCGGGGATGCCTCTCTGAAGCGCTTTCGGAAGGCTCGGGGTTTGCTGAATTAAAAATTTGGCAGCCTTTTCAGCGAGGTTTTAGAAATATGCGTGGCATGATGGGTGGACGACCTGTTACGACATCGGGAACCACAGTCGTCTCTACAGACCTTTGGCAAGAGGCCAAAGCACTTGCCTCTTGATTGCATGTATGGCCTTCTGATCCTGCTGGCTCCGCTTTTCGTAAACCGTGTTTCTGCCGCACTTCCCCACCTCATCCGAGCAGAGGCATCGAGAAGGATCGCTGAAGCGCACCACTTGAAACATACCTGCCCACGGACCCCATGGACATTGCGATTCTTGTAGACCCTGCCCTGAGCAGCGCAGGAGGCGTACTGGCTCAACGCCATCTCCCCTAACCCTCTTTTACACAGGTTCACCGGACTCGCGGCGAGATGTGCAGGGCTAAGTACGCACGATCCCACTATCCTACGAGCTAGTCTGTCGGATACTCTGAACTCCGAACTCTAAACCTGAAACTCTAAGCCCTCAGGGCACTTCGCCACCGAGACCTTCTCTTCGCGCGACCTCCCTCTGGCGGAGCTCCACCGAGGAGAAAGTTGAGCTGATAAGTTCTCCTCGGCTTGTGGCGGCTGCCTAAGTTACTGACAATAACCTTGATATCATCATTAGTAAAAATAATGATAACAATAATTATTATCACAATAGCAGCAGCAGTAATACTACAAATAAAAAGTAACAATGATGCACAGAAATAAACCGCATCACAATAATGGTAACAATCCCGGGGCCAATGACAACAATCAATATGTTTGTAGCGCAACAATGACAACGATCCGAAAAATAATAGGAATAACACTATACCCCAGCGACACTAAAAATCATTTTGGGAATGATAGGCATGGTTAGGGCTTGGCTTGGCCGTCGCGAACTTGCGGGGGATGCGGTCAACTCAAGCTGCCGCTCGGCCTAGAACATCGAGCCACACCATCCCGACTAGAAGTAGTGCCAAATAATCACTTCAGGCGGTAGGCGGCCTAGGTCAGATTTCGGAAATTGGACGCACGCGCAAGGAAGCGTGTCGCACACACAGAAACCTCGAAATCAAACTCAGCCCCTGCAGGATGATACCCAACCTTCCGTGAAAATAGTGCCCTTAACCTCATCATAAACCCTGCTTCGAACCAGCTGAACCCAGTTCTAAACACTCCAGACCCAGTGAAACCAACCTCTGTGCTTCAAGCGGCCCGGAAGATCCCTCATCGTCACAGGGCTCGAACACGAGCCTTGGGGAGGCTGGAAGCAAGTTAACATGATATGATATAAGTTTAAACAAGTGTAACTAGACTCGTGCTTATAGATATACTTGTCACTAGTTTGAAGACTATGGCAAGATGAGGCATAGTAAAGCTTAGCAAACATACAAACAGGACACACCATTAGGGACATATCTCATCATAGCAAAGTACTGTACTGCACTGAACACTGTTTCAGGTCTACCCCCAAGATGTAGAAGGATCTGGACTAAGCCGTATAACTTTGTTGGATATCACGGGCTGCTTCCTGAAAGCTGAATGTTTGTCAAAAGCGAGCTCTAGCTGCGGATCGTGTGCACTACGACTCTTCCTGTAGCAGTCGAGATTACCACGCGCTGTCGATCTTATCGCAATGTATTTGTTCCTACGCTCTGTTGTTCAAAAATCACGAGCATGCTCACTATCATTATGGGGGCTGTTGCTCTTGTTGTCGATGTTGTTGGTATCGACAGGTTTGCGATTGATGTTGTAGCATCAGATAGTATCAGCAAGCCGTTCGCGGCAGACAGCAGCACTATCCACAGCCATAGTTCACAGGACGTCATGAAGGTCATGACGCTAACAGCACAGAACGAATAGCCATACACTGGGATTGTTGTGGGCTTTCGGCCGCTACAGGCTCGCTAAGGTGCTTCAAGCGACCAAAGTCAACACATGGACGGAGACGTCGAAGCTGGCTTGACACACCAATCCATGTGGACTGCCGCCCAGGCAGCCCAACTGCGCTGCACCCAGGATGAAACCGCTGAATCCCAACTCCTACCCCCCTGCATCCCAAACACCCCGCATGGACTGAAGGAGGCCACCAAGCGGCTCGGAGCTTGCAAGGTCCCAGGCATTAACCTGCCAACGCTGCACGAACATGCGTATGTGTATATATATATATATATACAGAGCTATACGAATACCCAGATAGATACCCAGATATCAGATTTACATATATACATTTACATATAGCATATCTGTAACAGTATGCGTACATAGATATATCTATCTATATATATATATATATATACATATACATATACATATATATATATATATATACACAAACAAACGGATAGACAGGCACGTTGACACCAGGTTCTTCTCTCTACAAGTCTCGGCGTGGAGGACCTGGTCTTTGAGAGATGTAAATGCTTTTCTCGCACTTGCGAATTCGGGCGGAATCGGGGCTGCTGCAGTCTCTCGCGTTCAAGCCTTCGTCCAGTCTTTCTCCTAGGCCTAGGCTTCACCCGAAGGTGCTAGTTGCTAGCTCCGAGATCATGGACCAAGATAACGGTCTTAGGACTCCGGTTGTCTGGCACCTCTGCCAGCAAGCACAGCTTGTCGGACCCCTCCTGCTGCACCTGCGGCTGAAAGCACCCTGTATGAAACCCTCCCCGCTCACGATGCTTTTTCTTCGTGGCATCGGCTTTGGCGACATCCAGACTATGACTCAGCTCTTCCTCCGCAAGCCTCCCCGCCGGATGAACTGTTTACCTATCTGGTTCCCATCGACGCGTCTCTAAGCGGGTGAGCATGGAGAAAGACAGAAAGAGGCCCCGACTCGACTCCAGGTCCCAAGTCTCCAAACGACGAAACCGGAGGTGCTTCAGCTCTGTGGGCCTTCTGGCCCTCCATCTTGTTTCGACCATGCTGCAAGTTGGATTTGGGCCGGGGAATCGAAAAAAGAAACTAGCGTCGCTGTGCTCGTGGGCCAGGGATGCTTAGGGACCGGGCTTTCTACAAGGTTGGCGGCTTGTCCCGTCCTGGGCAGCTTCGGAGCCGGAACAGGTTTAGGGGTTCAGGGTTTAGGGTTTAGGGGTTTAGGGTTTAGGGTACTAACTACTGCGACGCAAACCCTACAAAAACCTGCTTGCAGCTTGTGTTGCTGTTCGCACTGAGCCTCTGAGCCACACAATGAGCGCAGGACCTTGCCTCCAACAGTCATGCTTTGTCATGCTTATTACTGAGCCTAGGCAACGCTCCGAGCCGTGGGACCCCTACAAGAAGAACTCCTACATGAGGCACACCACCTTTATGACATCACATTTCAGAAAAAACAAAGCTCTGAGCCCCCTCCCCAGAGCCCAAGCCCGCCGCCGTCTCGATGACGCTCCGAGTGCGTCGAAGCTCCTCTTGCGCTTGCTCGAACTTCCTCCGGACTGAAGGCTTAAAAGGTTTAGGGATTAGGATTTAAGGTTTTCGACTCACACACTCGCACAAGGCTGGCATGGCTTCTGGCGATAAGTCCGCAAGGTTTAGGCCGGTGCTTAAGAGCAATCTGCGCGCACAAGATGTTGGGTCTTGCGATGTGCGGAGAAAAGCGTTGAGTTTGTCCCCTCGTGGAGTTTGAGTTTGGCCGTTCGGGCTCTATCATACTCCATAAGTTAAAAAGAACTTTATGGCTACAGGGGCGCATAAGGGTTCTAAGTCCCTATATAAGTATGGTATAATATACCCAGCCCTAGTCTCGTAATCAAGGTTCTAAGGCAGGACTTTCACACGATTGAAGGCGTCTTCTTGTTTTTGCTTTCGCAACTCCGGCACTCCAGGTCGGGGAAGCGAGTTCCACGGTCCCATTCTCTGAACAAAACATCCAGCCACATTGGACCAGATGGCTGCAAAGACATAAATACAAAAAGTGGCCGAACCCCCAACCACAGCGGAACAAGACACCACACGACTTGTGCGACATTTCTCGTGTCCAGACCGAAAATACTACGACAGCGCTGGGCTTACACAATACAGCTCGACATGTGCAACACCGTGTGGTCTTCTGTAGGTTGGAGTTCCTGATGCCCGAAAAAGATCTAATGTCACTACGGAGCCACGCTGCGGCAGCCTAGGCAGGTGGTGGGCGCCCCTGAGCCACCGACACACCTCTTAGGCACCACCTGGCCCGTACGGCCACCGAAGGCGTGGATTAAATCAACAGTTGACAGCATGGAAGGGCACTATCGCCCCGCGACCTCGCTCGAGCTACAACCTGTCAAACTCTCATTTAATAGATATCGTCGCCGGCCCACTTCAGCAGCGCGTGTGTAGCAGCCTTCATGGAAAACTTCCAATGCGCTCAAAGTGGCCAGTGACGACGCTCCACTTGCCCTTCTTGCCTGCATGCTCATTGAGGGCTTTTTGGATGCACTTAGCCCAGGCGAACTCATCGAATTCGAAGAATTTCGGAACGATTTTCTTCAGGAACTGTTCAAGCCTCTGACCGATACCACGGCTTTTCACGAAAATCACTTGGCTGTCCTGGTTTTCTGCATCGACTTCCGAGGTCACCTTCAGCGCGGCCGACTGCAGCAAATGCAGTTCGCACTCTTCGCCATCCGTACAAGATGCAGGGACGTCTTCTGGAAGCTCCCCTTCCCAAACATCCACCGCGCCCGCGGCGGCAAGCATGGCTAGAGAGGGCAACAACATGGCGGAAACACGTGGCATATCTGCTCAATCGGATCAAAACTGGGCCAGTTTGCGTTCCGCCTTGAGCCGCAGTAATTTTGAGTGTGTTCTTTACGGGGTGTTCTGTTCTGGTGGATAGAACGAAGGATAAGCTAGGGCTCGGGCCTCTGGAAGTGCGGTTTGATTTCTCTTTAGTACATTTTAGGGGCGCATCAGGTTTCTACAAGAGGTCTAGGTTCGGGGCTCACGGTTTACGGTTTGGTGACCCAGGCTGACCTATAAATGTCATCTTCTCTTGTGAAAAGACCATGGAACGAAGGAACTCTCTCGCGCGCGGCGCTAGTACAGTCACTTTCCAGCCAAGGCTCCCGTGCTCGAGGCACTTTCGGCAGTTCTCGATCTTGGCAGCACAGGTCGGCTGAGCACTTGCAAGGGGTAAACTCCAGTCTTATCGCAAGGTAAACGGAGGAGCTTATCAGCTCGCGATTCAAGCGAGGAGATCTTGGCAGCGCTCGAACCACCCAAATCCACACCCGAGCGCTGACCCTGTGATGCCGGAACAGCAAGCATTGGAAGCAGTTGCAGTCGATGCAAGAGGCCCCGTTGTTTGGCTTCAGGCCCCCACCCAGCTCGGCCCTCTACCTGGTCTCCATCTGAGGACAACACGAAAGGCGTAGCGGGGTGTCGCGACAGGGCCTGGCCCGGCTCCACCTTCTCGACAGGCGTTGCGGATCAGTTCGGGCATCGGGCGTTGGGGAAGGTATCAATCTGCCGGGATGGGCTTCCTTTGCTTATGCTCCGCGGGCGGCGGGCCATTCGAAGCAGACTCTATATCCGACAGTACCGGCCTGCATGCAACGATTGATGCAAGCAAACAAAAGCCAACGATCCATCACTTGATGTCGTCTTCTTTCGGTGGCTAACGAGCGGTTTGGCATCCGATCTCTGCAAGGACACTCGTCCAACTCCGCAGGTCGGGACGAAGCCGAAACTGAGCCTAACATGCCACCCATAACATGCATGTCGCTGCTGCTGTCCTGCATCACTCAAGCATCTGTATTGGAGCATCGTCTATGGCTTTGTATGATGCGCGTGCCGTGTCTCAATGCAGGCAGGATTACAAAATTACTTGTTACCATGACGAGCTGCATAAGCCTCATAGCGGCCAGGCAGGTGCTGGGGTTAGTCTTGGACGTCTTTCGCTTGCTTGGCTTGATGCCTATGTTCTGAAGCAGTCCACACCGTCTAACGATGTAGTTCTGTCGGTGAATGACAAGATGCAGCAATAAACGTCAGATGCGACCAGGTTGCATACGGGTGCTGCTGAATGATCTTCCTGAGACAGCCGATGCTCAACTGCAAGCGCCGAGCCGATACTCATCGAAGATCGTCTTGTTTTGAACTCTACATGCCTTTTTTTATGCAAGGCACGACCCAAAGAACCGTCCATGATTCTGTAGCAATGTAAGCCAGCTGGGACGATTATAAATTATGATGTTTGATCATGAAAGCCATGCATGGTATGGTTGCACGCCAGAATGTATGGTCATGTGCAGTATGTAGTGTTTTCCGTGATCACAGATGACTGCATCCAACCCATTGAACAAAACAGGCCCTCGATCTGGCGGATTGGGTAGCTATGCAGCTCTGCCACTCCAGCTGCGCCCGAATAGCAGACTCCGCAATGCTCATACCCCTGGCAAAGTGGGCTCATGCACTTGGTCACAGCGTCAGCGTCCGCATTAAGAAACAGAATTGGGGGACGAGAAGAGGGGGAGCGGAGCAACAACTTCATCCTAAACAGACTGCAGCTAACAAGCATAAAGACGCTGAAGCTAATACTATTCGCAACACTGCGCCTGCCTGCCTGCCGAAAGGATCTTCAGACCTCAAGCGCCTCAACTGCCCGAAAATCGAACATGCGGCTGCCTCGATTCAGCAGCTGCTTTGGCTGCTGTTGGGGATGCCGGCGGAGCCTGGAGCAAAGTCACAGCCAACATCTATTGTAGGACAACGCCTCAGCTCAGCCCGCTCTTGCCTCTGCCGTCGCCCGTGTCGCGGCTGCCAGGGAAGGAGCAGCCGCAGCATGCGTGGCCTCCGCGGCCTCCACAGCAAGTACTCGACATGTGCTCGGGATCGCGGTCTGCCGCCATCCAGGACAACGCAGCAATCCTGATGAGTTTCAACCCGTCCCATAACCACAAACCCACCAAACCCTAGCCCTAGACTTGAGACCTTCAGACCTTCGATGCAGAGTCGACCAACATTGCATGGTCAACCCTCCTCTGTTGCCGGGCCTTTGCCTCGACCTTTTTGCCGTCCCGGCCAGGCATGTCACCTTTGCATTGGCTTGAAGTGAATGATGAATCCAATCAAGTCTATCGATGGCACTGCTTCGAAAGACAATAGCCCATGGCATATAGAGAACATTAGCGGCAATCCTTGAACGCAGTGAGAGCCCCTTGACAGCAGCGGCAATTCCCACCAAGAGTTGGAGAATCAAGCTTGCTATAATAGTAATTATAGTAATTATAGTAATAATAATAATACTTATAGTAAGAATAGTAATTATAGTAATTATAGTAATTATAGTAGTTATAGTAATAATAGCTATTCTGAAGCTCGAGGCGCAGGTGAACAGCCACGAGATGAGCTGCTCGTAAGTGACCTGTTCGCATAGGCACGCTGGACTCCTGAATTCCTTGCGGTTCCAGCCCAGCCCACACGCGCACCGTTGAGAGTTTCTTGGCGCAAAAGGCCAAAGCCGTCTTTACAAACCGAATGAGCACTTGAGAGCAATTAAACAGATGGAGATGTGCTTTGGCTTCTGCGACCTTGTAGGCATTGAAAAGAGTAAACAGTATGTGGCAGAAACGACTCGTACATCCTGATGCACGACCAACTTTCGCAGCCAGTGACACATGATGAAGATGCAACAGAAGGACATGAAATAGCGAATAAAGATCTTTGTCTGTGTAAATTATAGGTCCTTACAGGTATCCATGCAACATATAGGCCACACATGGCGTGGAACGTAAGACCGAACATCATACACTACCATCAACGCTTTCGACGAGTATACTGTACACGAAGCACTGTAAGGTAGCTGGGGCAATGCAAAATGGCATAGACCCGCAGTACTAGATCTGCTGTGCACGAAGAAACACGACATGAAGAAGGAGCGGCTTACAATCCCCGGCCGCGTCTGCGAGATGTTTACCGGAAAGAGTGCGAAGCTGCCCCGACGTGATCGAACACTTGTGGAAGTGATTCGATTCACACTGCTTGAATCAAGGGACATGATCTACATTGTCATGAGAACCCGCGAGTACAACCAGGTCATGATACATCGCAAAATGTAGTAGGATGAGCGGGTACTGAGCAGAATAAAGTGAGCATCACGACAAGACAGTGTACACTGCTAACGAAAAACGGCCAAACCGCCGTACAACTGTGCTTCGTCCCCTTTCATCAACATTGGCTCACAAACATAATATGCCTACATAATGTGCATACCTATATCATGTACATATATACATATATACACAAACACATATATACACAAACACATATATACACATATACACATATACACATATACACATATACATATACATCTACATATACATCTACATATACATATACACATATACATATACACATATACACATATACACATATACACATATACACATATACACATCTACATCTACATCTACATATACACATATACATATACACATATACACATATACACATCTACACATCTACACATCTACACATCTACACATCTACATCTACATCTACATCTACATCTACATATACATATACATATACATATACATATACATATAAGTCCATACATGAACATACATACATACATACATACATACATGCATACATACATACATAAATACATACATATATATACATATATATATATATATATACTTACACATATACGTATGCATATACATATACATAAATACATATAAACATACATGTGTATGTGTATATATATATATATATGTGCGTGTGTCTGTATGTGTGTGTATGTATGCATGCATGTATGTATATGTATGTATGTCTATGTATCTACTTACATCTGTACATATGTACATATACCTATACTTATATGCATACACACATATATACGTACATCGTATATACACCGGTAAATGTTTGTATGTAAACACATTGCTTATGACTACTGCTTTATTCTTATATCTGCATGTACACCACGACGACCACCACGAAGACCAGGTGACCACGAGGAGATTCCAAGGGTTTCGATGGAACGCTCACATGCCCTCAGAAACGCAGAGTGATTGGCGGCCTTGCCAGAGCCGCTGCTCACCGCATCGATCATCGAACGAAGCCGCCTGCGGGTGCGCGGACATCCGAGTGGCGGGGCTTACATAGGCCGAGCAGTTATACTAGGAGAGCCATGGATGATTCACGACAACTGAAAGGAGTGAATGATGATGCTCAAAATAATCGTTGCATGGTGTGGCTGCGAGGAGATAGCCATCGACACGGCATCCATGAAATTTCGAAGGTCTTGATGAAAGACCCCCTGTGTCGATAAGCACCGTCACGAACAGAAACACTGCTGATTGCGACAGTCCTGGCAATGGCAGCAATACTGTTCTCATAGTCATGGTCACGAAACTTTGTGAGAAACTCCATCTGGCGATGTTTCGCTCGCTTGGGCATGTAGGTTCCTGTACGAGCGCTCGCTGACCTCGAAATTTATGACGAAAACAAAGACTCGAAAGAACGAGCCCCGCACTCTTCGCTCAGCTCGACGCCGAGGGCATTGAGGAGAACCCGCACCTGGCACTTATATGCACTTATGTCAAGGCTGAAGCATTGTCAAGAGAACTCGCTTTCACAGGCCCTGACAACCGCCAGTCCTTGAAGTGACCCCCCCTCGCAGCTATCTTCTGCAACAGGTTCCTAAGTGCAGGCTGCCTGCTTTTCAGTCCAGTATCCGGACTCTGGCAGCGCCGTGCGGAAAGCACGGAGGATTTTCTCATGCTGACTCTGCCGCTGTGGCGGCCTGAGCCCAGCACAAAGTTGTAACCATCGTCAGGTCCGGGCCAAGGGTTTTCGAATCTGGGATAAGCACAAAATCCAACAGGACAAATCCGACCTGACAACAAGTAAGTATTGATTGCAAGGTTTGCGTGAAGAATCGGCAGAAATCATCGTGTTTCGGGCTCCCGAATATGTCAATGTAGTCTAGTATGCGCCGAAAACCCTGCTCTCAATAGTAAGGCGCCGAGATCATCCCAAACACTTCCAGGCCGCCGAGACACATCCCGGCAGCGGTGGCCATGCTAAGAGGCGGCCGACCCAGCGGCGGTGTAATTTGCACCGCCGCACCCGGTGCCCGAGACGCCCCCTTCCCGAGCCACTGTACAGCTAAAACACCAGTCCAGACAATTCGGCTCATGGAAAGCCTTTAAGCCAAGTAATTCTTGAGGCCGCCCTGCGACCTCATTGACCACAATGCATCTGAAGCCCCTCCTGTCTTCGGGATGCCACGTCCTCAACTCTCGACCCCACCCCAACACCTGAATTTCTTTGCCCCAGAAAGCCGAAATGCAGGCCCCCCGGCACATGCGGATTCATGAACTCTTGAATTGTCAAACCTTTTGAAGGGAACGAAGCACATGTCGGCCCTACCCACATTCTCCTGACATTGTCACAAGCGGCCCTTCCACTAGACCCCCTAGACCCCCACAATGCGTTAGAAACATCCAGCCTGTTTTATGTCGCGTTTTACCGTCCGGTGCCTGCTGTCTCCGTTGCATCAGCATCCTCCTCGGCAGGAGCTGTCTTCTGCCTGCCCCGGAGAGAACGTCCGCATCTTTCAGATTTAGCCGCAAGAAAGAATCCAATCTGTCAAATTCTGAAAGCCTTTAAACGTGTAGAAGGTCCTATCAGCCCCCGAGAATTTGAAACCTCGCCATCATGGGCGCCCAAGCTAACTTGTGGCCTACTCGGCGTCTTTCTTGGATCCTCCACGATGGAGGCCCTTTCCAGGAGCTGGATCGCCTGCTTTGCAGAATCTTTGTGGCCAAAGGCGAACTCTGAAGTCTGGCTTTGACACGGAGGAGACTGAACCAGGCCAAAAGTTGCCTAGTCCCGATATAAGTATGGCATAATACACCCAAACCCTAGTCACCTAGTCTCGTAATCAAGGTTCGAAGGCAGGACTTTCACGCGATTGAAGGCGTCTTCTTGTTTTAGCTTTCGCAACTCCGGCGGTTGAGGTGGGGGAAATGAGTTCCACGGTCCCACTCTCTGAACAAAACATCCAGCCACTTGGACCAGATGGCTACAAAGACATAAATGCCAAAAGTGACAGAACCTCCAACCAGACCGGAACAAGACACCACACGACTTGGACTCAAATACTACGACGTCGCTGGGCTTCCACAATGCAGCTCGACATGTGCAACACCGTGTGGTCTTCTGTAGGTTGGAGTTCCTGATGTTTGCAGAGGATGTGTTGTCACTGCAGAACTACGACGGGGTAGGCTGGGCAGGTGGTGGGCGCCCCTGAGCCACCGACACGCCTCTTAGGCACCACCTGGCCCGTACGGCCACCGAAGGCGTGGTTTAAATCAACAGTTAACAGCATAGAAGAGCAGTATCACACCACTCGATCTACAACCTGTCAAACTCTAAATACATAGATATCGTCGGCGACCCACTTCAGCAGCGCGTATGTGGCAGCTGAATGGACCAGCCCATGCGATGAAAGTTGCCCATGAAGACACCCCACTTGCCCTTATTGCCTGCTTTCTCATTGAGGGCTTTTTGGATGCACTGAGATTGTTTGAACTCATCGGCATCGCTGCATTTCGGAACGATTTTCTTCAGGAGGCGTTCAAGCCTCTGACCGATACCATGGCTTTTCACGAAATGCACTTCGTCGTCCTGGCTTTCTGCATCGACTTCCGAGGTCACCTTCAGCGCGGCCGACTGCAGCAAATGTAGATCACACTCTTCGCCATCCGCACAAGATGCAGGGACGTCTTCTGGAAGCTCCCCTTCCAAAACGTCCACCGCGCCCGCGGCGGCAAGCATGGCCAGAAAGGGCAGCAACATGGCGGACACACGTGGCATATCTGCCCAATCGGATCAAAACCGGGCCAGTTTGCTGTTACGCCTTGAGCCGCAGTAATTTTGAGTGTGTTCTTTACCGGGTGTTCTGTTCGGGTAGATAGGACAAGGAAGGATAGGCCGGATAGGCTCAGGTATCTCAGTTTGATTTCTCAGTTCGTAAGTCTTGTACTACAGGGGCCGTAATGACTATAAATATAAGCAGGAACCCCCCAAATGGAATTGGTAATTGTATAAGACCCTATATTACTTGGCATCCCTGACACCCAGTTTCCTGGCCAGGCAAGGGGCATGGACCCGCCTCGACGTGCACCGTCTGCGGGAAGGAATCCACTGCAACGGTCCGCACCGGCACGAAATCGTCAGCCTCCTCCTCCACCGCATTCAGCCAACATAGCGGCACGAAAACGATTGATGACGGCAGAGGAAACAGAAGACGAAGAAGAAAGAGAAAAGGCAGAAGGAGCAGACGAAACAAACGTAAAGCCCACCACCACCAGCAGCGCCACCACCGCCGCCGACAACAAGAACAGCAGCCACAGCCACAACCACAACCACAGCCAACCACAACAATAACACCAACAACAACGACGACGACGTCAATGCCAAGAACAACAACACCAAGAACACCAACGACAACCACGACGACGACGCCGACAACATCAACACCTGCACCTGCTGCAAGGCGCTCGCCACACGTAAAGACAAGGCATGCAACTCGCAATCCTACACCCTGCTGCGTTTCCAACAGATCTCCCTTCCCTCCTCCGTTGAGGAGCCGAGCTTCGCCACATCCTGCCCCAGGACTTGACGCTGCAGTGGACTTGAAGATTGGCTCATGTGAGTTTATCCGAAAACTGCTTCGGTGGTTGTGACGTGTTTGCTATGTTCGACTCTCGGAGGACGGCTTTGCTTACCTTTGGTTAGTAGGAATGGAGGAATGGGATACAACTATAACTATTACTACCATTCTTCCATTCCCTAATAACCCTAAACCCTAAACCCTAAACCCTAAACCCAATAAGTTTGCTACGACCAGCCTCCGCCATGCTCCCCACATTGCAGCCTCCAGTCGCCAGGGCTTTGGAGGCTCTGAAGTCATGGGAAGTACTGCACTGCTAAGAAAGGTAGGAACCTGATTAAGAAAGTCCTATACTGTTTGGAGGTGCTAGGCCCAGGGTTTAAAAAAAAATCAGGTTCCTACACTATGGAGTCTGGAAGTGGTTGCAGCCATTCCGTTCAAAAACAAGCAAAGAAGGTGGCTTCAGGGCCGCTGAGACCCGTACTGATGTAGACAATTCGAAGAACCTGAGTGCGCCTTGGCAGCGTGGGAGGCTCAAGTCTGGAGCTCAGACAAGCAAATCGAGCACTCGAGCACACCATATATAGACTCAGTGCGGGCCGTGTAGGTGTCGCCTGAGACCCCGCACCCACGCAAGATGTCCACCAGGCGCGGATGCAAGCCTGCCAGTTGATCACATCCCTAACACCCCGCTTTTCCCGACTCATGCGACGACCGATTCCCCTTTCGGCAGTCCGTCAAGCAGACGGCGTTGGAGGGAGAAAACTTCGAATTAGTCGAAGGTTTTGCCCCCGCATAGCCATTCATATATCAAGGTGTGGCAAACGATTGAAGTACAGGTCCAAGCCGGATGTGTAAAATACTCCAAGAGATCGGTATGATCCGCTGCCATAGCAAGTACAAAAGGGTCAAGTGAGAGAACGGGACGAGAGCATGTCGAAACCATCGAAGCTGCTTAATGAGGCCACAAGAGCCTTCGTTGTCACCTCGAGCACAATGACCGGCATGCTGCACGACAGTCACGGACGGGGTGGCCGAGGCGGGGCGACCCTGAACTGCTCCACTAAGCAAGGGCCACCAGTTCGCTCTTTCTCTCTCTGTCTCTCTCTCTCTCTCTCTCTCTCTCTCTCTCTCTCTCTCTCTCTCTCAACAAAGTGGAAAGCAAGAAGCTTTATGAATTGTTTTAGGCTCGGTCGACGTCCGCTGTGCCTGAAAGGAAGCTTCTCGGAGCGAGGGTCCCCTTTGCAAGAGAGCCCTTCGTAGTGTCCCACATGAACTGCTCGCGATGTCCTATAGCGGGCCCAGAAGGTCCAGCAAGGCCTCACTGCACTGACCGGATGAAACGAAACCTGCAAGCTACGAATGCACACAGTCACAGATGTGTCTCCGCCATGCATGCACAACAATTTTCCTGGGGCTCCACCCAGTTATAAGGACTCTACAATAGAGGATCATGGGACTTAATAAGTAAGGTTATAAGTACCTTAGTTGAGGTTATAAAGTATAGTTAACATGTATCCAACTCCGGGCCGGTAATGTGGGTTCGCTTCGATTTGCGCGCGAGGGGACCCTTCTCTCAGAAGCCTTTGGCTCCAGCAGATGGAACCGGCGAAACGAGGCGAGGCCTCTCCTCTGCATATAGCAAGGCCTGTGGCAAAGCCCAAAGAAATGAAGGTTTAATTGAAGCAATCTACAGTCTCTAGCTTCTTCGTATTTCGTCCACCCATACACTTGACAGCTTACCTTGGAGAAACTCTGGCCTCTTGGCTGACTGCACTCGGCCTGAAAAGAAGCCTGCGAGCCACTTCCACCATCCCTAGAAAAAGCCCGCGTGGTCTGAGCACGGACGGCTCGCCTGACCTACATACATGCCTTTAGCCTGGATTACAAGACAAGCTCGCATCATCATCCAATTTCAAAGACGAGCCCCCTTCACCTAAGCACGCAGGATCATGGGCGCCATAAGCCCTGCGAGGTCCCACCCACGCCTGATGCAGCGAAGAGGATCTTTTTGAGCTTGGAACAGCCGCATGTCACGTTGTTTTCTCGGAACTCAGCATGGCTGAGGTTGCTTCGGGGTAGGGCATCGCAGAGATCGGCAAGCGCATGCCATGGCACCATCGCTGTAGCACAGCCAGGAAGACGCGCCCTGCCACAGCCCTACAAGGAAACTCACACGAAGCTCGATTCCAGGCAAGGGCTCCGCAGAAAGCCGGGGGCGGGCGTTCCTGCAGAGACCCGACCAGATCTCATTAGCCACAGACAGAGGAGGCTTGCATTGCAAGGGAGCCATTCGCAATGCGCGGGCTCAATTCGCGAAACAATCAGGCTTGTCAGGTGCAAACTGTTGTCTGCCAGCTTGGATTTTTAAGACACATTTCGAAGTGCTGGAACTCGCCGTGTCGAAGCCTGACTAAACGGCCTCACAGATCATGATTCTGCCGGAAACTCCCACTGTCCTGGGCTGCGGGGGTTGCAAGCTTTGGTTTCCAGACGAGGCAAAGCTAAAGCTTCTGCATTGGGATTTGGCTCGAAAACCAAACGTCTAAAGGTCCAGACAAAAGGGTCGGGCCTCACAGCTTGTTATCGTGATCATCATAGTCACAATGCCCATCGTGACCCGTCTCCACACCATCATTCAACCGTCGTCATCGAAGCACCATATCACAGCGACGTAAGCAACATCATCACCAGCTTTGTGGCTTCCTCTGACAGAGCTCGTTCCAACATCATCACCAACTTTTTGTGGTTTCCTCTGGAAAGAGTTCGTTCCAGTCGCACCTCCGTCTTACCACTGACACGCTTTCGTTTATCATTATTGCCCGTATCAGGATGGGAATATAAAACATGTACGAATTTTATGTGATAGCATTACATTATCGTATAGGGTCAAGGCAGTTCAGCCAGGTCACCAGAAGGCACCTGGAGAGCAGTTCAAGGTTGTGCTTGGATCCAGAAGCTTTCCGACCTTTCCTTTCAAAAGGATCCCTGGCTTGCTGCCTCACTCTCGGACACAGGTTCCTACTTCAAAGATATCGGGAGGCGATCATGTGATCCTGCCTGGCTCGGGCTGATCATGAAACCGAGCTGGGCGAGCTGCCCCGCAAAATGCATCTGCCAAACCTGAAACCTGCAGCGGGGGATGTGGGTGCGTTGTATGCCTTGGCGGTTTTGAGCTTAACACCTCGGGGCTCTGGGGCTTAGGGGTTGGGGCTTCAACAACTTCATTTCTGTTGAGAGCGCGCACAGGCTTTGCTTACGGTCGTCAAGTCTTGGGGAGGTTTTGGCTGGGGGGCGCAATCTCATCTGTGCACGGGGATAAGGAAATTTTGAAGCGTCCAACGATGAAAGGTTGGCCCCATCCCAAGCCTGTCTGCCCCGACATGCTCTGGCGTAAGCCTCCTTTTTGCAGGGACCTGAGGGGCCTCAAAATAATTGTCCGAAACCCACTGTGAGGAGTGCAGCCGGCACCTTGTGCCCCAAGGTCCTTTCAGGCTTTCTAGTAGTTGTTGTAGTAGTAGCACTACTTTTACTACTACTGCTACTATTACTACGTACTATTATTACGAGTAGTACGATTATTACGATTGTTACTATTATTACTATTATTACTATTACTACTATTCTCACTATTACTACAATTAAAATTTTTTACTACCATTACTATTACTACTATTATTACTATTATATTGCTATTCTTATTAAGTCTTCCAAGGGGCGGGGTCGGCTGGATGGCAGCTGCGGGCCTCAGCAGAGCCAAGGCAAAGGTCCATGCAGGGGCGCAAGCTCGAGCCTGGTATCCACCCAGGGCATGAGTCATCAGCTACCCTGACGACTTGTGTTTACATTTATTATGATACTTCTTCTAGTATAAGTATTAAAATTTCTAATCATACGGATTTTTCACTACTACTTTCTACTACTGTTACTATAACTAATTAGTAGTAGCAGAAGAAAGTTACGAACACTTTGCAAAATCCATCCCGAGCAGGACAAGCACATCATGGAAACCAGCCGAAGCGACTCGGCTGCCGCCGGCACCGGGCACTGCCACGTCTGCGACACCAAGGACCAGTCGGGCTCGAAGTAGCCCGGGAAGTCGAAGCCGCCGTCCTCTAATGTCTAATACAAGGTGATATGATGTGTTGCAATAGAATATGATGTTTATATTATACTCGATTTATTATATGGTATACGATTATACCATAAAATCTGATATGATCTGCTTACATGACATACTAGAATAAAATACATCATAACATATTCTAACATGATACAGTTTGTGCGCAGGTGTGGGTGAGATGACCCTTGAGCAAGCTCGGATAAAGCCTGGGATTCGGCTCGGAACTTCAAGCACTCTAACATGCGGACATTCCAGCATGCAATGCCCCGATAGACTTACTGGCACGATCACGGACCCCCGAACACTGCGGCACTTATCCACTCGACACCCAAACAAGCCTCCTGGGTCAGCGTTGCTTGCCACGAGCTCGCGGAACAGTCCACCCAGCCTGCTGGCGCATGATGGTGCGCGCATTTTTTCAGTTCATTTTTCCCATCAACGAACCACATGCGTGGATGCATTCAAGCTTCTATTCCTCGATTCATGACGGCGTGTAGTGTTGGAAGCTTCGACATGACATCATTCCTTACCCTCTCGCAACTCGGACACAGCTTAATAGCATGTTCGGACCACGAGGAGATCAAACCGATTCCAGGGCCAGCCGCTCCAGCCTTCGGGAGTCAGCTCCGAGGGGCACTCCAACGTGCCGCAGTACCTGAGCTAGGCGAGGCGCAAATTCCTGTCCACCTCCGAATGTGTCGCAGCGAAGAGCAGCCTACTCATCAGCGTTGAGGAGACGATGCAAAATCGCCAGAACGCGATGACGAGTCGCTCTTGGTACAGGTAGGACTCAGTAGTGGCAGACATCTGGCAGTGCGGCGCTATTGTAGCAGCAGTAGCTGCAGCAAAAGGGATAGCAGGAGAAACCAGAGCCGCAGCAGAAGTAGCAGTAGGAGGAGGCGGAGAAGTAGAAGTTGAAGTAGGAGTCGGAATCGGATTTGGTCGGAGTGGGAGGAATAGGAGTAAGAGTAGGAGAAGGCGTAGTAGTCGTCGTCGTTATCGTAGTTTGTGGAGTTGTCGTCGTCGTCGTCGCTATGGTGGTGGCAGTGGCTGCAGTAACGGTGCAGTGGCAGTTCTACTTGCAATGGTGCCAGTGCTAATACGGGTCCGATCGCACAAGCAGCAGTCAGAATAGTCGTAGAAGTCAGAAGCAGGAGTCGAGGCTGCGGAAGCCGCTGTAGTCATCGCAGGAGAAGCCAGGAGACGGGTCTGCGAGGAGCTGCTGAGCTGCCATCTGCAGGCCTACTGGCCTCAGAGGGCGGAAGCATCGATTTCAGGGCAGGGGATCTCAAAGCTTCGGGGGCTCAGAACTTCGCGCCCGGACAGGGCAGAAGCAGCCGTGGCTCGGGATTCCTACAGAAAGCACGCGGTGCTCAAGCCCCCAATAAAAGCCTTTGAAGGAACCACCCTGAAACCAAGCTGCATGTAGCTGTTCGAGCTCTGGTCCGGGACGACGCCCAGCAGAGAGTTCAGTGCCTGCGGCAGGCAGGGATGTAATTGTAATCGGCAAACACTGTCTTTACCCTCCTGGCGAGGTTGGAAAGAGAAAGGCCCCGGGTGCTGCAGCCTCACACCGTCGGAGCTTCTTTGAGAAAGACGGCTCTCTGATCAGGAAGCCTGCCCAACCGAAACACCACTACATCAAAGCGCCACCGGCATGCCCTGTATCACGTGTCTCTTGCCGTGGCAACAGGCAAAAACCTACCCTACAGCTTATCTTGGCACCTTCCCTCAACCCACTGAACATCGAAACCCTCAAAGAAATGGGAAGCGAAAGTGTTGGTGGACCCTTCGGCACCTTGCGGGCGGTGCAATCCACTTCCTGAAAGCAAGAAGCTTTGCAACGAAGCAGCGGTCGCGAGCCACGAAACTGCTTCCCCATCTCATACTTCAGAGCTTTGCTGGAAGTGCAGCTGCAAGCTGTTCTTTTAGACTTTCATACGATGTGCAAAAAAAGAGTGCAGTCTGCAGCTATCCTTCCACTGAACAAACCCGAGCGCATGCTGTCGAATCCCTGGCATCAGATCAATCGAACCCAAGCCCTGGACCCGGTTGCGGCCCCCAAAACCCTGCGTTGCCTCTTCGTCGTCTGTAGCTGGGAACACTTCCAGTGGGGTCTCTTGCTCCCCCTCCTGGGCAGCCCGCAATCCCATCAGGTTTCGCATCGAAGCCAAGCCCCTCCAGCCCCGATGAGGGAAAAGACTCCAGCCCCCCCCCCATGCACCTCGTGGGGCAGCTCCGTGGTTGCCGCATCGTCGTCCACGACGGTGCCGCCTCCTGGCACTTGGATGGGGAGGCAATGCCCTTGGTACACATCTGCTCGGTTGACCCTGAAGAGTACGCGAAAGCCTTCATTATCCAGACCTCAAGCATCTGACAGGCACAACCCACTTCGCATACCAACGAACCTGCAGTGCAAGAATCAGCAAAGGCCGCAAGAAAACACAGGAGTCCTTGGTCAAGGTACTGCTCACGCCCTTCCACATCTCGCCGAGAGCCTCTGTTTTGCGCAAAGTCGGAATGGTCTGCCAAAATCTGCTCAAGCCCCCACTGCTACGGAAAGGCCGCCGAGCTCGAACATAATCCCAACGCAGCCAGGCACCAGGCTCTGAGATTCTGGGCAAAGGCAGCTCTTGACTGCAACCTGGCTTGACAAGCCAAGCCACACTCCTCTTCCAGCTCATCCTTTGTGTTTGTGCACGTGCGTTTTCAGGTACATGGCCTATCACGAGATGACGAGCAATGCCTGGAAATGACGACAGCAGTTTGTAGAACGGATTCAACCTCAACCCACCGTCCCCAGGGTAACTAAGCTCTAGCTCAAGCCACAGCCGGCGACACTGTTCAGGACAAGCTTCCGAAAATCCTAATCACGACATGAACGTAAATAGCAGCAGCACCACCACCATCATCTAAATGATAGCCACACTTTTCCTGTCCTTGCGACTGTTGAGACTAAAGCTTTCATCGGCTTCAAAACACTGCCCAGGGTCCACTTCCTGTGTGGTCAGCTGCATGAAGCGGGCCTGCCACAGGGTTAGCTTCTGGGCGTGACTGTAGCCAACCCCGGTCTCGCAATACATACTAGTCGCTAGAGGCTGGCCTCTAACTAAAAGGAAGGCTTTGTACTCGTCCAACAGTGAAGACTCCCTCATTGCTACTCCGTGGCATGAGGCTTTCCCAACACTCACAACAACAACAACAACAACAACAACAACAACAACAACAACAACAACAACAACAACAACAACAACAACAACAACAACAACAACAACAACAACAACAACAACAACAAAAACAAGAACGACAACAATATTCCAAACACTGAAACAGCAGAACCCGGGAGCATACGAGCCGTCTTCGTCACCAGACTGGAGTCACGGAGTTTCAAAACCTTTCAGTATGGCTCACACAAACAGCAGCAGTGATTGTAACCGACATACCAGTACAACACCGCACCTTGACCTCGGCCATCTCGGAAGCCCTCTTGGCCTCCTTGGCTTCCTCCTCGGCCTCCAGCGAAGCGGAGCGGATGAAGGGCGCGGAGGCTTCTGTGAGGGTTCATACTTGGGGTACCTATTGGGGGCTATGAGCACGGTTCTGATATGAGAGTTCTATCAAGGGTTTAGGGTCTTGTTGGTCCCCGTTTGGCGAGCGGGGCAAGGTGATTGATGCAAGAGTGCACGATGCTTCAGAAGGGATCTTGGCAATCTCATACTAGGTCTATACGAAAAAGATCTGGGACATCCCAGAGGCTATCCGAACCCATGACACTGACGCCTTCTGCGCATCGGTCACCTTCGTTTCGAGCAGCGTAAGCCTTGAATCGAGAGGAAGTGCCATGGCTGGCAAAAGAATGATTACGGCTCGGGAAGCAAGAGGTTATAAGTACCCTAACTGGGGGTATAGGTCATTATAACTATAGCTACCTTACTTATAACCCTAGACAGCAGCAACTGGGCTCTCCCTTCACGCTGAGGGGCGATTGGGCGTGCTTCCGCAGGTTTGCTGCCCAAAGAGCGTCCTGGAAAGGGTAGTTAGTAGTTCTGCAACCAGGCGCTTGGGGCCTAGAGTCACTAGAGGTCATCACAAGCTTCACGGCTTGCTGAAGAGTAGCGCTTGAAGGTCGACGAAGGCTCCGGTAGGACAGGCTCGGCCCACTCTACGTCACAAGCAAGGAAGCACTTTCGTAAATTCTTGCTGCTTAGACATCTGCACTCGAGAGATCGGTAGGTGAATTGGCAGCCTTTCAAAGACTTGACCAAAGACCCGGCGTCCTGCATGTCTGTGTAAGTGCAGTCTGCAAAGCTCTTGCAGACAAAGCGGACCGACTCGCCTGCAGCACTGTCATGCTCTCACGGTGATCGAGCAGGAAGTGTCTAGGTCTTGCCACTGCAACACTGCAGCCACTAGGGCCCATAGGGCCCATTAGCCTCGTCGTCGGTATTTCCTACAGGGTTTGAGGAGTCCTGACCCCTGCAATTCACAACAGAGACTGCGGCAGACGCAGAGCTTGCAAGCTACTGCTAGTTTGCCGCCGCCCCTGGTTTCCAGAGCATGGGCATGATGGACAACACTAAGGCATGTAACAGGCAAGCACGCAAGAAAAAAAGTAGTCAAGGAACCTTTGCTCGTCGTTGAGTACCGGCGTTTGCACCACTGCCTTGGCGGCGACCACTGCTGTGTGGCATAACTGAGCCAAATAAAGGCTTCGCCATCACGCCCGCAGTGCAATTGCACAGAACCCGGAACTTGTTCAGTCCAAGGGCGTTTCCATAGCTGCTGGAGGGTGGCACTCCGCGATGACACGTACCTTGCCGAAGCTACTGGCCAGTCGTGGCACAACCCCAACTCGGTTGACGATCCTCTATCGGCAACACCTCATCAAGAAGGAAGATGACCAGCAGGAGGAGGAGGAGGAGGAGCATAGTGATGAGACTGTTGGTTACAATAAGAATCGGTGGTGGATACGAAGGTGGTGGCGATGATGATGATGATGATGATGAAGATTTTGGCTCCCACTTGGCTGGTCGAAGACCGCATTGCAGGCCACTCGTCGGACACGGGTTGAGAGGGATGAGTACAGCTACAGGGCCCTCTCAAAAGTCCAGGAATGTACTACCGCAGAAGTTGAAGTTTGTTGTCCAAAGCAACGCCACAACATCCCTGGACCCATACTCAGAGCTCAAGGGGAAGTTCGAAGGACGTCTTTATGCTGCCATAGTCAACATGTCGAAAACAACCAGCTACACCAACAATAAAGGTAAAGCCACTTCAGTACTGTTGACAGACAGCCGACGAAAGCACTGTGCCTAGCTGGCCCGTGCATCCGAAAACACTAGCTAGGGAACACTTAAAGTCAGTGCCACGCACTACTGCCCCAGGCCAGCTCGCAGTCACTCTACGACGGGCCGCCCCGAAGCCCAGTACGATATTTCTTGTTACGAGGTCTGCTTGAGGTTTTGGTTGCTCGTAAGCTTCAGTCGTTCTCACCACATCTCGACCGTGTTTCCATGCAGACTGCCAGTCGTTCTCACCACATCTCGACCGTGTTGCCATGCAGATTGCCATTTGTTGCTGTCAGTGTGGCTGCACCAAGCTGTCAGGCACCATCTGGTCGGAAACATGTACGCAAGTCCAGGATGGGCTCGCTTAGTATTGGCACTTTGGCAGCGTCGGCGCAATTCTCACCAGGACATCTTGGGAACGGACCAGTTGTCACCGTGTGCTCCAGGGCCATGGCATGTCGGGACGCTCGCGCGTGCCCATTTGGGGCACATTCCGTTCTCACCAGCATACGTTGTGAACGTACCAACTTTCACCGTCACTGCATGTTCCAGGGTCAGGGCCAGGGCACGTCGGACTCTTGCATGTACCCATGGTGGTGCAGTCGCGAGCTAGACCGCATCTATGCATGGAGCCGTGGTCGCCTGGCAGGGCGGAGCGTCGATGCCACAGTAAGTCCGAGGGCCAGAGTGGGCACCAGGCTGCACAGGGCGGCAACCGAGCAGGGCCATGTAGGACTCCAGAGGTAGCAGCCATTCTCACAGTCTCACAGTATGGCCGAGGCCATTCGCATGTGTGGCATGGGTCCATGGCATCCGCGACGTCGCGGGTTGGTGGTTTCTACAGGGGGTAGGGCAAGGTTGGGCATACACTAAGAAAAGCACGTACAGGAACCCAAATGCGATGAGGCTCTACAGCACCAGTGGTCCGGTGGGAAGACCGACGGAGAGAGGCCATGACAGCGACGACGGAACGAGAGACAGTGTCGGGACGAAGCAAGGGAAAGTGCAGTGCAGTGCAGGGCAAGGGCAAGGGCAGGAAAGGAGAGCAGTGCAGTGGGCAAGAAGGACAGCAGTGCAGTACAGTACAAGGCAAGGACAGACCAGTTCGGTGCGCAGTGCAAAGTGCGGCCAAGGCGCAGGATGCGTGTATTGCACACGCCTGCTTGCAGAACCAAGGATCTTGGAACCAACTCCAGTGCAGCCAGGGATCGAAACTTGCTACCAAGGCGCATCCCCAAAACATTCGACCCCTATGCCTACACCCATTCCAAAACTACCAAAAGGAGCCAAGGATCACCTGGGGCCTACGGCCTCGGGCGGGGCTTCGAAGTCATCATGCAGGACTATGACATCGTGTGTGTCCCATTCCTGAGGCTGTTTACCGATGCGCAGGGCCTCAAGTAAGGTCAGTTGCCTCAGATTGGGTTCTCTGCCGTACATGCTGGCTCGATTTGCTGCCGCTATGTCCCGTTCAGTGGGAAGATGAAACCCTAGGTCGAGGAGGCACCCTTTAACCCATGTTGTGAGCGTGCTGACATGTATGGTCGAAAACGCAACGAGGATGATCCTATCAAGTGGTTCCGAAAGCGTGTGACCTGCATGCAGACGCCTCCCGGAGTCAAAAAGGAGAGGCTCCGTAATGTCGAAAACAGTGCCTGGTACCTCCTGACCTTTGAAGGGCTTGCTGTGTTGCCCTGCTGGGTCCTGCAACCAGAGTCCTTCACCGGGGCCCGCGGGCCCGAGGGTGTAAGCGCCTGAATGAGGGCTTTCGTTGGCCCGTTGCGTGAATCCCTGTGAACCTCGGTGTAGCATCCTGAGCGTGATGATGATGATGATGGTGGTGGTGATGCTGCTGTTCGTGACGATGACAAGACTGCTCACGTAGACGATGCTGATAACAGCGACGACGACGGCAGCTGCAGTGCTGGCGGCAGTGGTAACGACAATTCGATGTGGCGGAATGGATGAGGGGATTTTGCTAATGACAGCGGCGACGACGACAGTGCCGGACCAATGATGACAACCGGAACTACGGCGACGACGCGCAAAACTGACGACCCCGAAAGAATCTTCCTTCCGCAGTGAGTCTACTGCATTTCGAGTCAGAGGCTTCGGGCTGCAAGTGCCACGAGAAACCTTCATCAAACAGCGCATCTACCATCCTGAACGCACTCGATTTAAACTCATAACCTCGTGGACCTTTGGACCAAAATCCTGAAGAGAGTTACTGCTGCTGCCCCGGTGCTGGGCGACCTGACAGCCGCTGATACGCCTGACGGGCTTTCTTGTTTGCTTGGCGAGGTGCTTCCTACGCTTTCTGCCGATCTTGCGATGATGGCTTCGAAAGCTCGCGCTTCCAATTATGAGTAAGCTACAAGTTAGGCATGCAATGACATTCACCGTGAGACTGGCGACGCGGTTGACCATCATCGTCATCTCTGCCATGTGGACACATACTGATTGCAAAGCTGCTCGTAACTTAAGTTCAGAATAGACGAAGGCAAAGCCGAAGAAAGCGCGAAGAAGGTTGACTGGAACTGCAAAAGCAAAAACTCGAAACGATGGTTGTGCTGGTTGAGGGTGGCAACATGATGATCAGTGCACCCCAACCATCTGCCCACATGGCACCTTGAGGACCCAGAGGCGTCGGTTGCCCGTGACGGCATAAAGGAGGTCCTCGTACCTCGGCCAAGCCGAAGCTCACTGCAAAGATCGCTCGAAAACCTAAGCCGACCTTTCTGAAGCTCAGGTCCTTGCAACACGACACGGAACGTGGGAAGGATGTCAGGCTTGATGCTGCCGTCGAGCATCTGCCTGCCAGAAACAGCTTTTCGAAAATCCGCGTATTGCAAATAGTTCGTCCAAAAAAAAAACCTCCCACGCCTTCAATACATCTGTTTTAGCTGAAGCCCGCGCGACCACCCAAGCAACCTTCAAAGATAGCAAGCAAGTCGCTGGAGCGTGTCGAAGAGCAGGGTTCCGTCCCGGAATCCTATTCATCGTCAAGGCTCTAGGAATCATCATGCATCAGCCGCCTTCTGCGTCAGACTACCGGCAACCGACAGACCAGATGCACACGAGGCTCGGATGCCAACCGTCTCTTGGCTCCAGCGGATATCCTCGATCGGTATGGGTCGCCTCGGCCCCCAAAAAGCTGCACACCCCTGCACGCGAGCCCCGACGAGCATATGTGGATCCACGGCCTTTCGTACTTCCACTTGTGCGGCTCCGCAACCTCAAGATGCATCCGGACTCGAAAGCTGCTGAACCGAGGATAGGAACTCATAGGTCGGGAAGAGGCTACACCATACCTTCACCAAATAGTTAGCAGCTAGCAGCCACTCCGGGAGCTGGCAATGCTAGACCTACTCCCAACCCAAGGTCACAGACCCTCCTACATGTCTACACTTTTGTCACCACATGCCGCAAACTTCGACAGCAGCACAGTTCTAGGGTCAACCAACAAAACTCAGCACATCGTAGCCCCAGCCGCAATATCGTCATCATCGCTTTCCTCGTCCCAGTACGTTGAGTCGGTGGCGTCCTGCGACTGGACTACTCTCCCGATCCCCATCTCGGATGAATGAAGCAGCAGCCAAACCGACACTGCAAACACCCCCCAACCATCATCAGCCATCAGCATATGCATACTATTCGCAACATGTAGTATGTAGCAGCACGTTGGGAGCATGTAGAAGCGTGAGTAAAAAGCATTGATAATGGTAGTCGTGGTCGTAGCCGTAGTGGTAGGAGTAGGAGGAATACGGGGAGCAGCAATAGTAGCAGAGGGAGCAGGAGCAGCATCAGCAGCAGGAGTAGGAGTAGGAGCAGGAGCAGCAGCAGGAGTAGGCGTAGTAGGAGGCGCAGGAGGGGTAGGAGAAGGAGGAGTAGGAGTTGGAGGAGTAGGAAGAGTAGGAGGAGTAGGAGTAGGAGGAGTAGGAGGAGTAGGGGGAGTAGGAGGAGTAGGAGTAGGAGGAGGACGAGGAGGAGCAGGAGGAGCAGAGGAGGAGTGGGAGTGGGAGGAGTAGGAGTAGTAGGAGTGGTAAGAGTAGTAGGAGCACTGCGAGCGGCAGGAGCAGAAGAGGTGGAGGAGTTGTAGTGGTAGTAATCAATCATCTTCTTCTTCATCGCCATAACAAGGGCAAGACCCCTACTCCTACTCCTACCCCTACCCCGACCCCGACTCCTACCCCTCCACCTCCGCCTCCGCCTCCTCCTACTCCTTCTCCTTCTCCGTCTCCGTCTCCGTCTCCTTCTCCTGCTCCTGCTCCTGCTCCTCCTCCTACTCCTCCTCCTCCCCCACGTATACCACTACCACTACCAGTACCGTACCACTGCGACGACGACGACGACGACGACGACCACTACGACTACCACTACTACTGCTGCTGCTGCTGCTGCTGCTACTACTACTACTACTGCTCCTCCTCCTGCCGCCGCTGCTACTACGACGACGACGGCTGCAACTTCAACGATGACGAGTATGACGACTGCTACTGCCACAATTCTCTCTCCTTTGCTGCTACTGCTCTCCAACAACGCCCAGTACCACTGTTACCTCTAGCGGTGGCTCGATCTCATCCAAAGTCCTCGATGGCAAGCGGCTCCTTTCGGCAACGCACGGCACCGCAATTTAGCAACAGAAGCATCTCTTTCACTTCTATGAATCACTGAACGGGAGTGTTTGTAAGGACTTGCCGCATTCCGTCGACAAGATGCTTCCGGGCAGGGCATCTGCAAACAAGACAAACAAAGCCCGTAAGTTTGATCTATCTCAACACGGATACTCTCCAGTAGTTTCATCTGCCCCATCGCTGAGAATCTACCCGCCTGGGCATACGCACCCTTGCCGCCGGCCACCGGTTGCCTGGTGGTCAAAGGGGCTCTCAACCATGAACCTGAACCCGAAAACGCACAAAACCCCCAACCTGAAGCCTTGCCAATCATCTCAGAGTGCAAGTGCACTTGACATGCCTCGCAATTTTGCAGAAGTCCACAAGCCCTCGAAAAACAATTCGAATCGAACAGTCTCCATAAAGTAGCAAGCGCTACCAACCAGTAGCCGAAGAAGCGGGGCCAGATATACACTACATGATGGCATAACCATGCATCACGAACCAAGCACGTCATCAATCACATCAGACTTTGTACAAGCACACAACAACAAGAGACCAGCTGAAGCTGCGTGCCTGGTGCCACGATCGCCCTTCGTCCCTTTTCCCTGCTCCCTCAAGGCGGCGACCTTTGCACCTCAAGCCGGTGATATCTCAAAGGCAATGTCCAGCGGCTTAGGGCTTTGAAGGTTCAGGGATGAAGAGGCTGAAGAGGCCTTCAGATCTAGCATTCCGGCACTTAGTCTCAGAGGGTTTGAGGTGCTTTTGCTTCCTGCTTGGCCGGGCATAAAGGTTGTCTTTTTGCACGGCCCTTTTCCTCAGGCAGAATCCAAGACGAAAGCAACTTCCCACTGGGCGTGATTCGACACAGCACCCCTGTCCGAAACACGAGATGCCCGCCCCCGGTCATAAGGTGTTGTTTTTTCGAAGGTCCCTTATTTTCCGTCTCGCGAGATCCTGGACGTGATTCTGGGATCTAGAGAGATGATTAGGTAGCAGGGTCCTTGGGTTTCGATTTCGATGAGTCGGGCCCTTGCGTGGGCTGACCATGTATTTGTGTTTAAAGCTTCGTCTGCCTCGGGTCTCGGGTGGCAGTTACGGCATCCCACCCTGCAAGAAAGTGAAAGTGAGCCCACATGCTGGGAGCCCAAGCCTCGGATCCGACACAGCAATAAACCCGGGAGTGTTCTGCAGACTTAAAGCCCCTGTTTGAGGAAGCAGTCGAGCGGCGCCGCTCCTGCTTCGTCAACTCGACTGTTTTGCGAGTCCACTTGAAGCCTCGACGAAACTTTGAAGATCATGGCGGTTGGAGTTTGGCACATGTCAAGGGCTGGAAGTATCGTGGGTGGAGGTGAAATCGTCAGAACCGCTTCTACAGGTGGACAACATCCCGGCAGGCACCACCGGCCTTAAGAATGCGAAGGCGACGGCTGCCCGAATTCCAAAGGCTTCAAGGGTAGTGGCTCTTGTGCAGCCCAGAGGCTCTTGGACCAGCCAGTCTTTCGTGGCTGCCAAATGATTTCCTGGAGCAGGTGCGTGTCGCCGATTTTGCCAGTCAGGGATTCAGGGAAGGGAGAGTTGGGGATGGTTCGCTCGCGTGAGTCTCTCTTTATCTTCCCTGGCTCTTATTCTTTCTTGCCACAGAACCCAAGAAGAGACAAGTGCTGCAGCGCCCTCCGAACAAGTGAGTCGCGAGAGTTCGAGAGTGCCCCCGCACGACGTACCCCCTTAACCACGAACCCAGAACTCCGTCCATCTCCCCCCCTCGTTCATTTCCTCCTTCTTTTTGCTTATGCACTGAAACATACACGATGGAGCAGGCCAGACACCCGTCCTCCGGCGCTGCACGCGCGCCTTGGCAAGAAGCAGGCTCTAAAGTCAGCCCACCCTGCGAGAAGCACAGACTTTCAGAACCCAAACTTGCACAGAGCATCTGTGACACGATGCGGGCTCCCACACTCTGCAACATTGTGTCCCACCACTCCAATCATCCAGCCTTATCTTGCGACCCGAAGCCACAGCCCTGTGGCAGAGGCTTCCTGGGATCACGGCGGTCGAGCGTGAAGCCACCGCCCCAGCAGATCTGCGAGGCTGAGGACTGGCTTGGGCTTTCCATCAAAGCTGGGGCTCAGGATACCACGCACCGTGGAGTCACTGACGAGTTCGACTTTTCGGTCGCATCTTTGGCTGTCGGTGCCTCGCCCATGTTGCCGCAAGTTTTAGCTCTTGGCTGAGCCAGTCGCAACCCAAGCAAGCCTTGCTACTGCCTTGGTGCCACCAAAGAACATCTGCTGAATCTGCTGTTACTGCTAAACTGCACTGAATATCAGGGCCCACAGAGGCTCAACCTTGGCAGTTGCTGCGGCTCCTATCGGCTCCTGACTTAGATGGGCGCGGCACTCCCTCATCCGTCTTGCCGGCCATCCAAGATGAGGATCGCTCAGCCGCCCCAGGTCTCTAGCGCACGGCCTGGACGTGTCTACACCCTACGCCTTTCTGAGGCGCTGGCTGCCAGATGCAGCCGCACTGGGGATTGCAGTGTCTATCAGGCTTCAGCCTTCTTGCAGAGAGTCCTACTTAACTTACGTCGGGCAGTTTCAATTCAATAAGACTCATAAGCAACTCTGCATCGAATCGCGCCTCAACCCGGAAGTTCGGATTCACTTCGCCGGATTCGCGGTAAGGTGCCTTGCTGCTACAACGGCTTCGGAGAGTTCCCCGTGGCTTCGGGCTTGGGTTGTTTAGTCATTTGTCTCTCGTCACGGATCACTTCGACTTGAAGCTCGCAGGTTTGGACTCTCAGAGCTTGACGCTTCTGGTATCTTCTGGTGCGACTGTGGCTATCTGGATTCAGATAGATCGGGTCCACAGCATGAACAGGTTGCTTTCAATGTTCACTCTGCTCCTTACAACACAACTCCTTCAGGCGGCAAAAACATCCACGTCGGTGTGCTGCTTGCCTGCGGTCAAGGGGCGACCCAGCCAGCAGTCGGTGGGAGATCATTCTCGCCGGCGCGGAAAGCCCAGGTCTGCGTTATATTATATGATATTATATTATATTATATTATATTAGATTATATTATATTATATTTTATTATGTTATATTATATTATATGTTATTATATGATATTATATGATATTATATGACATTATATTATATTATATTATGTTATCTTATATTATATTATATTATATTATATCATATCATATTATACTATACTATATTATATTATATTATATTATATGATATTATATTATATTATTTTATATTATACTATATTATATTATATTGTATTATATTATATTTTATTTTATTATGTTATATTATATTATATGTTATTATATGATATTATATGATATTATATGACATTATATTATATTATATTATGTTATCTTATATTATGTTATATTATATTATATCATATCATATCATATTATATTATACTATATTATATTATGTTATATTATATTATATTAAATTATATTATATTAAATTATATCATATTATATTATATTATATTATATATATATATATATATATATATATATATATATATAATGATTATAATGTGTATATATATATATATATACATCACCATAATCGTGGCTTCAGCCAAAGGCCACTACACGAGAATAGCACCACCATCCAAAGCAAAACGAGAAACATCAAAAACAGATGTTCCAATGTATCTGGTCCGAATGACTCGAGGTACGTTTACTGCCTCTTCCCTACAGATCTGCAGCTGGATTTGTGAGGGAGTGTCGAAGAAGCATTTCTGTTGCCTGCCACTCCTCGTCGACACTCGGACAGAAATACCTCAGATTGCGAACATGGCTTCAACGATGTGAGTCCGGAGCCCTAGGCCCTGAAATCTACTGCCTGCATGGCCCTGGGCTGCGCACCACCCTGATTGCGCCGGGTCGGAGGTGCACTCCCAGAAGTAGAGCACCATCTGCAGTTCGTCAGCCTGCTGAGACAGAAGCTGGAAAGGCAAACCCTGAAGTCAAACGAGAAGTAGGGAATCCCGGGACAAGATTGGTGAATTGGTGCAAAGTAGCCCGGGCTTGGGCTGTCAAGACAAAGGTTCTCGGAGCCTTACGACAACCCAGCCATCCACAGTGCCAGACTCCGTCATACCATTCCATGTTCATGCTGCACCATATTCGCGGATAGCGTAGCTGTTCATCATACCAGATACTCTCGGAGCATCTCAGACGATACCACAAAACACCATACTGCGCCAGAGACACATTTTACATGATCACGGGTGCTTAACCTGTGTAACATGCGTGCAGACACTGCTCACTACTGCTCAAGTCCGAAGTCATACAGATCTTACGCTGCTAGCTATGTACGCGAGCATCAGCACACGCATGGTTTTAGAGTTCAGGTATACGTACATGCATATAATATGGATAAGTACATCCAGGAATACATACATGAATACTGAGTTGGTATCTCTGATATGAATATAGTTATACGTACATACATATATATATATATACACACATATATAACTTATATATTTGTTTGTATGTATATCTACATTTACATGGGTACACATAAGAATGAGGGTTGTCTTGTTGCTTCCTGTTGCTGTTGTTGCTACTACGCCTTGTTCACAAATCCCGTGCACTCCCCCTTTAGAGACATCTGGCCTGCGTTTCACGCTTGTACACGGGGCGTTGGCATCTCTGCTCTTGCAAGCGAAAATACCTCAAGTGGCTGGGGAGGGCGGCTCATTCTCTCACACTCGAATCGGCGTGATGGAGCCCATGGTTCGGACTTTATTGATGTGAAACTGCTCTCAACATGGCATTCGCGAACCTTCGCCTGAAAGGACCATCATGAAACAGCAATGACAACCCCTGCATGCTCGGGATTCTGCTGTGCCTGAACCAAACTGGGCCTGATAAATTGACCATGCACCTCCAAGAATCACTAGAGCAACTTGAGGGGATTTGAGGGGTTTCGGCACTCACAGCTCGGCACAGCTAGGACAACTTGAGGGATTTGCGGCTTCGGATTTCGGCACTCGGGTATGCACGGATCTTGAGCGATGAGGTTGCTGCGTGGAGCTCTTTGTGGGTGGCAGTCAGGACACTTGCCGTGGAGGCGATTTGCGAAGAACTCGTCCTCACAGCCTGGCCATGCAGAGTCTGCAGAGCGCAGGCTCGGAATTCCAACCACTGCGCCATAGGGGGTTTGTTACAGAATAGTAGTTCTGGATTATTCAGTTACGGCCCTTCCCATCGAGCGAGTGCAGCAGCCGGCATGGACCCATGCAGCATTATCTGCTCGAGTACTGGCATGGCATAGCAAACGCACTAGGTCTAGGGTCTACACGCACGGGAGACTTTCTGCAAAGCTGCAGGCCAAAGCTGTTGAATTAGGATCCCACCGGGCCTGACACTCGAAGAATCACGGGCTCATTCCTCGGAAGAAATAAGCACATGTCAGCACAAGTAACTAACACGCAATGTTCAGTCTTCCCCTTCCATGCAACTTCATGCACTTCTGCACCCCTAAACCAACTTCGACACAACTGGCTCTCCAGTTGGACGACAGGCCTGTATCGCCGATGAAACCTCTACCTTCACCATCACCTAGGGGGCCTCCCGCGCAGCTCCACGAATCAAAGTCTTCTCAATACAGAATGCAGCTTATGCGCACGCATGTATTCACATCGGCATGCGTTTGTTCTGTACGGACCGACGGACAGGTAGGCTGAAAGATTTGTAGAAACAAGAGGTATCTGACCGTGCCCCTTGCATAGGAACAACAACCAGCAAACATAACAAAAGCACCGTTTGAATGTGGAAATAAGAAAATATCTGGCGAAATGAGTGATGGCATCAATGCATGCGTGCAGGAACACATGAACGAGAAAAACAAGAAGCACGGCATGCATGGATGCTGGATGGATGGATGGATGGATGGATGGATGGATGGATGGATGGATGGATGGATGGATCCATGGACGGATGCTGCGCTAGAATGTACGTATGCATGCGTACATTCAATGCAAGGCTGCAAAGAGAGGGAGACAGGCAGACAGAGGAACTCTGCAGAGGCCAGGTGGCTGCTCCCATGGCTCGTGGAGGCCTTGATGCAGATTTTCGCTCGTTGTTTCTGCAGGTGTCCTTAGGTAAGGCACCGATGGCACATTCCGGAAGGATTCATCTTCGAGGCCAAGGCATCCCAGCGAACAAGCCTGCTGCTAGTTACTAACTCGTCAGCACGAGCGTGATGACTTGTTGGTTCCACCGGCTATAAGGGCACACTCTGCACCTCGGACTTACAACAGATGAATCCAGAGCTGGGCTGCGCTGGCCGCGGCTGCCCACTTCTGGGCGCAGCCGGCTCTGATCTCTCCTCCTGTCTGCCGAGCCTTGGGTGATGCTCCGACAAGCCACCGATTCAAGTTCTGTCGTCAACTTTCTGGCCTCTGGTTGGGGTCTTGCACACACATCAAACTCTGCAGCCACCACCATGCAGGCATCGCGAAAAGCCGTTTCTAAGAAGATCCAAGCTGGGCTACGCAGGTTGCCCGGTCGTCGGCGCAGCTCTCTGCCAGGGATCTGCTCCGTTCTGCCAGGGATCGACGGGCCTTGGGCGAAAGCACACATGAAGGGTTCGGGCTTCGAAGGCCTTTTCCAGCAAGCTCTCGAAAACAGAGACTCTTGATGCTCCTCTTCCGCAGCTTTAACACTAGCTACCTTAATCTCTGCATGACCAAGTTTCGGTTAACTCTCTTGTGCACAAGCCCAACACATGAAACGACCTCAACTCAAATCTAGCCGGGCTGCGCAGCCACGGGCTTCGGCGAAAGCTTCAGCGACGTCTGCCTGTCGATTGCCAGCTCTGTGTCTTAATGTCGTCACATGTCGGCGATGGGCCTGGCTCTCAAACTTTGTGTGACTGTCCCCCGAACTCATCAAAGCTGAATCCCAGATGGGCTGCGCTGGTAGGGTTGTCGGCGCAGCGCTCGGCTGCCGCAGATCCGCTCCCGTCCGCCATGGATCTTTGCTGCGTTTCGGTCCCACAGACCTTGGGCGAAGCAGCAATTTCTTGAATGCATTGAAGTCCGCTTGAAAAGCTCTCGGCCTTGCATATCATAAGAAGCCCTGCATCTCACGAGATATATCAAGATGCCGTTTGAGTCGACTTCCGCGACATCCTGTACATCAAATGCGACGCGCAACTACATTCAGTCTCGGTGCATCACCCCGGCTTTGAATAAGGATCTGTGACCCTGTTTAGCAGAACCCCGGTGCTGAGGCCTCTTGTTTTAAGAAACTTTGCCATTGCCATTGGCTCCACTGTCTTTCGTACACTACTCAAAGATGGGGCCTTCGGTTCTGGACACCACCTGTCGAACAGCTTGGGATCGAATTTTAGGCTCTGCTTCGCTGGAGCATGCTTTCATATCACCAGAGTCTGAGCACTCGCCACTCCCGAACGAGCCAGAAGCGACACTGCAGGCCACCACAACTAACAATATCCAGGATTGGTGCTAGCCGCCAGCCGGTCTACTGGGACTCTGCTGCCCTACCTCTCCCGCCTGTGATTGCTTCATGCACAACAAGCCCCCGGCTGACCGCGCAGCTTTGCATTCTCGGCCCTCAAAGCCTCCACCTGCCATAGCGAACACCGCGGCGTCTGCTGATAGGGTGAGCTAAAAGCCACGGCAGCAGCCGCAGTATCCGAGCTAGCTAGGCCAAAGCAAGCCGGACCGCTACCTCGACCATCGCAACGGCAGTGGCGGTAGCAATAGCAGTAGCAGTAGTGGTGGTGAGAGCGATAGGGGCAGTTCTAGAAGTAGTTTCAGTTGCAGTAGCAGCGGTAGCAGCAGTAGCCGTGATAGCAGTTGTAGCAGTTGCACAGTTGTGGTCGTAGCAGTGGCAGCAGTGGCAGCAGTGGCAGCAGTGGCAGCAGTGGCAGCAGTGGCAGCAGTGGCAGCAGTGGCAGCAGTGCCAGCAGTGCCAGCAGCAAGGGCTTTTCCTGATGACTGCTTGAGAAGCCCGGCCTCCTGCAGCAGAAGCTGCCTGCCACATAAGCGCACTGCAGCTCAGTCTGCACGAACGGGAATGAGCTCAGAAACATGAGTCGCTTGCTGAAGCCAGAGTGAAGCACTTCTACATCACCCCGATGTGCCTCTCCTCCTTCAGCTCATCATTTTCTTGTCGAAGCCTCCTGCCCGAAAGTTGCAACAGAGTTTCAGAGACGCCACACTTGGGCTGCATCTGACCTGCAACCCAACGGCCGGCTTCGAATTCGCAGCTGGGCCAAAGCTAGCACACCGAATCTTCCAAACTTCGCGCGCCTCAGCTCGTCCTGAACTTGCCTTGGAGCGCCAGAGATGAGGTTCATGATCCACTCTTAAGTGATCGAGGACTGTGCTGATCTCCCGGCACGAAGGCTTTGCAGCACCCTCTGACCATCACAACCGTCGAAAGTCTGTGGTGCCGCCGATCTCTCCAATACTTCCCAGGTGCTCGGAGTCCTCCTCACTGTCAGAGGAAGATGGCCTGCTCTTGTCGGTCATCGTGATCACATCATTGAATCGGTATCTCCTTGTATCACGATCTACCTACCACCGCCACAACCACCATCGTCATCGCCGCCAGCGCCACCACCCTCGTCAACATCACCAACAGCTACACCAGCAATAAACAGACAACAACTACAAGCATCACGGCAACGCTGCCTAAGCCAAAGCAGACGACGGTAACATCACCTCCAAGACTCTGGAGCATGTTGCTACTGGTCTGGGGTGATCATTGCCACCCATCGGTTCCTCTAGCTTCAAGTCCCAACTGTCATCGAACAGCCCACAAAGCAGCCCCCTTGTCCCTGTCTTCCGCGGGACCGCCTGAACAAGGCTTCGTCCTGGGATTGGGCGGTGGGCCGAGAGCTTGTTTTTCATAAGAGCTTGCAGTGCTGCGCCCGTCACAGCGCATGGTTTCGGATCTCAGCCACGACTGAGATCCAATGCAAGATAACTTTCTCAAGACCACCCGCGAAGCTCACAAGCAAAATTCCGTGTGTTCCTTTCGCGGGCCGAGCATCATCGATCAGGGAAGTCTGGCCATCGGCAGGTTGCGGGGCCCTCCTTAAATGAAACTCCTACTCACACGAAGGCGAATTTCTAGAGATCTGAAGTATTGTTGTAGTCACTGTTGTTCTTGTGCTTGTGGTGTCGCTCGAAATCTATCTCTGGAGCGACGGATGCAAGCACGGGGCACGATGCGGGATCAAACTCGTCTCACAAAAGTCACATACCTCCCATGCAGACCAAGAGACCGAGTTTCATTCGCCCTGCCACTATCATCGCGGAGCGGCGGTCCCGGCGCATCGTAGACGACTCCCACGGTCGGAACAGCGGCTTCTACGTTCCTGTCACAACAAGCGGCAGCTTGGACTTGCTCAAACATCCTGCCCCGAACGCAGCATTCAAGCACCCATGCAGCTCAACACAACAAACTCTGAATCCGAGGACGGCTGTCCTGGTGGGAGGGCGGCAGATCAGATCCGGGACCACGTTGCCGGCGGAGTGGCCGGAAGTCGCACGAATCCTGAAGATTGAAGCAACACACGCTCGACGACGACACAGCTACAACACAACAATGTCCCTACCCTTAGCCAATAGGTTCGGTGAGTACTACGAGTACTACTTTTTGGAATCCGGTTCATGGAAAGGCGAAGCTATAGTTTCGCTGTTCACGCTCACGCTCATCTCGCACCATCACGTCACCAGCACGGTTTCTACCTCTGAATATCACCATCTGCTGCGCTTTCGCGTTAATGGTCCCACTGGCAGCATTGCAAGGCACACTGGCAAAGGAAGCTCTCGCGCAGTTCAGATTTTCTTGCTTCAGGAGCTGAACATTCTCGTGCACAGAAAACTGCTCGGTTTTGCCTTCTTTTGTGTTGCTGGTAGTCTCGCGACTGGGCTACTTTATGTTAGAAGCACTGATTTGGGACTTAACACAAACAGCACGATCGTCGTACGCTCTGATTCTCACCGTGGAGATTAAAGCCACACAAATCACACAAAAAGGCGTGCGCAATGCTTACACGGATGTCTCATGTACACACAGATACCCACAGAGAGAGAGACAGAGAACGAACACGCGGACGGACGGACTGACAGACAGAGCAAGCAAGAAGGAGACAGACATACCAGCATACTCCTGACACCGATAAGGCGATAAGCAGAGCAGCCACGCGATCTTGACACCCATGTTTACACGATCTTCAAACCGATCCATCACCTTGTCATGTCTCACGAAAATGCTTCCACTGTTGCGATACTCACGTTGCGGCTCTTGCTTGCCGTCTTTCTTGCTCTGTCTCTATCTTCTGCGCCTGATTCGCGTTCTTTCGTTTCTACTCACCTTCCAACAGGTGCTCCAAACCGGAAGATGTGCCGGCAAGTCTCAATCTGCCTTCGTTGGACGTCGAGAACCTTCTGCAAATCTGGTACGGGCCGGGCATGACGGGACAGTCTGATAGCACAACTGCCTAGACAAAAACCGCGATGGCTACACTGTGTCCCTTGGCGGTATAACGCAGTCAAAACCTGATCTTGCAGCTATAAATGCTGCACTGGCGACACAGGCAAGATTGCATGCAGCAAACAAGCGTAGACAGGCAAGGCAATGAATTCACCGCAAACGTTCACACCAGCCTACGGATGGTGGCAGGAATCTGCCGTGCAAACAAAACCGAGCAAGAATTCGAAATAGGGTCTGGAATTGTAAACGCACTCAGAGAAAAAACACACCACCACCACCACCACCATCAGCAGCACCACCACCACCACGACCACGACCAGGACCTTCACCCCACTCCCTCCAAAAACCGCGACGACAAAAGCGAGGGCGACAATCACAACAATCACTACAGAAACAATGACAGTCAACATAGTAACATGGCCGCACGAGAACAGGTCTCTAACACCCCATCCGGCACCATATCCATGCACCTGACTGCAAAAACCTGGATACAGGTACCCATGGCACAAGAGTTCCATGACGATGTTCGCTGCATTCCGTTGCTGATGGTGATAAGATGCTTGAGACGAATACGATGACAACAGTGATTCTCCTCTTCCTCCGTTCTTGCTGGGACATCGGTCTGCCAGGGCACTCGAAGCGCCCGCGCCGATCATTGCGGACGACTTCTTCGATCTCGGCAGCGTAGCGAGGTCTCAAGGCTGGAACGTCAGATACTGCCACTGGGGGCCCTGGTAAGAATGGACCACGCTCACCTTATGCGGAAACATGACTCCGAAAACGAAGGTCTGAAGCGCTGGACGAGGGCTGAGACGCATTGGGTTACTAGACACTTGGTACGGCCTCGAAGCCTGACGTGTCTCATTCTGGTCAAAGGGGCGTCGCCCTCCTTCAGGCTGGAGAAGCCGTAATGCGAGATCAACTGTGCCATGACCTCAGGGTAACAGGGTAAAAAGAGCTGCGTCTCGCTTCAGGAGGGTATGCTTCCCCACACTAATGCATCTAATGCAATGCCAAGCCTGAGCCCCAACCTGAGAGCAGCAACACTCTATTCGCCCTGCACCTCGCGAAGGAGCATGAAGCCATCTGCACGCTTGTGGAGGTGCCGCCCGCCTCTAAACTCGCGAACTTGTTTGTAGCAGGTCTCATTCCATTGGGCCCGATTTCAAAGTTGCATGAAACAGGCGGGTCTATCGCAATTGTTGCGGCGCGTCATGACCGAATCCGACCCCCATCAAACCCCGACCCTGGCTCCTTTGTGGCGGAGGACTACGACCAGCTTCCGCGACAGGTGATCCCCATCCTGGGCCCAACATCTTCGCGAAAATTGCTGTCCACGCAATTCCCAAGAAAGCGCCGCGGCTGTGGCTGCCGGGGAGCATTGTACATGAGGGAGCTCCTGTCGCGCGGCCCCTCGCCACGCCGATGGGAGCGAGCCATGGCTGCTTGGAGGTCACAGCTACCAATGCCAAGCTTCAGCTATGAAGCCCAAGGTAGGGGCCTCAGTTTTGGGAGCTCAAAGCCTGTTTTAAATTAAGGCCCCTGAGGCCAGGCCCCTGAAGCTTACGCAGCGTCCCCGAGAGGAAGGCCTTTCCTGAGGTGGAATGGGCAGCTGGAGGTACGGGAGCTTCGGAAAATAGGGGACCATAACTTAGCACCCTATAAATAGTAGGATCCTGATTTATACGGACTCCAAAATAAGGTACCCCTAATTTTCGGAAACTCCTGCACCCTGGATTCTCTGGCAGGCGAACCCCTGAATCGAGGGAGAGCAGGTCCCCTGTTCTGGAGTTCGCTTGGGCCCAGTCAGGGAATGAGCAAAACGAGTTAGCCCATCGATTGTACTTAATTGACATGGGCTTTGTCATTTTTGCGTTCATTCTCAGCACGCCGTGTCTCGTAATCCCTAAACCCTTCGAGTCTGTTTGGCGTTGCATTCTTCCAGGAATCCTGGGGGTGACTAAAACGAAAGTTTACCGAAAGCACACGTGACGAGCTTGAGGAGTCGGTGACGACCCAGAGACATAGAAACTATGAAGTGAGCACCTTGCCACCACAATGGAAGTGCCCAAAACCTGCTGTGACGGCAACAGTTAATGAACAGCGCTCGAGGAGGTAGCAGTGGGAGTAGCACCAGCAACCGTTGCAGCGATACGTTCCCTCTAGCAACCCAGTATGCGAGGCAGGCGCGGCCTGCTCGCCACGGATGCGGATGAGGCCATGGGTCTTAATCGTGCGGCCGCTCGGCCTTGTGGTGAAGACCTGGAACAGCATGGCTGCACTGGGAAGTAACGCTTGTGGGAAGCCTCCTCCCACCGCCGTTTCGACAGCGTCTTTTTTACAAAGAACAAAGAAAATGTGCAGGACTGGTTTGCGCAAAGCAGCTGTGCAGCTACTCTGCTCCGGGCCGCTGTCGAGCTGTACCTCAGCTCCTACCACTGATATACTGCCATCTCTCGGCGTACCATCTGCAAACCAAGCCAGGGAAAGCATGTAAGTACAGTATGGGAAGAACGGTAGAAGAAAGCACTCCGTGAGGCATGAAACCACACAAGCTGGCAAGACGTGTCATTGCAAGCTTCACGGCCTTTCTCAAGAGGCGAATGACTGCAATGTGAAACTCCAAAGCTCGATTCATACCTTTTGCAAAGCCTGAAGCGCTGAAGTGACAGTAGACAAACGAAGGACAATCATGTAAGAATGAAACTGATAACTTACTAATGACGATGCAGAAATGGTGATACAAAACTGGTGCTGACGGTTGTACATGAGCCGGGGGGCAGAGTACGTCGAACCATCTTGATCCGTCCACGTACCAATCCTCCGCTCGGGATGCGGTCGGCTTTGGATTTTCTGTGCTCGGATTAAAGGGGTGCTTGGTGCTGAAACATGGTCCTTTCATTCAGTTCAGTTCTTCACTGATCGTGCTGCTGCCAGCTTTGGTTGCACTTGGCCTGCTTCTTGTAGTCCGACGGTTCCAGCTGCTCACCACTATGACTCTATGCCTTCATTACATGGCTTCTTTCCTGAACTCCGGGACTTGCGCTCACGGCTTCATGTGCCAACACCCTAAAAGACCACGGCTCAATCTGCAGGACATCAGGGCCGAGGCGCACCAGGTCCAACATGGCGAGATTGTTGCACCGCACCTGGTCCTTGCACGGCTGTCGCTGTGTCGTCGGACATACTGGGACTTTGGGTTTGAGGAGGAAAGGCTCTGAGAAACCATGACGTATGACACAGCCCGGGTCACGACTTGCCCCCCTCGGGTCTGATGATCCCACCCATCTAGCGCACAAACAGGTAGGGGGATCATATCTGGCAGTGCAGCTATGGAGCCTGCTCCGATAGCTTGCCACCTCGGAACTGCCGAGACTGAACTGCAGGAAAAGCACATGCCATCGAAGGAACACACACACACACACACACACACACCCGCGCAAACACACAAACACACACACACACACACACACACACCCACACACACCCACACACACCACGACCATGAATACCGCAGAAAAAAATCAGCATCCGAATAGCTGGCGCGACATTGCACAAACGAAGGTCTCTTCTCTGAGCTCATGGCCCCTCTCTTGCCAACCTCACACAGAAACGGTCGACTGGGGCCTGGAGCCTACGTAGCTTTTTGCCTTGCATGTCTTCGAGCTCAATTCTCAGGAGGGGCAGGAGGCGATCACCAAACTAAGGACTGGTGCTGTTGAGGCTTGCAGCTGGCGCTTCGCTGGATTTCCAGCGGATCTGCTGTTCCCTATTGCACCAGACTCTTCCGACTAAATGGGAAGAGCCGACACTCGACTCTTGGGGGGAAGGGAAGGGTGTTGTGTAGGCTTGCAGCCTGAAGCCAGGAAGCATAAGGCGGGCAGCGACTCCTTTGCCTTTTTTCCTCCGCCTCCACCTGCCAAGGCGAAAAGGTGGATGGTTGTGAGACGTCCTGCCTGTCCGGTGGAAGGCCCAGACAGCAACCGGTGAATTCGGAGCAGTACGGGGCTACAGGCACAGTCTTAAGGGAACTGCGAGCATATGGGAGACCTGGACTCGCCAAGCTGCAGCAAGAGCACCCTGAAAATCCGACCTAGCTTTTGTGGCGCTGAAGGCATGGCTCAATGTAGCGCGAAGGCTAGCGGAACTTCACTGCGAAGCACAAAGCCTAAGACTTGCGGCTTCGGGCTGGGAGTTGCTCAAGACACCGTGAGACTGGTACTGTGGTATCCTCTGCATCGGGAGTTAGTCTGGGTTCTGCCGAGGTGGCATGGATCGGGAATTAGTCTGGGACGCACCCAGTGCCATGTTGTGTACAAGGCTTACTATAAATACCGTGGCTTGAGCCAAAAGTCGCGGATAAGGAGCTTGGTGGTCTCTTTCAAACCAACACCCTGAACGTGGAAGCCCGGAAACCGAGCCGTCAAATCCCGAAGTCGCAGGGCCTGCCCTGGATGGATCCACCACGGCAACCACCTGAGCACAGGGTTTCCATGTTCCGCCATTCAGTAAAGTAAACTCAACTCTCAACGTGAAAGTCGCAGTGACGGCTGCTTTTTAAGGTGCGACCTCAGGAACAACCCTGCCTCAAGCGAGGTGTCCATGTCCCCCAGGATCTTCGGCACGACTTCTTCCGCCTTCCCGACCTCAGCGCTATTTTTCTCTTCGCCCTTCGCAGTGGCTCTTCGGAGAAGGCCGTCTTCTCGTGGACTGCAATCTGCCCAAACTCGCGGAATCTGAGGCCTCCTGACCCACGGACTCCGGCAACTGTAGGTTATCTTTCAGGAAATCAACAGCTGACTGGTTCGGAGAGCCGAGTACTTGGTCAACCTCACCACTGTCAAAGTAAGTGCACGAAGCAGACTTGGTTTCGCCAGCGGCCCAGGCTATAAACTCCGTATTGAGGATGGAGTTCTGCTGCGCATTTCGACGAGCATCCTCTGGCATCTGACCACAACGCACGGCGATGATTTGTTCCCAGCATGGCGCGAGAATCTTTGGGGGGTCTGGTCAGAACAGCATGACCGTAAAACGCAAAGATGACAAGATGTCCTCGATGTTCTCCTGCACGATATCAATGCCAATCACCTCTTGAGAGTGATAAGGTGTTGCCCTCTTTCCCGGACCTTCCACCACATCCCCTGGGGCCTTAATGATTCGATCTGGGTTTTCGGTATACGGTATACTGCAAATCAACGGAGGTACCTCTCCCTCGGACTCCCATGCGCCCCACCTTGGCGCAGTAGCCGGCAGCGCAAAGGCCGATGGTGCCAATGCCGCAGAAAATATCCAGAAGGATCTGGGCCAGGCTTCTTTGCAACAGGTTTTGGGGGGTCTTTGGGAGTTTCCGAGAATTAGGGGTACCTTATTTTGAGGTCCTAAAAAGTAGGATCCTACTATATAGGGTAGAAAAGTAAGGTCCCCCATTTTCGGAAACTCCCATATGGTATAGCCATTTGGAACGAGGAATACCTGAGCGCTAGCAGCCCTGGCACCAGCAGGGGATGAATGCAGCAGTGCGGTCGCCGCGGCGACATGTCGAGCCCTACTTGGAGGTTCATGGGTACTTATAAGTAGGGTTATAAGTAAGGTAACTATACTTAGAACCCATATTAGGGGCCTTATCACCCCACTTAATAACTAACCCTGAACCTCCATGAACCTCCAAGTACACCAATGCCATGAGACTTCTCAGAAGACGGCATCGCTCTTTCGCAGCTTCAAGTACCTGTCACCAGGGGTCTGCCTGAACATTGGCTACCAGCACGGGCACGGGCCGGGGCCGGACAGATCGCACATCTCTAAGATTCTAAACGTTGGATAAAACTTTGGAAATCCAGGCTCTAAAACGGCAGATGCCTGATCGCCGTCTCCATGAGGAAGCGGCAGGTGGTGGTGTTGGGATTGAAGAAGGACCTAACAACTCAATGTCAAGGGTTCAGTCGTGTGAAGGGATGTCAAGCGAAGCCAGTGTAAGCAGACCTGCGAACACAAACCGGAATGCTTCCTTGTCTTGGACCATGTGCAAGTGTCCTCCATTCTTGACGTGCTCTCCGTACCCTAGCTCCTCCCTTCTACTGCAAGCTTGCTTGTGCAGCTTGAGTCGCAGTGGTCCGATCTCCAACTTCAGCTCTAGCATCGGCATCTCCAGCCTGGACCGGAGCCACTCCGCTCTCTGCTCCCTGACGAGCCCCCGAAGCCTAAGCTTACCCTTGGTTAGTCGGGAATGGGGGAATGGGGTACCATTATAACTACTATTACTACCATATAACTACCATACTACTACCATATTATAACTACCATATACCTTATATAACTACTACATAACTGCAATATAACTACCATATAACTACCATTCGGTAAGGAGCCCCGGGGCTAAGGACTCTTCTGCTCCGGCCTCGGCATCCCGTGCAGCGAGGTGACCTTTCGCGAAATCAGCACAGGGACCATCGGATCATCAGAGAAGGCTTAACAGGAATAGTAATATTGTAATAGTAATATAAAAGTAATAGTAGTAGTAATAGTAATAGCAATATAATAGTACTGGCATGGCTTGGCAAGCTTCCTGCCGGAACCGGCTGCCAGCTCCGTGGCTATCTGAGCACAGGGCCAAAGCATTGGGCCTCGGCGCATCTGTCACCTCCGCAGTCCGCACCACCCAGGTCGAGCTTGCAAAGCATGAGCCAACCACTTCCCCAGCCTCGTCGTTGTGCAGGTGATAAATGGCACAGATGCCAAGACCACTGGCCACCAGTTCGGCGACCAAGGGGTCCACCTCGCCATTACAATCTGGCCATCTACCCGTCGTGTTTGCAGGAGGCGTTCTCCATTCGGTACAAGCACAGCGCGCGGCACGAGCCTGCGGCATGCTTGAGTGTGGAGCCCCACACACGAACTCAGCGCCTTGCAAAGGCTGAGCGGTCCTCCTCCTTGATGGTCGTCGTTTGCACCATCACAAGCCTGCGCAGCGCAATGAAGCGAAACCCTGGCTCAGAACTTCTGGGCCTCTCGGCGAAAACTCCGAAAAAAACGAACGACACCTCGAAGGCTTCTTCCGGAATCTGGGTTCCGCACATGTCTCCCCCGGGATTGACGCGCGAAAGAACGGTGCGCCATACTCCACATCGAGCCTGCGAGCAACTGCTGCACAAATGATCGGTTCACCACCACCACCACCACCGCCACCACCACCACCACCACCAAGACTATGACGCCAACGACCACACCCCGGTGGTGGTGATAGCGACAATGACAGTGATTGTGATAGCAGTAACAGTAGAGCACAGACCCAACCCCCATTTGCAACCACAATCTCTGTACTCCCACATGTTGAGGCCGAAGTTAAGCTGGAGCTTTTTACGGCGTCGACACTGATAAACTTCTCAACAACCGAAGCCCTGCAATCCCAGCTAACACGAGCTTTCGGTTTGCTAGAGTGCCTTGCGGTCGTATATGGGAAAGCTGGACTTCTCAACGAAAGCCGCGACCTCAATGTTGGGTACTTGCAGTGAGGCTTTGAGAAGCAAACCAGCGGGTTGTAGCAGACTGGCACAGCCGATTATCAACCCACTTCCCCTTCGAACATGGAATCGAGGCTGTAAACCTGGCAATTTAACCTGTCGTGACTCATTCGAAATCCATAAACCAACGCCTGTTGCGAACCCACACTGCCATGCATCTAAGCAGCCACCGCACACAAGCGCTGCATGCATTCCGGCACCAGCCTGACACCATCGAAGGCTGGGCCATGTGCACATGTGCTTGTACAGCAGTGGCCACACCTGGGAAAAGAATTCGGATACTGCAGATACCATTGATCTGCAGGCCAGCTGAAGTTCAGAGCCCCAAAGCCCAGACGTAACTCTTGGGATCCCGTGAAATCGGTATGACTGGCAACAGTGCTAGCTGTCACACCGCGCAGTGGCTAAGGGTGCCACGGCACATCCTGAACGCTGCCGACGACCTGCATCCACTCCGGTGCAGGATGCGCCAGCTGGTCGCTGGGTTTAGGAGGCGGCTTTGCCGTTACCTCTCCTCTCCGCATCTCTAGGTGCCTTTGACTTTCGGGCAGGCTCGGTTTGCGCCGCTGTCAATCATGGAGAGCAATGCTAGGGAAAGGGATTGGCCACGCTTAGAATGGAGATTGCTTCGGAAAGGGTCGGAGTTTCTGTGTCGACGGCTTGGCACATTCCTGCCTGCGAGCCGTCGCTCAGAATTCTCAGGATGAAGCCCACCTCTACAGCCTGAGTTGGATCGCAGGCTCACGACGTATCATAGTGTATCATATGGAACCATATTGTACTATGTCATGCACTGTTTAGCCTTGGGAGCTGCAGCACTCTCTCACTGAATGCAACACTCCGACATTGCCAAGGTGCACCCTGCACGTTGCGGCCGATGGTGAACCTGGGTGGCTTCTGGCATCTGCGCTTGCTGCGCTGCACAACAGTGAGGCATCAGCTTCACATGTCCTATCCGAAAGATGTGACTACCGGTATAGGCACATATACATATACATATACATATACATATACATGTACATAAACATGTACATATACATATACATATACATATACATGTACATGTACATATACATATACATATACATATACATATACATATACATACATATGTACACATGCACATACTTATACATGCACACAATATGTGTGCAGGTATATACATATAAACATATATACATACATGTACAGATACATATAGAGAGAGAGAGAGAGAGACAAAAACATGTATAATCACATATCTGTTTATGCATATAATATATATATATATATACATGTGTATGTGTATATATATATATATATGTACAATTGTGTGTGCACAGGTGACCTATGTTTATTTATGTCCTGTGCACTGTATCCCTGCATGCATGATGCCTGCGTGAATGTATGAATGTACACATACTGTGTGTGCGCGTGTGTTGACATGTGTCCCAATATCAATTTTCATATTAACCCGGTATACAATACTGTACTATATGCAATATATCATGGTATACTATATCATCTCATATCATAACATGTCATCTTCTATCGTACCGCATCATATTATACCACATTGTCCTACATTGTGTTGTAAACCCTTGTAATATAAGGTCTTGCACTAAAGAAAATGCTTTGCTTCATAGCGCAATTTATTGTATCATGCGATCTCTATCTAAACTATATTCTACTATGTTCTACTATATTGTACCACTCCAGACAGCATTATGCTATACTATACGACACTGAGCTAATTATACTGCACTGTCCTACTTTACATCATCTTGACTAACGCTGTGGTATATTACATTGACGAAACATGTCATTAAATTACATGATGCTACATTACAGTACACTGTACTACAATAATATACCATATAGTATGCTATGTCGCATTTTGTTGTAATACTACTATTGCATTGTAACCTGTTATGCTCTGTCAGGCTAAACCATATAATGCTGTGTTGAAGAGCTGTATTCTATGTTAGACTTTTGTTCTATATCATCTTACGGTACACGACAATGCACGGATATTCTTGCATGATGTGCCGTGGTATTATATAGCATTGTAGCACTTTCTTGTGCTAGAACTTGTTCTGTACCTGTATTGTATCATAAGTTAGTGTTAGTTTACTGTTGTCTCAAACTAAACTATACCATATTTTCGGATTCGACATTTTCTCATATTGCATTCTCGCATTTGTATACATACGCGCATGTACCTATTGTATGTGCATGTGTAGGTATATAACATATATATATATATATATCTATTTGTATGTATGTATTTCCCTCTCGCACTGCCGTTGCTGCGAGGCTGCCTGGAAAGTAACCCACCTACAGAAGAACCTCAAGCTCGAAGTGCGCACGTGAGGCACCTAACTTGCATATACGTATATTAAGATAGATAGTGGATTCCATATCTATGTCTATATATATGTGTGTGTATGTATGTACGTACGTATATGTTCTACCAAGCGCATCACAAAATTTGGCTCCGATGCTTGCCCTCTCTTGAGCTGAGGCCATCGCTCACATTTATTTCTCCAGCCCCTGATTCAGGTCGGGTGGTTTCTCCACGGTTTCCTAACAACTGGACAGTCGTCCCCGGTGCTCTCACACGCTCCAAAGTCATGTCAGGATGAGTTCGCGCCGTTTTCCGCACGGCACGGACTACCCATGCGTGCCTGCTCCTCTGTGCCATCTAGGAGCTCTTCATGTGGGGCTTCAGGTTAGGTCTTCGTAGACATGCCGAAAAAGGCCCAAAATCCAATGTAATGTCGTCAGAAAGTTTTAAGCAAACCTCACGAAGGCAAAGCCCACAAGCTCCAATCCAGAATTTTATCTGTTGCACTGCGGAACGGACCTCAATCCGTGAGCCGGAATCTTCTTTCAACCGAAGCCCCAAGGTTGAGGCTTCTCGCCTCCACGAGAGTTCTTGTGACCCCAATGCTCCCTCACAGACACTCACAATGTGCCTCGGTCTCCCAAACGCCTGACTTGGTTGGGGTATGAGCGACTGCTACACCTCACAGCTACTCACAACACAAATGTCAAGCCTACTTCAAAATCCCGGCCACGACGTGGCAGTTTGGGAAACGAAAGCACAGTTAACCCGTCCATAACAGCACAAGTGCTTTGATGTGAATGGGGCTGCGTGATCTGGATAGGTCCGTTGCGGGACACATCGACACAACACACGTGCTATCTCGTGCTGCAGGAGATGGCTAGACACCATAGGCAAATCCTAGTCCTAATCCACGACTACCACGGCGGTGGCCGCTAGCATTGACAATGCAGTGACCGCTGCTGCGCCTGCTACTGCTGCTGCTACTACCACCTCCACCACCACCGCCAACGCCACCACTGCAACTTCCAAAGCGTCTGGGCCCGAGAGTACTTTGAGTGCCCTGGGATTCTTCGGTTGTGTGTGTTGCCTCTCTCTTTTCCCTCCCCCCTCCCCTAGGTTCAGGGCTCACTGACCGCACGCCATACCTCCCGCGCCTCTGACTTGTTCTGACAGACAAAGTTACCACGTCTGGCTGAGTACATATGTCAGTATGGCTTCTTCTGCGACTTCTTCTGCTACTGCTGGCCGCCCCCGCACCGCGGCACAGAACTGGTTGGACAGCGGGGTCGCCGACAGACCTGGAGGACCCCTACGAGGACTTACACTGGTGTACCAGGGCATGCGACCGCCGGTTTCGTCCTCTACGAGCACGTCGAGTTACAGGTGTCCAGGTGAGACCCAGGCAGATGCCAGAGCGCAAGCTCGACGTTTGGTGTCAGGACAGCTTGGACCGCCGCCTACGACATCTACCTCACGCCGAGCCTTGGATCTCAACACCATGGATTAGCTTGTGCAATCCGGCACCGGCTGGCAGGTTTACCTCCGCCGGTGACTGTGCCCCATCCGATAACATGCTCACACCACCACACCACTGCTCCAGTTACAGCATGCAGCATCCTCCATGCCATGGCTCGCCCGCCCTCTTCAGCCTGCCTGCACAGTGCTCCGATCGTCCATCAAGTCGGTTAGAGTAAGCCCACCTTGGACCTCTGCACTCCCATACTGGAGCTTCCCTTCCCTTCAGGTACATTGTGGCGCCCAAAGAGCGCTGGCCGATTCCAATGCTGCCGGCACAGGAGCCCATGGTGTGCATGGTGAAATCATGTGTGTCTCTGCCAGTTCACTGTACAGCCTCATGCTATGCTGCCGCATCCTACCTGCCGATGCAAGCACCACGCTGGCTCAGGGTTGGGGTACTTCGGCACGCTTGACTCGGACCACTTTACCTGACAGACCACTTCACAGCCCTCTGCCCCCGACCTGTCGTATACACCATGCCTGTTCGGGGTGTTCAGGGTCGAGGGCCCGGTCTGTGCGCTTCATGGCAAGAGGGCGCCGAGGACAGCGTAGAAGGAGGCCTCGTGACGGAGAAAGAGAGGCAGTTCGACCGCCCGGCCGTGTTAGGGAGGCGAGGCGAAGGCAAGTAGAGCTGGATGCCGAGCCAGAACTGGTAAGCTCGAGCGATGAGGACTCGACATCTGACGCAGTGGACACGTCTCCTCTCGGTGCGGCCACGGGTCCCAGACGGCCAGGACGGCCGCTCACCTTGTATGCTTCTGATGCCACAGCGAGATCTGCGTTGGAGGGTGAGTCGATACTTCAGCGCGAAATGGCACCAGATGCCTTTATGGCTTTGGCATCACAGCTTGGACGTTCCTATGCATCGGCCCGTGTGGATGTCCGTCTCGCGTCTGGTTCCTCTTCAGGCGCCAAGGCTTCGGCTGCACGGCCAGTGCCATCTTTTGCATATCGCAATGCTGTTGGAGCCGCACCGGGCACAGACCTTCCCCTGGATCGACTTGAGGAAATTGAGGATCAGCCGACGGATGCCTCACAGCCTCACTTTCGCAGCACCGGCGCTGGCAGACGCTGGCCGGCTGGTTCTCTGCCACCGCATAGGCCCTCTGCGGCAGGTTCCGGCGTGCATGGAAATGCAAGCTTGCAGCAGGCTCCGACGAGCCAAGATTCAGTGATGACCATCGGAGGCACAACTTTCCTTCGACCCAAGCCTAAGAAAAGGCCCCGAGCTGAGCAGTGTCTTGAGGACGTCGCTACGGAGAGCAATCCAGCGGCAATGGACCACACTGGCGGAGATGTGACAAGCCCTGAGCACTTTGAGGGTCACCCACTTCAAAGGCATCGCGATGGAGGTCTGGAGCTGTTCCGAAGCGACACCGAGCCGTTGGTGGTCCGAGGACAGTGCCTATATCCAAAAGTCCATCATAGAGTGTTCCTGGACTCCCTCATCATACCAGCCGAGGGCCCACTCTTGCATCACTTGAATCCTGGAACTCCGCCGTATGCTATACAGCACTACCACCACAGATGTGCGAGAATCCGTGCTGCCCTGTTTCACTCCCTCCCGGCAGCGGAGGATGCAGGATTCCCTGGGGAAGGAACCCCCCCTGCGGCTTTCGCGAAGTTCGATGCATACATGCTGGTGCAGTGCATGGGTGTTCCGACTGCAGTTCGAATTCTCAGCCCGCCTGTTACTCTTCGGGGACTTCACCTACTTTGTGATGTTTTGAGGCCTTCTCCCCCTAAGGACTACAGGGAGCTTCGGGTTTGGGGTGTTGGTTCCACCTTCTGCTCACTTCGGTTTAGTCCCGAATGCCAGACTTCCCCAACCATGCGGTTGAACCTCCCGCCTGGCCCCTGCATGCAGCCTTCTGTTTTGCAATTGCGTCAAGCGTCGCACATTGGAGTGCCTCAGGAGCTGCCTGCCGCGCCAGGCGACTGCCAGGCCGTCGCCGGTTTCCAAGCAGCACGTTTCCCCTTAATCCTCCGGATTCCTTGCACTTTGGGATTAGGATCCACTAACGCCCGTTCCGAGCATTATGCCACAGGCGCTGCCGCGAGCAGCCGATCAAGGCTTGAATCTCAGCTGCGCGCATGCCCGTACATCCCCACGCTCCTTAAATGTGGTGCGCTCTCCCTGGAGAGGATGGGGCGCACTCCTGAGCCATAGGAGATATAGGACCCACCTCACCCGACGCAGTCCACGTTGCACTAGCCTTTTCGGTAGTGGTCTGCCTGCTCGACTATATAGCACATATTGCACTGCCTCTCGCCTGTGTATGACCACACTGCGCAACTGGGGCGGTTCCTTCTCACTCTCAGGCCGATGGCTGCAGCATGTTCGAGGATGGCTCCCACGACCCTGGATAGTGCCGGTCACCCCAGTGCATTCGTTCGAGTGTGGTATGGTTTGCCCTGAATTGGCAACTAGGGGATCCCACACCCCCCTCAACCCATGCCCCGATCATTCCCCACGACCCCCCGTATACACACACAGCCCATTGACGGCAGCGCGCCGTCGTCCCGACCAATGGTCGGGCTCTCCCGGTCCCAAGTCCGGGAGGTGTAGAGACCCATCCTTTTGCAGATCACTAGCTCGTGTAGGGCTGTACTTCTTACATGTACACGCAGCTGGAGCGGTCTCTACATCAGACGCGAGGGCTCCACTGGCTTCCCAGGTCAGTGGGGGAGCGGACACGTCTCCCGCGGCTCCAGGCCACGCACCCGCGAAGCCTCTGGGAGCACAGGTTGCGATTTGCAGGTCGCCTCTTCCGTCCTTGCAGAAGCAGAGAATCGTTAAGCGTTCGCTACAGAGAGTTCACCGACGCATCATACGGACAGGTGGAGCTTGGTACAAAGGCCGTTGGTACGACACTGAGTCGGCCAGAGTCTTAACTCAAGCAACACAGGTCTCGGGGTCCACGCATCCCCCAACAGCAGATCCGCCTCCAAACCCACGGTCTCAGCTGCGTGTACCCAGTGGGAGGGGCGTTGACCCCCAACCGAGACATCAGCACCTGAGGGTCATGACATGGAACGTAGGCGGATTGGGAGGAGGGTTCTTTGATGAATTATTGGTTCACATTCACCACAATCCTATTGATGTCCTGTTTCTTCAAGAAACGAAGTGGAGATTTAGCAGCAGCTGGGAAACTGACCGGTATGTCTTCATCCACAGCGGGTCTTCCGCGCAGGACTTCAAGCAGGGTGGTGTCATGATTATTATTGCCCGGCATCTGATCAACCCAGGTTCGCTCCGCTACGCCGAAGCCCTTCCAGGCAGGCTGATGCGAGCGCAATTCCATCACAAAGGCACCCCTTGTGACCTTATAGTGTTCTACCAACACACCTGGAGGGGCACAGATCATGTACGTAGACTGCGTAGCCAGGCGTTTGAACACCTTCAAAAACTCATCCAACTTGTTCCCAAAAGGAGTGTCATGATCATCGGTGGCGACTTTAACACTTCCTGTACCACGGCCAAGCCGCATGTGGGCACAGGCTTGTTGCCCCCGCCGCCCAATTGGGCTTTGGATCAGGAGGACTTCCAGGCTCTGTTAGTTGGTCTCGGTCTATGTGCCATCAATACCTTCACCGACTCTGGCTCTCCACACACCTTCGCCTGGGGGTCTCAGCGTTCACACATTGACTTTCTTCTCATCAGATGTGATATGGCGGATAGGTTCTCACGCATGGCCCGCCCGTTACACGAGTATCCTGTGGGAGCGTGGCGAGGTGGCCCCAAACACTATCCGGTCTTCGCATGTATCCCCTGGCATTGGTGTCCGTGGCAGCGCACAGGCACCATGCAGCGCAAACTGCAGATTGATAGGCATGCTATTGCGGATGCACTGGCAGGCAAGGATGACGAACGCGTCAGCTCATTTCGGCAAGAGCTTCAGGCCTGCCTCCCGCAAGACGGTGCCGCACTGCAGAGTCTGCACGACGTAGTATACACCATTGCCGTTAAGCACTTCCCACGCAAACCCCCGGTTCGGGGCCCCCGTCCCTGGCAGGATGGCACTCTCCAACAGTACGCTGCGCATATGTGGGGACATCTCCGCTTATTGCGGCGATGGGCTCAGCGCTCTGGTGCGGCACGCTGCAGGCAAGCTTTGTTCCGCTGTTGGTATCACAGTACGAAATACTGGAACATGCACCGACGAGCGCAGCAACAAGGCAAGTCACTCCGGCGAGCCAGGCGGCAAACCATGCTAGCAGAGGCGGAACAGGCCATCAGCTCTGGACAATCCCGCCTCTTTTATCAGCTCATTGACAAACTAGCGCCGAAGGGCCGATTTCGAAAGTTCCAGATGAACAAGGGAGGCCAAATTCTTACACCGCAAGAAGAATTAGAAACAATGCGGAAGCATTTTCTTCAGGTCTTTAACCATGGCAGTCCCGCCCAACCCTTGGCTGTTCCTGGTATTGCGGATGTTGATCCTCCCACTCTGCAAGTCGAGCCGCTCGAGGTCCAACACTTCTTGGATAAGCTGCCGGCACGAAAGGCCGGAGCCTCAGGCACGGTACCTGGGGCAGCCTGGCGCCTGTGTTCGGACATGATCTCCCCGCATCTCACCCGGATCCTAAACCGTCGCTGGTGAGGCTCCTCTCACACCGCCCGAGCAGTGGACGACCGCCACACTAGCCCTTCTCCTCAAGCCCAATAAACCCGGTTCCTCACCTAAAGATTTTCGGCCCATTGGGTTGCTGGATGCCTTGGGTAAAGCGGCGATCGCGATGGTTATGTCCAAGGTCAGGGCTGACCTGGAACTCTACATCCGTAGCGGCCCTCAGTATGCCTACATCGGAGGGAGATCCACTCAGGATGCACTCAAAAGAGTCTTTGCACACAACTCTGCGGTTCGGGAGCAGCGCACCCCCAGCACCCGAGATCCCCACCTTAAACGTCTCGGAGTGAAGCCTCCCCCCCTACAGGGGGGGCTGCAGGTGTGCCTGGACCTCTCATCTGCATTCGACATGGTGCCTCGTCACCTCGTGGCTGAGGCGCTACATGATGCTGGCATTTCCGGTGCGCCTGCCGAGCTACTCATGTCTTGGTTATCCCAGTGCAAATATGCCCTTCACATAGACCAGCTGCATGCAGACATCCCCACAACGCGTGGGGTAAAACAGGGCTGCCCCGCCAGTCCATTATTGTTCGCCTGCTTTATGACTCTTGTCACTAAACGTATTGACGTATTGCTAGTCGCCTCTCTGATGCCTGGGTCTCCCGCTGTCTTACTCTGTACGCAGATGACTTCCACCTTGGAGATCTTTTCCGTGGCTACGCCGGGCTTGAACAGTTATGTGCTAGTATAGGGTTTATAATATCCACGCTACGTGCGCATGGCATGAGCGTCCACGCCACAAAGGCGCAGGCCATCCTTACTATGGACGGAGCACAACGGGGCACAGCGATGCAAAAGTTGACCAAACAGACAGACGACGGTCGCATGCTTCGAATTCATGTCAAAACCGGCGAGGAATACCTGCCGATAGTCAAACAGGCTGACTACTTGGGCGCTGTGACCACATACGCATCGTCAGCCGCCGCTACTCTCCACAAACGCATGCAACAGGCCAAAGCCACACATGCTCGTCTTCGCGGAGTCCTTCACGCGTACCGCACACTGACACTACATCATAGACTTCGTCTCTGGCGAGCCACTGTTTGGCCTAGTCTAGCGTATGGTTTAGACACTTGTGGTCTGACGGAAGAACACCATAGCACGTTGCAGACCCTAGTTATGAAGCATCTACGCGGGATTGCTAGATGCCCAGCCCATCTGACACATGAATCCGACGTCAGTCTGGCCGAACGTCTTCAGGTACGACTTCCCCGAGCAGCGCTTCGTCGAACCTTCGAGGCTTCTTTCGGCCGACAGGAACCCGATGATGCACATGTCATGCCCTTTGAGCACCCGTGGAATCGCTTTCTAGCCGCAGGCCTTGCGGAGCCTGCAGCAACTGGTAGGGACGCCAGCCCTGGCCCTGAGAGTGTCAGTGACCCGCTATACTCGCCTCCTGCGGACCACCAGGTGGAGGCTGCTACGCCGGGTGCGCCGGTATCCCTGCCGGAGGTTGAGGCGCCATCCACGCCACACATAACGGAAGAACCCCTAGGACCCCATGACATAGTTCCACCACCTCCACCACCACCACCTCCACCGCCACCGGACCCCACGGGGTTGACAGAGCCCCTTCAGTGTCCACAGTGCCCCAAAATCCTGGACACGCGGAAAGCTCTGAAATTACACATGGCCCGCTCGCACAAGATCAAAATTGAGCCTCAAGCCTTTGATCGAGCCACGCATTCATTAGACGGGGTCCCCACATGCGCTCACTGCAGGCACGCTTTCACTCGATGGGAAGTGTTGGCCAAGCACATCAGCTCCTGGAGCTGTCCACAGATGCCGCTGCCCGCCACTCACAGGGCTTCTGCCTCTACGATGGCTGCACCGCCCTCTGCCGCACCTGATGCTTCACCGCAACCCGCCTCAGGTCGACCACTGGCGGAAGACTCGGTGGGGCCAGATATGAACAGTGAGGCTCCAGACGCAGCGCCACGCGTGCCAGAGCACGCTAGGACAACCCCATCTGAATGTTCTCTTCTGGTGCAGGTCCGGAGTGTTCTCCAACAGGAAGGGGTCTCGGCCCTTCTGCGTCACTCGCTGCAAGCTCAACTTAAAAGTCACTGCGGCTTGTGCGGTCAGTGGATGGCCTCACCAACGGCACTACGCAACCATTATCGCAGCATCCACTCTGCTTCTTTTCACAGTGCGGCGGCTCAAGCTGAACGTCTGCTGCCACGAGTTGGGATCGCCATGAATCCCTGCCTGTACTGTAACATGTCACACAGACACCCCAGACAGCATCTGTCACACTGTGTGAATCTGTGGCAAAGCTGCCTCTTGAGCATACTTTTTCCTTTTAGCGATGGCCGGAGCTCAGAGAACCCAAGCCTCGGAGGATGTGCTATCTCAACTACAGGAGTCCTTCGGAGCGGTGATCGGGAAGAGGGGGGCGAAGGAACCGGCTCAGTCATCCACGGATGGCCGAGTGAACAAGGTGGGCAGAGGAACGTTTCCACTGGGAGGCCGGGGCAAGGGCTTCCAAGGTCGCGGTCGACAGCCACAGAACCGCCCCAGGGGAACCTGGCAAGGTGGCTCCGAGGACCAGGATCAGGACGGAGAGCTGCTGCAGATGGTAGCAAGAGCAGTGATCATGCAAGGCGACTCGATCAATGTGCTCCGCCGAGCGACAGGGTGGGTCTTCTGGGTCCGTTCCGGCGAACACTCGATCTTGCCGATGCTTGCGGAGCTGGCTACCAAATGGCACGATGCGGCCCAGGCGGAGACCATCTCTCCGACCCGAGTCTCTCTTCGGGTGGCCCTGTTCTGGGGAATCATTGCACACCTCAAGGACAAGCATGCACAGATGAACCAGGAGAACAAGGCCTACGCACTCAAGAGTGGATGGATGACGGAAGCGGGATGCTGGAACTATCAACGCTGGAATCCCACGCATCAATCCCTGGAGATAGACCCGGAGAGACAAGCGCTCACGCAAACCCAGGCCCAGGAATCTCTGGAGACACTACTCAGGCTGACCAACGGCGATACGATCACTCGCTTCACAGCCAGAAGGGAGCTTCACGCCGATATGCAGGGCACGGTGGCTTTCCAAGCGGATGTGGGACTCCGAGCCAAAGGATCCGAGGAGCTGTACCAGCAGTTGGAACGTCTCCGGGGACTGGCGCTGTTCCAGATCATCGGCACCTCCTTTCGACAGGAGGGGTACGGCCGCCCGCCCCTGATTCGGGCGATCCAGCGGCTCCTGCGTTGAGGCATCAACTCTGTAGCGGTTTGCCTGGCATGGACCCTCACACGTGCACCATCCCTTCTGATCGACCTGCATGACCTGGGTGCCAGGGCACTACGGCTTCTGACTGAGCACCAGGGCTCTTCCCTGCACCTTCTGCGGTGCCAGCCTTGGGCACGCATGTTGAGCAATTGGGCTCAGCCCACCCGCCAGCATGACGCCGCGGAACTCATATCCCACATCATCCCTCTCTTAGGTCCACGACCGTTTTCAGGCGACTGGGAATCTCGCTGCCAGGAGCCTGGAGGTGTTGTGATACGTGACGGCGGCAGTTGTCTTGAACCTGTGTCCATTGAGCTCCCCTCTAGGGGTGGAGAGCATACTGTCCAGTCGTTGTTGCATGCATGGCATCACCAACACAACATACAGGCCCTCAGCCAGCCACCCACCGTGCTAGTGTTACGATTTTCCAGGTTTCAGGAGACGCGCAGAGGGATGCGTAAGCATACAGGGGTAATTCGCTGGGGATCGGTCATTCACATGCCACTCTTTACGGGTGTGGAGCTTGATTCCATTACCCTCGCCTATCGTGTATGTGCGGCCATACTTCATCACGGTCCCCGGGTAGAACAGGGCCACTACACTGCGATCACACATCACGCCGACCAGGCCTGGCATTTTGATGACAATGTCCTGCCGCGACCCTGGCCGACTGCGGCTATGGACTCCAGTGCACCCCACGCCTCGAACCAGGTGTATCTTCTGATATGCCGACGCGTGGGGCACAACTAACTAGGCGTGCTAGGGGTGCTCCCGTGCTCGTGAAGCTGCCTTGCCCTCTCTCCTTCCAAGACCCCACTCCTGTGCCACAGGTTGTACGGGGATCATCCACCATGGATGACTGGGGCGGGGAAGCGTTGGCGCTCCGAGCTCGGGCGAAACAAAAGGCTTGTGTCGACGCGTTTGTTCTACCAGCCGAATTGCTGGTTCTCTCACACTGCCTAGTGCCTTGCATCATGCATCATGCATCACCGAGTGTACCGGTGTCACGACATGCGCTTGCGCTGCCATTGGCTGGCTGCATCCACCTTGTCACGTCACACGCTCAGGTTCCAACACATAGGCTACATGCAGTCGACATTGCCCCTGTTCTCACCGCACCACAGCTTACAAAACGCCCATAACCACCCGTATTCGAACCACACCCTAATTCTCTCAGCGATCATGCGAGCCCACCTATGCTCCTCTCGCCGATGTAGTTTGCCCTAAAGCACCATTCCCACAATGTAGGCTTTCCTTACATGTAGTCCCCCCCGCCTTCCCTTTGATCATTGCTGGACATACCAAGGAATGGTGCCTTGGTTCGCAAACTTTCCTCTTGTGTGGTGACTTTATTAAACCCCCCCAAAAAAAAAAAAAAAAAACACCGGCGCGCGCGCCTTATGGTATCACCCTCTTTGCCTTGAAATGCTACCGCGGAAGCCCGATGACGTCCCTCAAGACATATGGGACTTGGAACAGCCATCCATCTTGGGAATGGCGTATGGCTCTTGTGAGGCCTCAGACGAGGATCCGCCATCGCCATCGCCGTCGCCCACTCCGGCTTCACATGCTTCATCCCAGTGCTCCTATACTCCTGCCCACCAGAGTCTAAGCGCGGATTCACCGGTAGCTGCGGTGGTTGCTTCATTGGCACCTTCGAGGCCTTCACTTCCTCGGCTGAACCCGCGCTCTCGAACGCGTTCACGCTCGAGGGCTTCACAGGCAGGGGCATCGCAAGCACCGCAAGCTGGAGCATCACAGACCGGAGAGGACTGCAGGGATCATGACTTTGATCCGCCAGATGATAATGCTTGCGACACGGATGACTCTGTGGAGATAATTGACAAGCCGACCGTTTGGAGTGACTTGTGGAATCTCAGCCAGGAGGAAAGCCTACTTGTGTACCCGCTCCGACTACCGATGGAAGGACCACTCCCTTCGGAACCGGATTCGAGAGCTCATGCAGCGGAACGTTTGGCGTTTGATATATGCCGCCGAGGTTCCTGCAGTACAGCGGATTTTTGCACTTTGGCTACACTTCTTCCGGAGCAAGCGCAGCCAAGACGGCGACAAACCACCACTTCAGACGGCGCTACTGGCAGGCTACAGCGGGCTTTTCTTACAGGTGCATACTCCATTGGTGGTGGTGGCATTCGGGGAATACAGGCCAACACGGGCCTTTATCCATGGCTCACCACCTGGCTCACATCCGTGGTTCGAGGAGCCAAGGAAGATCATCAGTTCAGCAGCTGTGCATTTCTGGTTAACACTTTACATTATATGCATCGTGACACCGGGAATGCACCAGGCACCTCCAACTTGTTGATCCCGTGCAATCGCTGGCAAGGGGGACAGCTGTGGCTGGCGGACGCGAGCGGCTCTGTGAGATTGGATGCGACAGGACCACCAGGTGTGCTCCTGAATGTCACTCGGCCATACATTCAACTGAACCCAGATACACTACATGCCACCTACCCATGGGGAGCTGGAGACAGACTTCTGCTTGTGGCCTACCACGCCAGAGCGGTGGACAAGTTACCGGCGGAGGGGCATGCTCAACTCCGTAGGCGTGGTTTTCGCTTCATTCCGTGCGCACCCACTGGTCTGAGCTGAGCTGAGCGTGGTGTGAAGGATTGAGCTGTGAGCGGATGGGAGCGGCATGTTGAGTGTAGCTCGTGTGCGACTGGCTACGGGTCAGTACCACTCTCTACTGTGTGAATGTCGCGATGTTTCCTTTCTGTATGCTTCGTACTCGTATGCACAATCCGATGTCTTTACGTTCTGGAACGCTGTCCACCTTCAGTGCTTAACGGGCCCCACGGGGCGGGGCACTGAACTCTGCTTCTCAGGATGGTGCATCAACCTTTGATGCGTCGCTATGCGACCGGGCTTAAAGCCTGACCTATCTATCCTGTCGCACAGCTAGGACCTCCTTAGCGGCGTGTAAAACGAAACGAACTGCAACTTCCACCACTACAATCGCCGCTGCTGCTGCCGCAGTTGCACAAACTGCTGGTGCGCCTGCTGCTACTTCCGCTGCTGCTGATGTTGTTACCACCACCTCCGCCGCTGCTGCTGCATCTGGTGCGACGGCTGCAGCGAAGGGCTACGGCTGCGGCCACGGCTGCGGCTACTGCTAGTGCTACTGTTCCTGCGACTGCCTCGGCCACTTCCTGCCCCTGCTACATATCTATATATATATATATATACTACTACTACTACCACCACCACCACCACCACCACCACCAACACGACTACTACTACTACTACTACTACTACTACTACTACTACTACTACTACTACTACTACTACTACTACTACTACTACTACTACTTTTTTTGCAGCAGGCCTCGTTTCCAGCAGCCCGGTACACTACTACTACTACAAATACTACTACTACTACTACTACTACTACTACTACTACTACTACTACTACTACTGCTACTGCTACTGCTACTGCTACTGCTACTGCTGCTGCTACTGCTACTGCTACTGCTACTGCCTGCTACTGCTACTGCTACTGCTACTGCTACTGCTACTGCTGCTACTGCTACTGCTACTGCTACTGCTACTGCTACCACTACCACTACCACTACCGCTGCCGCTACCGCTACCGCTACCGCTGTCGCTACCACTACCACTATACCACTACCACTACCACTACGACTACTACTACTACTACTACTACTACTACTACTACTACTACTACTTACCACCACCACTTTCTGACGGGGACAGTGGAGCAAAGCACACATGTCTGCTGCGCGAAGTCACTCTTGTTCTTGTGCAGTAGTGCTGGTACTTCATGGGCCTTTTAGTAGGGGGAGGAGGAGTGGTGAAAATTCTGTGTTCTACACTTGTACATTGCTTGTGCATAAGCACTCGGGTCCGCAGCCCCGTCTCGCGACATCTGAAGGCCCTCTGGACCAAGCAAGGCTCGCAACAAAAATCTCTGCAGCCGAATCCAGTCAAGAGTGTGTTGCACTGAAGCCCGAGGCTTTCTGTGCAAGGCTTCAGGTACGGCAACAAGGCGGTTTTTTGGTTTCCGTCAGTTTACCATGAAAATCACTTCTCTAAGAGCTTCCTCGCAGGCCTGCTCTGGCTTCGAGGCTTGAGAGGGGTGCAAGGTTGAGCATCTTCGAGCTTTGGCTTCACGCCTTCGCTCTGGGCCACACTATGCCTTGAATTGGTGTATGGGAACTCCCATCAGGATCCCATGCAAGCTACACAGCTTCGTGTGGCCACTTGTCGGTCACTGCTGTGAGAAACGATCCGTGCATCTTGTCCTGCATCACTGATGCACTTTGACTTCTCGTTGCCGTGGGGCCTCACTGGCCCGTTGTGGGGCAAGCCCAAGAGTTCAGAGGCTGGTTGCCGAACGGCCGAGAAGCTAAGCTTTGCTTGGGGACTGGGACAAGGAAGTGCCGAACATCAGCCATCTGCACAAGCGTGTTTTCAGTGTTTTCCACTCCCAGGTTCTACATATTCAGCGCCCAGACAGTTCTGGCAATCATTGCGTTCATCGCCTGACAGTTATCAGGAACATCGCTATCACGAGGACCATGCCGCGCGTCGGGGCTATCTCGATGGAACCACAACCATAGAATCCATCGGAATGGCGACTGTTACGTGTCATGCTAAACTGCCCCAACAATCAGAACTATCATAAGACTCGAGACTTTCTGAGCAGGAACCATCACAACATCAATAGCGACACCTCACACTCCCGGGAATCACGGCTGGCATCCAGAACGCCGGCAACCAGCAAAGATGCTCACAATCAGGATAGGCCTGTGGGCCGAAGGCTTTACCTTTGGCCCAACGCTTAGCGGAAGGCTCTGCCCCTCACGAGCCTCACGAGTTCCTGGCGCACCAGCAGCAGCAGGAGCCGGAGCCGGAACAGGAGCTGCAGTAGTCAGCAGCAGCAGCAGGAAAAGGAGGAGGAGCAGTAGTGGTAGCAGGAGTAGTAGTAGTAGTAGTAGTAGTAGCAGCAGCAGCAGAAGCAGCAGCAGCAGCAGCCGGATCGGGATGAGTCATCAGGTTTCGATTTGGTAGTGGTATATAGTCTGCGAATGATCTAGGCGCAGCTTTCAATCTCTTGAACGGCCTCTGCGGTGAGAGTAAGCGAACTGCCGAACAGCATGGAAATTACAGTACGGGCACAAACACTCCCAAATGCAGTTGCGATCATGACAGGATTAGAGGTATCAGCCCAGTGATTCTGCAGCTGCGTGCCTGAACAATGACCCCCCGCCTTGTCAGATGCCCACTTCGTACCACTCGCTGGCACGCCCACCAACATCATCGTCGCTGCTGTCATTTGACCCGCACTCTGACATGCAGATCAGCTTTTCCTGAGCGACAGGACACACCCACCCAGACAGAGAAATGATGTGATGTAAACCGAAGATTCCGGCAGGCGCAGTGGTGAAAACCATGAATCAACATTAAACGATACAATGCCTCCAAAGTAGCCAGGTGGGAATCCAAGGGTCCTACTGTGAACCATCCCCTCCAGTTCCGGTCCCTGCACCAACCCCGAAATGCAAGAACAAGGGGACCAAGGTCAGGAAAAAGCGAACTCAGCAACCAAGACTGGCTCTTCTGAAGTTTAGCAGTTTTTCAAGCATGACCAAAACCGAACAGGACAAAGGGGCCAAGAACCTGCGGTTCGTCAGCTTCTGGTTAAGGTCCTGACCACACGTGTCGCTTCTGGTGCCGAGCATCAGCCCAGCAAGCAATGCTAACGAACTCGCAACCGAACTCTGCAATGCATGCCCGAATGCGATGTGTGTAGTTCCATCACTCGCGACGGGAAGCTCCTTAACCTCTGGCGCGTCCGCTGGCGGAAGGCTCACGAAGGTCCTTGACGAGTTTGTTGAGAAACTGTGACTCCGCACGCTACTGCAGCAGACCGACTGATTGCCAAAGTGCAGACTACACTTGTAACCAAAGTCCCAAAACAAGGAAGACTGAAGATACAATATCCGAGCTCTGTGGCGCATTTGTGCTACTTGCTTGGTCTCCTTGTGCCTGTTTTTCGATGCACTCTTGTTGTGAACGGCTGTCCGTTTTCAGCACCGGAAGCCGCTCAGACGCCGAGATGCCGGTGCCCGGGGCCAAGAACCATGAGCGCCTCCAGAAGAACTGGGCGGTGGTCCTGGGCTGCACTGGAGAAAGGTGATCATCATGGTGGCGGTGGTGGCCGTGTCGATGATGACAAGGACGAAGACAATGGAGGCGGGAACTATGATGATGATGGTGATGGTGATCATGGCTGACGACGATTGTCACGATTCTTATGCCGATTCTGAATTTGGGTGGTTGTCAAAATTATGGCCCCTTTTTGTGTACCCTAAAATTTAGGTGCCGTACTATATTAGGGATCCAAAAGGGGCCATAGTTTTCACAAACGCCCATTTTGATGGGGGTGGTGACGTGCGGATGCTAGCCAGCAACATGGTCATGAGTATCGGATAGGGATAAGGAGAAGGATAAGAACGAAGATGAAAGCCACGGTGCTGACGAGAATGAGAACGTGAGCGTTTCGTTGAGGGCAGTTGCGCTAGCATTTCTCCTTCGTCATGCTCCAGGCTTGCGGGTCTCGAAACTTGGCAGGGTCTTGGTGCTTAAGTACACTAAATTGGTTTTGTGTTTGTGTGTGTGTCGGATTTGGGCGACAACAGTTTTGTTTGAATACATCACATCCTTCCGGCCAAGACATGCAAGCACAGTTCTCGTAGGGCTTAGAGATCAAACTCGACAGATGAAAGTGCCACCAGTAGCTCTTCCATGCCAAAATGCACCACGGGTTCTTGGCCTAGTTGTCCGCCACAGGCCCACAAATTTTGGGTAGCAGATTCCGCCGACCGATCCAACCTGTACCGGCTAGGGATGCTGGCGAGTGGCACTGCCGTCGATATGACCCACGGTTTCCTGGAACCAGGCATCTCACAGCCATGCGCTGTGGGACGTGGGATTTCTAGGGGGGACCTGGAAGCCGAGCCGACTGTTGCAGTCAGTGCAGCCGTTTGAGACGAAGAAAATATGTAACCGCCCCACAAAGCCCAATCAAAGTGATGCGGCTTTGTCCTAAGACGCCGCGCATTTCTCGGCATGCCTCTTAAATCCGGCGCATCAGAAGCAAAACCGGTCACCAGGACACTGCTGACCAAGGATCGTAGCCACCATCTGGCAGGACGAAGGACATCTGACAGGCCAGGGAATCCGGGGCCCAGTAAATTACCTGCAGCTCTGCTAAACAAATCGGCAAAAGGGTATTCGTGCGGTCTGCATCCATCACAAAGTCAGGCAGCCAGATAGACTTCACCTTCTGATTAGCGTTTGGCTTAGAGAATCTGACGCTGACATGATATTGTCTAAACGTTGCCGCATGATCTGACATGACGCATCGTTCGTGCATGATATGATGGTCTTGCCGACAAAGCGCCCGCTCAGTGAAGGCAGGGAAGTGGGTCGGCTTCACTTTCGCTGGGTCCTTCTTGAGGCCCCACCTGAAGCTTTTAATGTGATCCAAGCCCAACGGCAGCACGTCAAGCGAACTCTCATCCGGCATCAAACCCACTGTTTTCCACCTCAGCATGGTTCTGTGGTGGTGCAAGGAATCCGACGCAAGGAAAGCAATGAAACATGTCTCTTCACTTCCCCTCCAAGTCTAGGTCTACAAAGTCAGGGCCCAATGAAACTGCAAGCAATCCTCCTTGCGACGGTCCATGCAGCTCGGTACTAGTTACTCGCTTTCATTTCTGGAACGGAGGGCTGCCTTCAGCGGTGCGTAGTGTGCAGCAGTGTGCTGCGGTTTTCATAGCTGCATTCACGCCAGGAAACTGCTCATAGCACCGGTAGTACGACTACGATGATGACGACTAATAGTGCTAGTTCTGCTACAACTGCTGCCACTACTCCCACCACCATACCACGACTTTCACTACTACCACTACTCTACCACTACCCACTACGACCACTACCACAACCACAACCCCTAAACCACGCCACGACCTCTGCCACTACCGCTACCGCTACCGCTGGCACTAGCACTGGCACTGGCGCCCCGCCCTGGCACTAGCACGAGCACGAGCACTAGCCCTTGCAGTGGCAGTGGCATTACGACTACTATTACTACTTCTGCTGCTTCTGCTAAAACTACTACTACGACGACTACTACTACGACTACTACGACGATTGCTACTACTACTGCTACTACTACTACTACTACTACGACTACTACTCTTGCTAGTACTCTTAGTACTGGTGCTACTACTGCTACTACTACCGCTGACTGGCGCCCCACCCTAGCACTAGCACGAGCACGAGCACTAGCCCTTGCAGTGGCAGTGGCATTACGACTACTATTACTACTTCTGCTGCTTCTGCTAAAACTACTACTACGACGACTACTACTACGACTACTACGACGACTGCTACTACTACTACTACGACTACTACTCTTGCTAGTACTCTTAGTACTGGTGCTACTACTGCTACTACTACCGCTGCTACTACTACTACTGCTACTACTACTCCTGCTGCTGCTGCAGCTGCTACTGCGCCTGCGACTGCGACTACGACTGTGACAAGGACTAGGGCTGCTACTGCTACTGCTTCTGCTGCCACTTTCGCTACCGCTACCGCTTCCACTACCACTACCGCTACTCCTACTCCTACTACTACTACTACGACTACGACGACTACGACTACTACTGCTAATACAACTACTGCGACGTCTACTACTACTACTACTACTACTACTACTACTACTACTACTACTACTACTACTACTACTACTACTACTACTACTGCTACGACTACTTGTATTTGTTGCCGGTGGTGAGGAGGAGTCGTCGTGGCAGCAGCGGCGCTTCCAAAATCGTCGATGGATATGTCTGGATTCCACTTCTGCTTGTTGCCCGTACTCCTACGACTTGTGCGACGACAAGGACTTGCGACACCAAGCAAAGAAGCAACAACGACAATCCAACTCTAGACAATTACTAAGTTAACCTGGTATAGAGCACTACACACCACGCTGCTTTTGTTGTTGCAGGCATCTGTACTACCGTGACTTTTGCTAGATGCGATGTAGGGCATGGCCGTAGCAGGTGGCCCCAAGCCACTGCAGCGCACCGCTGAACATCCCCTTGCAGAGCAGGCACATGGGACTCTCTAAAATTATGGGATCCAATCGATGAGGAATGGATCCCCTGCTTTGAGATATTCCCAGTCGGCCGAATTTCTGGTGGCCCAACCCTTACAGAAAGTTGGAGAGAGCTGGATCCCGTGGAGTTCACCCGGGCTGAGCCTGGATTCTGGATGAACAAGCCGCAGGTCCTGATCCTAATCTATGCTCTCCGAAGGATGGGGACCTCGAAGTCCGAACTAGAGACTTGGTTTCCTAACCGTCTAAGAATTTGAGAAGTTGATGAGGGCAAGACATGCTCTCTCTCTCTCCAAAGTTTCCGTGGGAAGAGACGGATGTGGGAGCTGGTGTTTCTGATCTCGAGTCCACTTCTGGACAAGAACAAGACGATCGAGAATCAGACCAACAGGCCTTACAGAAATCGTTGCCACGATGAGAGCTTGCTGCTGAGCTTGACAACAGCTATTTGTCAGCAACACCTCTCCCGTGCTTCTTTGCTGCGTCCCCCGACAGCAAAGTCCTAACTACGACGTAACTACGAAAATCTAAAGGAATCTAGGAATGCGAGCTGGCCAGGGGCAAGGGAGGAACCTGACCAGCAGCTAGCAGCTAAAGCTTTCCCGCAAAAGGCCAGACAGAGGAGTCCCTGGCTCCAAAACCGAGCCGTCGATCGGCCCAAAATTGGGAAACCTCCTGCTGCCGGCCTAGGGCGGTCTATCGAACGATCAGCACCAGGTTGGTGCACTTGGCTAAGAAATTGCATTAATTGACTCATGGTCGCTCCACTTGGAAGCTGTGAATCTTCCGAAATGTCTCGCCCAAGGCCTCAGCCACCGCGCCTGCGGACGCGCGGACGGCATCGGGCTCCTCATTCACGGCCAGAGAGATCATGTCCATGATCCTCATCGCCATGAAGGGCGGCAATCGGCATTCTGGCAGCTCACCTCTTGGTTGGGTCGCTGCGAGAAGTGCTTTCCACTCAGAGGCGCTCTTCGTCGATGGCTTGAGGCTTGCTACGGGCACCATTCCAGCATCCACGAAGCTCAGGCTGAAGAGCCCCAGGGCCAGGCGACCCTGACTCAGCTGGGCTGTGGGGAAGCACATCACCACGGCGCGTGCAAACATCAAGACCTTTGCCTGCATCTGATCGATCCAGGCCTGAAAGTCCCGGCCAGCCAAGATCCCGAAGCGTGTGAAGAACAGGCAACTCCAGTGTTCCACGCAGGGGCACTCAATCTGCCATTGCAACGCCTTCAAAACTGTTTTCTCGTGCATGCACAGAGCGATGTCGGAGACTTGATCAGTAACGCAGTTCTGCGCGGACTCCAGCCATGTCCCGAAGTCTTTGATCATGTACATCGCGGGGCATCTGTCGCTTGCAAACGGTGGCGGCATGCTAGAAGCCAGCTTCAAGACAATCCGTGTAAGGACAACACAAGTGAGTGGCAGCTGTTCCAAGCGGAATGTACTGCTGGCTACGATTCGGTCAAGCATGATAGCTGCCTTGAACCAGTAGCTGCCGCCGGACCCAAAGGCCTGTAGCATGTGCGAGAGGCAGCGCAAAGCGGAAACCCGAATTGATCCATCAAGTTGGCCTGCAGTCCCTGGCACGTGGTCGTGGTCCATGATGTCCATGTCTAGATCCTTAAGATGACCGAGGATGCCGGAGCTTGCTCCCAAGCGATGAAGCTCGTCTTCCAACTCGTCCGAAATTGTCGGCGGCTCATGGACGATGTTCTCCGGCAGGGTGCTGTGCCCCTCATGCATCCGTACCGGAAGTGGCCCAGCAAGCATGACCATCAAACTTGACTGCGCCTACTAGCACAGCACGCTTGTGCCGTGCCACATGGAAGTGGAGCTTGAGCCGTCGCAAGCATTTGAGAATTTTAAGGCCGCTCATGCCCGGGTGTCCGGAGCTTGCGGTGGGCCTGGACACAACTAGACAAGAACATGGCGAAAGAAGGTGTGCTCCAGGAGCCTCTACTCTCCTCCTACTTGGCGCGAGGACCGGGCAGTACCAACCCGATTGCAACCTCTTGGCTCTGACTATCGCAGCCCAGAAGCTCGTTGCCAAACTCACGCCTGTCGCCAGTGGTGCTGCTGGTAAACTCTCTGAAACCGGCGGGTTCGAGAAACACCGCACCACGAAGAAATGGCACCCCCGGTGACCGCGACCACCACCACCGCTGCAGGAATGACACTGGGGAAGCAGCATACATGCACAAGAATCTATCTCAATGTAAGCAAACCGGACACACTGCTACCCGTCCTGTGCACACTGGCAAGCTGTCTCGACGGATCCCCCCTCGAGGAATGTGGCGCGGGTTGCGCCGGATCCTTTGGGCGAAAGGAAGGAGAAAGAATCTCGTATCACAAATTGCTTTTGTGTTTTTTGGGCTGTGAGGCCGTAGTCGATTCACAGAATGCCATCACCCAATTCACCTGCAAATGAGGGCCTGTGCCAAGGCCATACATGTGCTAAAGTCTTGCATTGTAGATGTCGCAGACGCGGAAGTACAGATTGCCCTGTCTGCAGTGATGCAACAAAAAGCTCTTAGAACCTCAGCTGCAGGTGCACAGAACATCTGAGGACGTCTTTTCCCTCATGGCTTAAGTTCAAGCATCTTCCACAAGAATAGGCATCATCAGATTCGCTACAACTTCAAGCCATTGTTTGAGAACAGTCTCGGCATTTGCATCTGCAATCAAAAAAGACATGGCCGTCCCCCGGGAAGATAAAAGGGTGATTCGCGACCTACTCCATATGCACAGAATAAGAACATCTCTACCATCAGCATTGTACTTGTGGCCATGTAACATCTGTCCAAACGCCAAGCGCGGGAACTGTTCTTTAAACTGTGAAGCCGGCTTTGGCACTAGATTTGGTAGCAACAACGCACAGCTATGCTGGGCATGAGTGTTCGCAGCATCTTCAAGCACCTAAAAAGTATGCGCAATGATTGAACTTTGGAACTTGGGTCACTCTTTTCGGTCATTGATGTCATAGACTCAGGACTAATGTCATTGCATTGCTTGCCAGTAGTGGTACTAGTAGTAGTAGTAGTAGTAGTAGTAGTAGTAGTAGTAGTAGTAGTAGTAGTAGTAGTAGTAGTAGTAGTAGTAGTAGTAGTAGTAGTCGTAGTAGTCGTAGTAGTAGTAGTAGTAGTAGTAGTAGTAGTAGTAGAAGCAGCAGCAGCAGCAGGAGGAGCAGCAGAAGTAGCAGCAACAAGAAGCAACAGCGGATAGTACCGTGACTGTTGTCATGGTTGGCCGAGCGAGTCTGCAGAGCGGAGGCTGATCGTGGCGTTTCCACGACTGTGATCCACAGACCAGACCGTCTTTTGACAGCTCCAATGAAGAATGCCGACCGAAAAGCCACTCGATTGTGCCAAGTCGCATGCACGCGGTTCAGGATGTCACCTACGGTGACCTTCTTCGCGATGCACATCCTCAGCCATCGCAACCTTCCACTAGATCCCAAAATCACGTGGAGACCTCCAGAGCGAAGCCGGATCCCCTTTGCATTCTTTCTGGAGCGGCCTGGAAACCCGTCCAACGCCTCTGTGGAACTCAGAAATGTTTGGCCAAGACTCTTAGGATCAACCTGCAGCGGTCTCGCAAGGCACGGGAATTCGCAAGAGCTAATCTCAAGCACTGAAGGCACCCGGTAAGCAGCGTGCACCGAGAAAGGATTATCCAGAAAATTATCTTACGTCCTGCCGGACAATCCGCATGGCCTTGTACGTGACGGGCATTTCGTTAACGCCACTGAACGGGACGACCTCGCGAGTCACTCAAACATGCTTGTAGTTTGTCGTGGGCCAAACCTGCTATGAAACCAAACAAACTTCAATCAGTCAAACGGCTAAGCTCAAATATTTGAAATATTCAATCAATATCAGTAGCAGAAACAGTCGTGGGAGTGGTAACAAAGCAATCGAGGGGGTTCCACAATTGTAGCATCACACGCTGATATCAAACCGCTGCTGGTGCCATCAGAGCTGCAACAGTTACAACTTATATACAATGACGACTACGGAGACTGCAACCACAAAGTCCGCGACCACTACAAAGCAATGGTGAGGTGGGTCGCCCAACCTCCAGGTAAAGGCCTGTATACTCTGTTGAATATCTTGTGAATATTATTGGCATTCGTCCTATAGTATGTATGTACATCCTATCCCAGTCGTGCCTTACCTCCTTCCCGAGAAAGCCCGCACCAGGCCAGGACGCTCAAGAATCGACCCCACCCTAGCCGATCGCCACACCCCTTCCTGGAGCTTCCTTGCCCTGGCAAAAGCCGCAAACTTGAGGCACCCCTTAACTGCGGCCTCGTGCCACCGCCCGTGAGGAAGACGTAGGTCGCTGGCGATCGCTGCCATGAGGCTGGCGTCGTTCAGCACCTCCGAGTTGTGGCGGCTGAAAACTCTGAAAGTTGCCTGCTTCGTTGTCACAGCAGCAGCCGTCGCCAAGTCTAGCCTCGAGGAGGACATCCTTCGCCTGGCTCCCCCCTGACTCGTGGTCATCGAAGACGGTTCGGCTGTTCAGGTCGCCCTGAACGAAAATCACCTCAGTGCTTTGGAGGAGGGTTGTACATGGCTTCATCGGGGCTTTGCGAGGATTGAGGGAAGCTTTTACGACCTGGTGGAGGTGCTTGGCATGGGCTTCAGAGCCAGGAATGCTAACCTTCACCTGTCCTGTAGCGACTGAGAGTGAAGTGCTTCACTACCGCCAAACCAAGGGCCACGAAAACCAACGATAAGCAGCCTCCATCCCCCAAAGCACACTTCCTCTGGCTGTGAGGGTCGTTTATGATCGAAGCAGAACTACCATTTGTGCCCGCGGTATCACTGCTCAGACGACGCGAAGCTAGACGCGAGATAGCCAGTCTCTGCTGCATCTGGGAGATGTACAACATGAGGGACCCTCATGTAGACGCCCACATGAGGTACCCCGATTTTTCCTGAAATCTCAACGGTCTCGCTTCCGTCGAACTCGACGGAGCTTTGAGACCGGTGGCCGTGTTGTGCTTCGTCAGCTCCCAGGCCATGACTTTGCAGAGAACTTCCCGCAGCACGCGAGCATACCTTTGGACTGAGGAAAACACCGGCTGAAACCTTTCGGCTCATCAGACACAAATCCCGAGCTGACCCACAAGCAAAATAAACGCTTTCCGGTGATGAAGTGGAACTGAAACCCCGCTGGCCGCCGTCCGGTCCAAGCTTGAGATTGGAAAATGTGAACCATCCCACAGACTGTGACCACCAACACTAGCAACGGACGCAAGGATAACATGGTAACTGCAAACATTAAGAACGACATCAACCTCCGCCGAGAACAACCGCAACAACAAGCACAACCACCATCAAGCTGCCAACATGAAGGACAAACAACCACTGCCTCCAGCACCGCTGCCACGACCACACTACAATGAACCAGCACGCTTCATCAACACCATCATCTTCCTCATCATGTGTCACCATGCAGGCACTTGGCTGGAAGCTGGCTGTCGCCAAAGCCTGGCTCCTTTTGATTTCGACCGGACCCCGTTTTTACCACTGTACTCAAGTCTAGCCAGACCTCGACCTCCAATCATCTGAACTGAGGGCAACTCCAAGTGCTCTCCTGTTGGGACTTGGAAGCCCCGAAGCTCGAACTGCTGCAAAGCTTCTCGATCTTGGCGGCCATCAGCTTTTCTGAAGCCTCCAAGCTGCTGGTCAGCACCTCGGCACAGAGAGGCCAAGCTCCACAGAAGAGGGCCAGGCAAGGCAGCTAATGGAAGCGGGCAGCGGCAACGTTTGTCACCACACTTTGAAAAGAAACCCTGCAACGGCTCTCCCTTCACTGAGAGGCGGCGCCATCTGCAGCCGTCGCATGGGGAAATGGGTGCCGAAGAAACAGAGCCTGTGTGGTCGAGTTTCTGGAAGTGGGGCTCCACTTATATTGGATGGAAACCGACGGACATAGCTTCGACTTGGAATTGCAACCCTGTCGATCCGATCGGCTCGCAGATCCTGCTTCAAATTCGCGAACGGCAAGAGCGGAAGCAGCAGCAACGGAGTGGGGCAAGCAGTGAGTGGCAGTGGCAGTGATAACGGTAGTGGTGCTGGTGCCAGTGGTAGTAGTAGAAGCAGTAGCCGTAGCAGTGGCAGCAGCCCTCAGCAGCCGGCGCTTCTTCCGCAATTGAAAACAACCCGGAAGTAGAAGCAGCTGGAAGCATCAGCAACCTGAACCGTCTGCTGAAGACCACACGCATCTCGCCTCAGCCCATCGCCTCGGCGCACGATGCTCGAACCCAGCAAGGCCTCCCAAAAGCAGCTCAGGCATTGCCATGTTTCGCGAGCCTTCAAGCGCCGAACTCTGAAGTTCTGACGGCACAGCACAAGTGATTCCTACATCCACACACGGTGTGTTCAGCATGCGAAGGGAACAATCAGAAGCCCTCAAAAGCAGCTGACGCCTTCTCCGGGTTCAGGGTGAAAGCACCATCGAGGCGCGTCTCCCCCTGCTCCACTTGAAAGAGCTCCTGGCAAGGAGCCGCGGGCCAAGTTAGGGCGATGAACCGAAAGGGCTGAGGGTGCAGGGCCTTCTTTGGGTGGCCTGGACGTGGGCCTGGGTGGACTTCGGAAAAATTTGCGGATTCATGTTGCCATGCCATGGGGACACCAGACTTCGGGATGCGAGCCGAGTCCTGCCGAAAACCAAGGACTGTCTTGACCTTGATGGGCCAGGGACTCTCAGTTTGTTTCGACATCTTCTTGTGACTACATCTGCCGAAGGTTGAGGCATGGCTGTGTGCTCAGCAGAGGAGAGCACATCAACAGCCTAGGCCCACCGCTACCCTGAATCGTATGGGACCCTAAGATAGGCCCTACATAGTTGGATCCTTAATCCTTATTCCAAGCACCCTTAAGAAAGACCTGGCAATGTTCAAAAGTCCAAGTCCAGAAGAATTTTGCACTGCCCCCTCGGATCCCTCGCTTCCTGTTGAGAAGAAATCGGCTTGGTGCCCTAAAACTGATCGGCAAAAACCGGGGCTGGATGCTTGCAACAGTCTGCAACCAGACCGCAAGAAGCAAGAGAACGGCCAAACTGCCATCCTCGTGCCACTTCGGAGGACCATCTGAGGCTCTGGCATTGCCAACGACACGCTGAACGAGCTTTTTCCTGCGGCTTAAAGGTTTCGGATCTCTGAGAAGCTGGGACAAGAAGGGACCCTGTCCAAAAGACCCCTGAACCATAATTGTACCTGATGCCCTCACGTCCTGCACCAGGAGAAAGGATTGTAGATCCTGCACCGTCAAGCGGTTCCATGTTGAGGGGTGACTGATTCATGAATCCGAGTGGGAGTTTGGAATGGGCTGTGCAAGCGAGCTTCGAGGTAGTCTTCTTCCGGAGGGCATCACGGTGCACCAAGGTGTCCTGGCTTCGGCAGTACAAAGACAGGCAGAAGGATGGACCAAGGCTGGCCCCAACCAGAACCCCAAAGACGCGAGATCCCCAGAGTATAAACATCACCTATACAACACCTGACCGACCCCCAGACAGACGTGTGACTATTTCACTCCCATGACAACGACAACAGCTTCTACTGCACAACACTTGTCACACGTTCAGGAACGGCTCCTGCTGCAATCAGTATCTCGGTCATTCTCGGTCCATACATTTACTGACTTCGCTTTGAACAGCAGCACTTTTAATACCCGATCACCGTCATTGAGACTCTACAGGTCGGTGTCGTTGTGCAAGTCGTCGTCGGCGGTAGTGATGGTAGTCGACATCATCGTCACGGACGCTTGAAATATCGGCCGCAACAGCGGAACAGTAGCGACAACTCCTCTCCTGCTACCCTACCAGGTCCTACCACCACTACCACGACGACTACTTCTAAGAACTCGAGGGGGCCGAGCGGCCAGACCAGAGGCTGGAGGCTTCCGATGCCAAGCCTCCAAGCAGTTCTCGGTCTTTTGGGGCGCTTAAAAGAGCCCTCTGTTTAATTTAGTTTAATAATAGGGGGCTCCAGGATTGGTCGTGAAGCACCCCAGTGGAACATACAGTTTGTCTTTTGCTGCCGGCAGGGGTCTTAAAAGAATGCACTTTTGGGCGTTTTGGAGCTTTCGCCGCGGTCTTCAGGCATCGAGGCATCTTCGGACGGCTTCGGACCTGTGATTGAGAAGAACGCGCGTCTGAAACTCAGATTGCGGTGCTAGAGCTGCTTCTCCCGTTCCGGACCTTGTGGCATTGTCGGATATCGGGCCTAGCCTTCGCCAAACAGCTTTTGGGATGATGTGACCAAGGAAGCGAAGGAGGAGCTGATGCCACAAATCTAGAAGCCAACCTCGAAGACCAAGACCAAAGCCATAAGTCTGAAACATTGCCGGGACGGGCCTCCAGCTGTTCTTCGACGAAGCCCCGCATCTTAAAGCGGGCCTGGCTGAACAAAAAACCTTCTGCAGGACGCAGCTTGCCTGAAGATTGATCAACCACCGGGGAACCCTCCCCTGTCCCTCTGGCCTCCGTGAGAGCAACGAAGGCCAGGTCAACTGGTGCCCCGTCGCTAAAAGGCTGCTCTAAAAACTGTGCAAACCTCGGCGCTTTCGGGCTTTGACTGCTGTTTCTCGAGCTTGGACCCCTCTACCGGACCTATACTCGAGGAAGTCTGTCTCCGGCAACTCGCAGGCCGTGGCCGTACGGTTGCGTGATCCGTTCGCTTGCTTGGTTCTGCGAGGAGTCTCATCTTCACCCCCGAATAGACCCACCCGTGACCGTGGGGAGTTTGCCCAGGCGTGGAAACAGGGACAGCAATCGGCAGCTGTGCTCTCATTGTTGACGTTAAGAGAACCAGGGCAACAGAAGACAACAAGATTTACCACAGCTGCTCCGCATTTCTGAGAAAGGTTCGGCTGCAGCTCGTGTCTGAGAGTTTTCCCCAAAGGCTCGGCTGCCGAGGCACATGCCCACGAAGGGGTCCAGGGCCGCCTGCCAGGCAGCACAGACGATGATGACAAGAATGCTGGAAACCGATTGCCTACAATGATGGATATCGCGATCACACAAAATTAAGGAAGGCTGAACAGCACTGACTCTCTGGTCGTGAAGCCTGCTTGCTTGCCAAGCGTCGATGTTGGCCATGTTAAAGTTGAAGAAGCGCATACGAACGGCGGTCGGCTCGTGAAAACCTCGCAAGCAGAAACGAAGCCCTGACAGTCGTGAAAACCCTTTTTGCTACTGGATTCGGCGCTCACAGTCGAACAATCCAGGCGAGGCATGTCGTTCGAGGTCTGTGGAGTGAGACTGCTACTGGATTCAAGTCTGGTCGTCAAAGCCCTGAACCTTAAACCCGATGTCGTTTCTGCAGGGCCGTAGGGTTAAAGACGTGCTGCATGCGGCTGAGTCACGCAACTCCACCTTGGCCCCCGGCAAAACTAATATGTCATTGTCATTGTTGCTGGACTTGTGACACGCCTGTCTACCCCCGATTGCGTGCCAAGGCGCGGGTGCCTCATCAGTACTGCTGTCTGCTGAGTCATCCTTCGCCCAGCATCCGAGGCTTTGTTTGGTCAGGGCACAATAACCGATCCGGACCTTAAACCTCGTTCATGGCATGCCGATTCATTCTCATGAAGATCCCTCCCATTAACAGCATGCGATGTGCGAGCAACCAAGGCACCGGGCAGGCGAGGTGGCCCATGCCTGTGGCTCTCAGAACTGAGGCATCTTTGAGCACACAAGGAAGGCTTGACTGGTCGGCGCCTTGTGATGGGATCGCTGCCCTTGCAGGTGACAGCGTTACGCATCCATGGCTGTGCCGAGTACAGCGAGCTAGGCGTGGGCGGCAGCCACGGCTAGAACGAAGGCCTCGTACGCTATGCCACTATGCTTGGCCACAGTCTAAGATTGCCTGATACGGCCTTCGTCATGCCCTGAGTGTCGACATGTGTCGAATATTTGTGTGTAGGGTTGGACGCTTAGACTGGGGACCAACTTACCCCTGCTTCAACTCCCCATGATCATGACAACATCTTCGTCCTGAGCCACCGCAAGCGAGCCGTGAAGCGTCTTTTCCCTCTTGCCTGCCTCTTGGCGGCAATCGCCGCTCAAACACAGCGGGCTATGATAAAGGATCGGAGAAGCAAAGAGTCCAAAGACACCCTGATTGGCAAACAGCCTGAAGCTAAAATCTTGACCTCGGAATGATTTCGCACCTCAAGCTCTCCTGGGGTGCACCCACCGGCTCATCCAGCGGGCCTCGGTGTAGCACAGTTCTTGCGATGTTGCCGTGTGGTGGTTGCAGCTCCGTACTTCCGAACAGAAAGCCAGACCGTCGTCATCACGCCACAAACATCAGCATCAGCATGAGCACCATGTTCATGACTTTCACAACACATGCGTCGACTTCGCCTTCTTCTGCATCTTCCTCGCTCAGACGTCGCCTTCGTCAGCTTCCTAGGCATTATTACCATCATCCGTTCCGGAGTGGTTCGGACTGCCCTTTCGAAGTGGTGCTTCGAAAGACCATTCGAGACGTAATGTTGTTCGAAGCTCTCACAACGGACTCTGCATGTTCCACGTGTCTCCACAACACGGCGACTATGAAGCCACGTCTTGTCTTTATCTTGCTCAAGCGTCTGGACGATTTCATCAGCAGCCACCTGTGTAGCTTGTGCAGTGTCCGGGGTGTTGTTGCAGTGGTGCGGTTGAGCTGTTGCACCTACCAGGTATCTAATATGAGGCTGCCCACGGGTTCTAAGGCCTCAAACCGGCAGATGACCCGAGCAGTACCCATCGGGGTTGTGTAAGCTTCACAGCAAGTGCAGCAGAAGCTGAAGGAAAAGCACGGAAGAGTGCGTGCATGTTTCATGCCGGGGGATTCCTCCATAGAAATGGCACAGGTCGTGGCAGCTGCATCCTGGAGGCGCGCCAGCAGCCAGAGACCAGGCCTGGACGAGGGTCTTCTGTGCTTTTCGATAAGACGGTGGCTGAGGGTTTTGGGTTTCTGCGCTCCCACTCGGACAAGCCAGGCCAGGATCTTGGTTGGTAGTCGCTTGAGGTGAGACACTTCCAAAGATTAAGGCTCCCGAGCTCAACCTGCAGATGCGATTCCCTCGTCTCTTAACGAGAGCAAGGCTGACAGTGATCGCAGAATCAGCGAAAAAGAAGGTTGATGGTTATTTCTGCCCGGGTGATCCTGCGATTTGACAACCGGGTGGACAGCAACAAGGAGAGACAACTATGTTGGACAAGTGGCTGTACTTTTCGGTTCAGGGACTGGGGTTGAGTGGCTTGGTGCTTGAAGATCATGCCTACAAACAGCAGCAACACGCAGCTCTGGAATACGGAGAGATACAGCATGTATCCTTGTGGCTTCGGTTCAATATCTATTACCATGAACCATGCTAGGAATGCGCATGTCGGTTTGGCAAGGTTCCAGTAGCATGTCTGTGTGGGCAAGCGGTGCAGGGACGCTGCAGTTGACTCTGAGACAGGTTTCCTGTTTCATGCGCGCAGCCTTGTGGCTCCAAGCCGGGGCAGCGCGCCCCAGCTTCTCACAACGCTTCTGCACAAGCCTTGGGCTTCCAGCAATGGCAGCTTCTTGTCTAGAAACTTGCTGCTTTCTTGTCGGTCTCAAGCTGGCGATGCTGCTCTTTTAATCAGCTTCTGTTTTGCAGGCTGTTTCGTCCCAGCCCATCTGCCAGAAGACTAATGCATCACGGCTCAAGGTTTTGGAGCCAGAAATGCTGCCCTGGGGCTTGGAGAAGGAGCGAACGGCCGTCTTGACGTATAGGTTCTGCAATGAAGCACAGACAACCCACAGTTGCCTATCAGCTCACATCTGCACTGTCCAGACACTCTGTATCACTAATATGACGATCGGCCTTCATGCTCAGCTGGGTCTCATAGTCCCACCTGGGATATCAAGTTCATGATATGCATGTGGCAGTGCAGTCTCGTGCTGGCAAAGCCGAAGCCAATGCAGGCTTCTTTGCGCTGACAGCGCCAACATGGATAGCAAGCATGCTGACAAGCTACACCCATTGTCGACACGCTCTCATGCTGCTCCAGAAATAGTAACACCAGCAGGCACTCCCTGCTGCTGCAAACAACCTGTGCTTCTGTTTGTCTCTTCTCGTCTTCTTGCCGCTAGCCGTGCAAGCTGATGGGACCGATTCTGAACTTGTGTATGTGGATTCTTGCTGTCCCAGGAACCATCGCCACAGCATTGCTACAAACTGGCACTGCTATCTAATAGTGAATGTCGTCGATGTAGTTGTCGTAGTCGTCGTCGTAGTAGTAGAAGTAGCAGTAGTAGTAGTCGTCGTCGTAGCAGTCGTAGTAGTAGTAGTAGTTGTTGTTGTTGTTGTTGTAGTTGTTGTGGTAGTAGTGGTTGTAGTAGTAGTAGTAGTAGTAGTAGTAGTAGTAGTAGTAGTAGTAGTAGTAGTAGTAGTAGTAGTAGTAGTAGTAGTAGTAGTAGTATTAGTAGTAGTAGTGGCAGTAGTAGTAGTAGCAGTAGTAGTAGTAGTAGTAGTAGTAGTCGTCATCGTAGCAGTAGTAGTAGCAGGAGTAGTAGTAGTAGTAGTAGTAGTAGTAGTAGTAGTAGTAGTAGTAGTAGTAGTAGTAACAGTAGCAGTAGTAGTAGTAGTAGCATGCTGCTGCCACGTCTGCTAGAACTAGAACCACGATGACCACAACAACGACGACGACTACTACTACCTACGACGACTGCGACTTCGACTTTGGCGCGCTACCACAACCACCAATGGGGTCATCAATATCACTACAATGACGAACCCCTTTCCAACATGACTCCTGCTGTTGGATGCCAACCCAGCTGAGGGCGCCGCTGTATTAGCGGGGCGCTCTTCTCCAGGGTGGTGCCGTCGAAGCTGCGCTTTTTTCTGTCGATGCGGTCCCTGCTTACACATAAGGCTTGGAGGCAAAAGGCAACCTCACAATTGCGCTGGCAAGCAAGGGGTCTTGGGACATCAGCCACTCTTCAGACAGGTACGCATGAAGCTAGCACCTACATATCCCATGAAAGCAAGCTTCACAAGCTTCATTCTGGACCCTCATCGATAATCTACCCCACACAGACTCGAGACAAAACCTTGCTGCAAGTAGTTTCTGTACCACTGGTACGGGTAGCATTGCTTCGGCTGGATCCTGAAGCCCAAGCCTGAGTTCTTTGAGAACGGGAAGCTTTGCTCCCTCGGAGGCCGCTTTCTGCTTCTTCGCCTCATCAGGCCTTGGCGAAGACAAACTGTGGGTCGTCAGCTTCTGTTGCCTGCCTGCTTGGCTAAAAGAAAATACCTTGCGGAGCGAAATAAGCCTCAAAACTGCCAGTGCGGATAAGTAGCACTTCGGCCGGCTCCTCCGCTTTTCGCTTGTTGCCTGCCTCGTGCGACAAGACGAATCCGAGGTCTACAAATCCGGGGCTGCGGAGACTCCCGCGAAGGTCCCAACAACCCCGGTTTCCCTACTTTAAAGAAACACCGAAAAGAAAAAACTGCTACAGGCTGGGCTTGCACTGTCGCCCCTTTAACAACTCTGCGCTCTAGCCCAAGGAAGCATGTGCCGACATTGCAAGAAAGAGTGTCCAATTCACCTGCTTGCACATCCAAAGCAGATCCGTGTTCAGCCGAGCTGCATGGGCACGCTTGCCCTTGCCTTTGCCCTTCCGAGTCATGGCATTCGGGCACGGCTGACTGACGGCATTGCGGGGAATTGGACATTGCAGTGCCTTCCGGCTGAAGAGCATGTGGGGTTGAGTAGGCTGTGGTGGTTCTTGGGTTCTTGCGTCCTTTGGGTTTTGGGATGCTCCGACATGGGCGACGGCGGCTACGCGAACCTTGACATTCTCAAGACTGGATGAGCTCAAGGCTTCGGACGTCTTGAACGATGTGCCTGGTATGGGATGCACATGGTATCTTTCTAGCGTAGCGGCATAGCGCCAGAAAGCATATAGACAGTCACCGGCATGAGACTTCGGAACACCTGCACCTTTACTGGACTGAAGACTGCTAGAGGTAACTCGCACAGACAGCTCGCAACAGCTCTGTTGTCGAGCCACAATCAACGTGTACACCGTGTAAGCACTGGAGTAAGCCTGCCGGAAATTAAGCCTACTAATATGAGCTTATGCCGTAGGCCAGAAAGGGATTGTAGAGGCCCATGCCCAACACTCTGAACTAGACCTCTCTGACTCTGCAACCCGTTTTGTGCTCCCCTGCCCGGCTCCGATGTTCTACTCCATTGATAGAACCACCCGCAGGATGCGAGGATGCTCGGCAGCTCGAGCTACTGTCTTGGACCTCCGATTAAGCCTCCTCCGTCCGAGTTGATCCTGGGGTGGCTTTACGCACAGCTGCCGGTTGCAAGCTGTTCAGAACGCAGCAGTGCCCAGCGACCCCAACGGAGAAGAGTTTAATTGAATAGGTAAATGCTGAATATGGTCTCTGGGCACAGGTATTGGCTTCTGGGCAGGGGCATGCAACAAGAGGCTGAGTCACCGCAACCTCGACCTTTCGAGCCAGAAAATTCCAGCTCAGCCTCTGGCGAAAGCGACCCTGACCAGGCCTTGAAATCCCTAACCTCTACACCTTTGCAACTCCATGCTGGGGACCGTCCTAACTCCCGAAAACCCTCGAGCCCAAAACCCAGCCCCGGAACCCGGGACACCAGGGGCAAATCGTTGAACATGCGCATGTCTGGAAACCAGAGAAGTGGCACGTTCGGAAGCTTAAAGATGCAACTCCAGAGCTGCCAAGCTTGTGCCATTTCCAAACTGTGGAGCGGGATTTGCTGGGTACGGGCAGCACTGGCTAGGCATCATCTGCGTGGCTCTTCAGAGTAGTCGTCGTAGTCTGACTCGTAGTCTCTGCCTTGGACGCCAGAGACCCTGAAAAGGAAAACACTATGCAGATCCAAACCGGAACAAGTGACGGCGTCGACGCCCGCGGCCCTCATCCCGGCGACGACGCCGTCCGTCTCGGCTGTCATCCCTGGAGGACGTTTTTGAACATGGAGATTAGGTTCAGTAGAGTCAGAAGAAGTTCAAGCTCTTGAAAGAGTCTTGAAAGGTTGGTCAGACCTGCCAGTAACCGAGGGAGTGTGCAAAATGCTCCCCTGTATTTGCCGCTACAAAGTGAGCGTCAACACCACTGGCCACCATATGCAGTGGAACAGAAAACACAATGTTCAACCTGACATGCTGACGTGCTGCCATGTGCGACGGCAAGGTTTACGTAACACTTGCAACAGCTCTCCCGATAACATTGGAAGGAGACTTCAGATGCCATCACCCAAAACCGAACCAGCCTGCGGCGACGGCCCCCTCGTCCGCCATCACGGCTGCGGCCTCCTCTGGGCCTGCAGGGATTGGTAAACACACATACTCGTCAACTCGTGCGCATCACCAACAACCTTCTCTGGCATCGAAGGAACGCTGCGCGTCCATCTCAATGCGTAACGTATCGTAAAGCCATCTCAAGGTGCTTCTCGAGACACACTTAAAGAAAAGCTCGATTGCGAGGATTGGCATCGTACGAATCCTCACGTCAACGCTGGTTCTCAGCATGTGTTTACAGAGCCAATCTTCTGGGCCGGACTCTTTTGCATTGAACCCAGAGAAAGCAGCGGAATGTTGGAACCTATACCCCGACCTTGACCCAAGGTGTGTCAAGGTGCAATGAACCTCTCGAGACACCAAACAGAAACTCCCAAGCTTCCCTCGGCTCGGCCCGCCGAACCTCGGCTCCCCGCAGGAGAAGCACACATCCTGTCGACACGAATGCTGGATCTTCTGCAACACCCCAGGAAAGCCAGGGTCCAGGGACATCAAGAGTCTGCGGGTTCAGGCATCTGGCTGTTGAGACCCACCCTTCTCCACCGTGAAGACCACTTGACCCGCCGCGCACCGGCATCCAGTTCATGGCTAATCTTACTTTGCTGAACGTCTTGCGCCCTCATCCCCAGTATACACCGTGCTCAGAACAGAGAGGCTTCAGTTCCATGGCCCGGCCTTAGCTGCAAAGACCAGCTTGCCGCAATTCGGACAAGTCCAGTCGCCGTCGCGCCGCTCGATGGGTCCCTTGCCACCTCAGGGGCTTCGAGGGAGCTTGGGGGACTACTGCGTTGAGAGCCTAGAGCAACCATGACTGCCGGTGGCCTGGATTGTTCACGACACCCCTCAGGCCCCCAGGAGCATTCCAGGTCAGCTGCGTGTCATCTATTCCTCGGACTCTCGTCAGATGCACTCTGACCTGATCCCACATCCCTGAATCACGTGTTGGACTGCGCTTGCCTTGACATTCATGGACGCTCATTTTCCCAAATCCCATGTTCCCGGCAACACAACCTGAAAAGAAAGAGTCCAACTGCTCCCCGTGAAGCCTTCACCTTTTTGCGATTGCTGATGACATGCATTCTGCTGCAAGCCGCTTCTTCTACCAATCCAGCAACCCCCAATGCTTGTAGCTTCAGGTTTGAGCGACACAGGTGAGTGGCTGACACCCATATCCTTGAGCTCCTCCCTCATGCGATCTGCCTGCATGGCCCAGGATTCATGCTCCGCAATGCACAAGTCCAGCAGTTAAGGCTTCCAGAAACCCACTGCTAGCATCCTTGGCCTTGCCACAGATTCCGATTCCGGCCTTGTCAAAATCGCGGTCGCGCCGGGCCGCCTGCCTTTCGTCGACCATGCTTTGGATTCCTCAGCGAAGCCGCGATTCTGAGAGTGGAACGTCATCGACGTCTGGGCAGGTTAGCTTACGGGTGCGTTGTCTTAGGGCCGTCAACACAAATAACCGTGCGCATTGTGTACAACTTGCTCCCGGGCCACTTCCCCTACGAACACGTGCCCTGGATTTCATACCGAAGCACGATCCGCATCACCTTCGCGGCCTCCCGAGCGGGAGCGGGAGTCAGATCTACCTCGCCCCATGACGTCCCGGGTCAAGAGCGGCTTGAGCCTTCACTGCCAGTGACTACTGCCTGCCAGTATAAAAGGAGTTGCAAGTGCAATCTTCCCGGTTCAGCACTTCCACCTACAGGTTTGGAACTCATGGACCATGGCTCAAGCCCAGCAGGACGGCGAGAGCCTCAACTGAAACAAAGTCCTCAAATTCCTGAATCCCGTGGTGGTGGGGCGGAATGAAAAGAGTGAATCTCCAGAGCTAAAACACACAAGTCACATAAGACAAAAAGGCTCCATGCTTTAAGATTTCGAACACGCAGCCCTTGCAGGAACAGTTTTTTTGCGTGCGGCTTTTCAGGAACGAATCAAGCACCTGCCTACGGCGACGATTCAGCTCGGCCCCGGTCAACACAGCACAGGGCGCCACAAAGAAAGCAAAAGCAAGCAGCATCCGACATGCGCAGGTGTAGGCAGGGTATCTGACCAGCGACCAACGGTTCTCTACGCTACGCTGGCGTGCAAAATAATGCTGCTTTCAACTATGCTATCGTTGGGAAGTGAAGGGGGCCACACTGTGTCGGGTGCCAGCTTCATGGTACGTCAAGCCCTCTGAGCTCGAACTGCATCGTCAGAAAAGTTACGGGCTTTGCCCGGGGAACAGGCCGCCTGGCAGAATGAGCCAGTTAAGAAGCTCAGCATCTACTTCAGCAGGCCCTTCCAGTTGTCCTTCTCCTCGGCAGAACTAAGGACGCTCGCCTTTCAGCGGATCAAGAACCCGGGCGCAAATCCTAATGCGTGCTGATATCAAACCAAAATATGCAGAACTCAATAGCACACATCTCTCCTGAAGCCAACTTCATCAAGGCTGTCACCCGACCCTTCTTGGCACTCTAGTGCCCCCAGGCGTCGTTTTGCTTGGTCAGCATTACGTTAAGCTCGGTGCCGCCATTGACCAGGCACCAAGTGCACTCGTCCGTCTCCACCTGCAAGGTCAACACTAGATCTCTGTAATATATACCTTATGGTCCCTCTGTAAGTAGCTATCAAATACCACTCAGACCCGTTTCCACCACGATGGCCCCTATAGAGTCCTGGTGCATCGAACGGGACGCAGTCGGACACGGGGTCTGTCAAAAACCCGGGAGCAATGTGGGTGGTTGTCAAAATTAGGTCCCTTTTTGGGTCCCTAATATAATACGGTATCTAATATTTAAGGTGCCCAAAAAGGGACCTTAATTTTGACAACCACCCATATGGGTCTGGTCATGAGCTTTAAGGCGACTTCATGGCTTAACAAGCTCTCAAAGGTGTCTCCAAGGTTTTCTGGAAGGCCTAACCCTAAGGCCGTTTACAGGGTTTTGCAGGGTTCTGAAGGGGCTGTTTCGGTCTTATGTGGGTTTAGTATGGTTCAGTTGACCGCGAACCGTGCAGATACTATCCCAATCAGAAAAACCGAGTCACATCGCCATTAAGAGTTGAGGGGGCAGCCACGCACAAGTTGACGGGGAAAAGTGGGGATGCCACTGTGGTGAGCAAGCAGCGCCAAGAACAAGCTGACAGTGAACCGTGGGGATGCTCCGCCGCTATGCCCTTGGCGAACCCCGCCCCTGAACTTATTATCCAGCAAACCAGCAAAAAGAGAACACCCACTTATTGGGTGCTCTCAGGTCCTCTACAAAGAGTCAAGAGGGTTTGAGAGGGTTGGAGGAAGGGTTCGATGGGGTGCTATAGGACTTTATAAGAATTTCTCGACCCTAAAAGTTTTGTAAGGTTTCAGGTCGTTCCGTACGGGCTCTAGCGTCTTTATGAATTCTGTATGGATTCTCATGGTTCTTTACGGATCACTGAAACCCTGAAGCTTCACGAACACACGCGCCTTGCCCCCCAGAGTGCCGTCCAGCAACGTCTTGCCTTTGGTGGCATGGTTCGTCTTCGCAGGGCTGTGTCGACATCGGTTGACTAGGTATGTACCAGCATTAGCTTTTGCGCTGTATTCGTCATTGCTCATGCTGCATTTTTCAAGCCACACCCAGCGTGACATGTGTCCCTGTGATGGCCGAGAGTCTGCGCACAGGCCACTGCTCTTCGTATCAGGGATTGGTTTGCTGCTGCGGAAGTCTATGCGCAAGCTCAGAGAGGCTTCTCCTCACAGCCTCGCCCCTCCAGTCAGTAACACCGGGTGGCCACTGGCAAGGACAGAAATTGCTGTCTGCTTGAAGACGACCTTGACCTTCAGGGCCACAAGCGATGGACTTCACAGTTTCCACTCTGCACTTAGACTCACGCCTCCTTCTTCGTGGTGGCCTGCGGCAGCCTCAGCCACCCACAACAAGTCAGATGGAAGGGGTTTAGTGGATGCTTCTCGCACAAGTGCTTCTTGCCACTCACTCCATCCGCGCTTCGGCATGACACGCTGCCTGATAAGCCAAACAAGAGTGCGGCCTAGCAAACCTTGAAGCCGAACCCTTTTGCTTGAGTTCCAATCATAGCACATCTTTCAGAAAAATACAGCTGCAACTTGAGGCCTAACAAAACTCACTTGTCCTGGTTCCATCTTCAGACAAGGAGGAAATACTGTCTCATGTTAGCCAAGCGAAGTCCAAGTAAATACGGTCCAGCCACTTGATGGCAACTTGAACCTCTTCGCCTGGGCAGGGCTAGATAAAGACGTTTGCGGTGCCTTCAAGTCTCCGCAAGTGCCAAACACTTCAGTCGAGACTGGACAGCGCTGAATCTATGCTGGCTCGAGTTACGCTAGTTCTCAACTGCACATGTCTTGATTACTTGCTTGCTAGGGCTGTCGGGGCAACCAGTGGGGTCCCTCTCTCTCTCCCGCTCTAAAGCTCTCTCTCCACGCTCCCTCTTGCAAACCTCAGCCGCTGCGTACTCTCACGCGCCTTTTTGGCTCCAGGTGTATCCATCCTCGGGCAGCAAAGCTCACATTGCATATGGCATCAATATAGCTGGCGGCGTCTCGGGTGCGAAGCTTGCCAGGGCCCGCTGAATTACGCGTTAGAACTGGGGCCACAAAGCGACAGCACCCCATGAAGCCCTGCGAAGCCTCCTGGGTCTCGACCTCCTCGTCTGCAGAAGGTGCCGAGTCCGAGTCGTAGCCGCCTTTGCCCTGGCCCGGGCCCTGGCCGAGTCGAAGCTTTCGCTGTCATGTCATGACGAGCTTCTGTTCTTTCTGGGGCACTCGCGCCCGACGCCAGGCGAACTTTGGGGGCACTAGCCACACTCACTGAACGAGCTGTGGGCTCCAGGGCTTTGGTGGGATCTTTCCACGCCAAGCCCAGCACAGCCTCTTCCCCGAAAACCGAAGCTTTCCGGATGGATGGCTGCTCCTCTTCCCCATCCTCCTCCTCTTCATCATCATCTGCATCTCAATCATCGTCGCATCAAAACCGACTCAGTCCAGCTGCTTTTGGAATTCCACATCATGGACTGCAAGCCCCACGAGCGCCGGCGAGCCTTGCCACCGCCTTTGCCCTTGCCCATCATGTTCTTGAGCTCCCTCGGACTGGTCTTGAGGCTGCGAGGCCGCCATGGCAGGGAAGGCTAAACTCTGCTTGGCGGCTCGATGTTCATGCCACCTGGGCCGGAGGAGTCCTTCTCGTCCGGCAGCCTTAGCAAAACTAGGGAAGAAGAGCAGTGAGACCGTGCGCGCCCGCATACGAGTGAATCGCGGATAGCAATCGAGCTGGCACCCTAGATGGCACATGTGCTGACAAGGAACGCGCCGAGCTTCTTTTCAAACCTGTCCACAAAAAACTCAGAAGATGTTTGGAAAAGCGACTTTTGGGTTTTGTTCTTTGCGAAAATCACAGACAAGGCCCGGGGTCGGGCTTCATCGTCACGCTTGGTGAATACTCAGAGCACATGGCAGACCTGCGCTTACCACCTGGGGCCCCCCGCCACTCTCTCCTGCCATCGGTCGGGGGATTGAGCCCAATCTTATCCAACCTCAGAGGCATGAGGGTGAAGGTGCTACTAGTACGGAGCTTCGACCTCTGAAGATCGCCGACTGGCTCTAGCCAGTAGCTCTCTCTGGCGAGCCCGAAGTGCGAAGTGCCAGAATCTCTCTTTCCTGTCTTCACTCACAAGTCTGCCAAGCTGCTCGGCCCTGAGGGCGTCGGATGGGGCAACCTGCCAGTGCGAGCTAGCGATTCCGACAACGCACGCGCAGGCTCCGCCCAAATGCAGAGATTCGTAGGGTGCAGCAGACAATCCGAGCTGAAATGCAACAAAAAAAAAAAACGAATCCCAAACTAGCAGCCCGATGCTGGGGTCCATGTGGACCTCCCGGCAGCACGTCCTCAACCCGTTGCTTGGCTCTTTTTTCCTCTTGCCACCAAAACGATGTCAGAGATCCTCCTTTGAGGAAGCATGTTTCGTCATGGTGTAGACCTGGGCACCATTCTTTCTCATGTCCCGGTCTTTCCCATGGCAAACAACCCACAGTCATGAGGCCCAGACGTAGTAATCGTCGTAGCTCAGCTTGTAGCGAACGTCCCAGCCGTAAGTGGAGTTGTCTGGGATTTTCTTACCCGAGATTTGAGAGGGTCTAAACCAAAACACCTCGGGGACAAGTTGTTTAAGCCACCCCGGGTCAAGTTAGATGTTGTGAATGAACTTTCAGCTCCACCGTCACAGCATCCGGTGTTCTGCTTTCTGACCCATTTCTGGCTACATCGACCCCACACCTGGAGCCGGCATCGGGCACCTCGTCATGTTCTCATGCGCCTACCCAACCCATAGCTCGTCGTGAAGCAGACCAAGGCTGAAGCGCCCGAATCTTGGCACAATCTGGCCTCCGATTGAACGCAAGCCTTCAAACGACCCATGTTGCAGTTGGGTCACTGAAGAACTCCTCAGTGTCCAGCTCCTCAGGCTGCCCCAACGATATGGAGATAAAACCTCGGATCAACATCAACACACAGCGACCTTCATTCATGCAAGATTCGCCTGCAGAACCATGCGCCCCCGCTCCTACCGCATGAAACCGAGCACACTTCGCGCAGGTACTGTCACCAGGAAGCGTCCACCCGGGCGCAGAACACGCGAAATCTCCGTAAACATGAGCCGCCACTGGCGATAGGCACCTTGCGAAGTCAACAGGTGCTAGTCGATCTGAGTAGTCGGTGCTGCTCTGCTCAGACTTCGTGCACAGACCCCGTGCTGTTGCCGTGCAAAACTTGATTTAGTTGGATGCGATACACCAATTCTGTCTACACAGCCTACGGCGCTGCACATGACCAACCCCAACCTCTCAGCAACGATAGGCATCGCTTGCTAGGAGCCTAGACGGCCCGTCAAAACAAGCAGTGACATCATGAGCCTCTTGTTTGTGGAACACACAACAAGCAATGCAGGTCAGGTGCCCTCGCCGTCCATCCTGAGTTGGATTGGCATTTGCTTGCCATGTTCCATCAAGCACCGGCATCTTAATCTCGATGCACGTGACATGGGGCCAATGTCCACAGGTAGCCCCAGTGGTAGCCAAGAATCAAAGCTTTCTCTATGACGACGTCAAACCTCGCAGCTCCGCGGGAACAGCAAACAGCTGCTAAAGCGGACAAGCGGTTTAGTCAAAGCGGTCAACTTCTTGGACGGATCGCATTGCATGTGTCCACGACATATTTTTGCTGAATCCTCGTGCCCGCCATCTGACTGTTTTACGTTCCCCCCCTTCCCGGGGGTAGTTGCTAGCGGCCTAGCGGCGACTTGTCCTGGAATTCCGGCATGTTCCGCGCATCTGCCAGGACCCACCTCAGACAGAACGCTTCGTCATGCTACCCCGCGCCTCCGAACCCTGCTTTCATGAAATAGCAGCAAATAGCACAAACCTCCATAAAAAGGGCCCCTGACAAGCAAGTCCGACATCCTCGCCGGCTCCGGAAACGCCGACTATGGCGAGAGACAAGCGGCTTGAGCTTGGGAAACCGACGTTTCTGCAACTCGATGGCCTTCCTCAACTTGCAGCTCCGGCTCTCACAAGACAATTCTTCAACGGCTTTCGGGGGCCTTGCCGATTCCGGCGAGTCCAGAGGCAAAGGTTCAGTTTGTCTACCAGCTCTCAGAAGAGTTTTGCAGAGAAGGTCAGCTCAAAATCATGACCCTTTGGAAGCTTGAAGATAACCACTGCCCTCATCGCGATTGCTCTTACTTGGTCGGCTAGGGGCATGCCTGGCACCCTTACTGGCGCTGAGACGTCATCCTCCATTGAAAAATGCGAACAGCGGCAAGGGCAAGGTAGCGCCCTTTTCTACACCCGACTAGTGCATGAGCAGGCCCGAAGCGTCGTTATGGATGCACCCTTCCAGGGAGTATGTACATGAAGTCCACCCCCCCCCCGGGAAACCCCCAAGAGTCGAGGACAAGTGGCGGGCTGTAGTCTGCAGCCGTCACCTGCTTGAACCCCTGCTTCGCCTGGGAAATCGGGGCTCAGAATCGCAGACTCCAACCTCGGCTCAGAAGCCATGCGGACGGAGCTGCTAAGTCGGCCGGGAGAGCACTGTTTCCGCAGCCGATGACTAATATTTCCTTGGAGCACATCTCGAAGCAGTAAAAAAAAAACAGGGAGCGAGCTTCAACCGTGGAAGGGCCTGGTAACTGCAGTGCTGCCAAAAAACCCCATCAAGCAGCAACGGAGACCTACCTCCTGCCTGCACAGAAGCAATGAACGGCTACAACCACCATTCCTGCTCAGAAGACTCTTCGAAAACAAAGGCTTTGCAAACAACCACGTTGGACTCCAACCCATAAGGACACACGGACAGGCAGAGATGCCCCAGCACACTACCAATGCAGCCAAGCCGTCATCGGTTTTTCGGAGCTTTGGCCCTGCGACATCGCGGCGGAAGTCACGCCAGGAGCCGTACCAGTCCTCGCAACTGGTGCTCGCACAAGTAAGTTGTGGTAGTGCACGACGAGATGTTGGAAGCTGGCGCATGCGTGCTCAACCCGAGAACAGCAACGTGGAATCGGATGCGTGCAAGCAGCATCTAGAATCTAGAGCCTTCCTTTGCGCATGCTGGTCGCAGTCTTGCCGAGGGCTCCCCTTCCCGGCTCCTTTCCACTAGCCGATCGCGGGTCAGCATAGGTCTTCCTCGGAGTTCTGATTTTGAAGCAAGATTGCCTGCCGGAAGTCATCAAGCCTCAAGCTCCAAGTGTCTCCCAGTATTCGTACCGCTGCTTCAGGGACATCTCCAGCTTTCCGTCTCCTGGGACGGTTCACTTGACGGGCGGGGCATGTTACTTTTCGATGCGCAGAAGTTTTGCCTCCCCTATGCACGCAGCAACAAACAAGCTGCGATGGCATGGCTCTTACATCAGAAGCACTACAAACAATGAGAATCCCCCAGACAAATCATGCAAAGCCACTGACTGTATGGCAAACCCCGGTATTGGAGCATTATCCTAAAACCCGAACAAAAATTCCACAGCTGCCAGGCAGCGCGTCTCATCGTGGAAGGCATCCTCCTGGGCCTGGGTCGGATGCAGGAGCAGCCTTGGCAACGATGACCGGGGGCCAGAAACAGAAAACAAAGGACTCTCATGCAGTTCCCGGGAATGTAGGATTCCAACATAGCTTCACCCTGTGCAATCGGAACCCGAGTGGATGCACATCCTGAGATCCAGGCCAACAGAATTGAAGGCTCATGCAAGCTGCAGCCATGCCCGAAGAGCTCCAAGCCGGCGCAGGTAGAAGCATCTTTATAAGAAACAGTCTCTAAACATGGGCCTACTACTATGGTGAGAGGTGCCAGAACTACTGCAGGCATCTCCGGGTATTGTTATACTTCCATATGCTGTCACTCCGAGCTCGTTCTATATCCTGCCGTTGTGCTCGAAGCATAGCGTGGCACACGTGCCTTATGGCGGCAAACGGCAAACGTCGCAAATATTGCTTGGGGTGCCCTAAGGCTTATGGCCAGGATCACAGCTTCAGCCAAGCATGACAGCGGCGGGGCACGCGATGTTCGGAACTGCGGTTAGCAGCATGCCTTCAGACTCTCACAGCAATCCGGAGCACAAGCACCGCCCTGAGTGCAAAGTCAGTACCAACTTCATACTGCCCTACTTGGAAACGGGATGCTCCCCCGACATCTTAACTCATCTCACGCACGAGCCTTCAGCTGATCCGAGACGAGGTCGTAGCGCTGCATAACTGCCTCGACTAGGGACCTGAGCGTGTGACACATGGCCAGCTCTGAGGCTTCGAAGATGGTGCAAACTGTAAACTTTAGGCCGCCTGGGCGTGTCATCGACAGCATGTGCATAGGAACGAATAGGTATGCAGGTATGCATGCATATATATACACAAGTACATTGTGTGTCATTGGTTTAGGGTTCAGGCCGCATCTGGCTGCCACTCGCATGGGTTTAGGGACATCCCGAAAACTTGGAAACAAAACGCAACCTTTTCGGACATCAAGTTCCACGGAAGGGACTCTGGCCTCCACCAACACCGCGTGCAGTACATGGGGACAGGGAAAATCAACATATAGATATCTGTCACTTGTGATTTTGCACACTTGTACATATGCCTGCATAGGCTGCAGCATTTGCGTGCGTACATCTGCATCTACATACTGTGTATGCTTTTCTGTCCTGGTGTCTGGTGATTGCCTTTCTTCTTTCTCTACCTGCTCGTTTTCTGCCTTGTAGTAGTCTTTTTCTTTCTGTTGCTGTATGTTGATGTGCTCTTCACCTTGAACTTTCATCCAAACCTCACGAGCATCCCACGACCCTCTAGCGCTCCGGTTATATATACAAGAACAAGTTCATGAAACAAACATACTATATTATGCCTCCATCTTCTTTGCTGTAATAGACTTAGACACAGCTGGGAGCTCCTGGCAGTCCGGCACGCTGCGCAGATGCTTCGTAAGCAGCCCGGAAGTCCTTGTGCCCTGGCACGGCGACTAGGGAGCCACTGTTGATGAACAAAATCCTGCATTATCCATTATAAGGAATATACCATAGATCCCATAGTTTAGAGTCCTTAAAGTCATGCAGGATTTCGTCCATCAACAGTACGACTGGTCAAGGCAGTTAAGGCTCAGGCCTCAAGGGTTTATGTTCTTTTGAACCCTCTTTTCTCCCCGCCTAAGTTTAGGTTAGTTGAAGGCCACAGGTGGCTAAGGCGTGTACTGGGAAGACAAGGGTTTAGGGTTTAGGGGGCCTTCTGCCCAGGGTGTGGGCTCAGGGCTTGCTGAGGCACTTCAGGCGCGGGGGCGCAGGAACAGTTTGCCTACACAAAACGACTCTGGCATTAAACACCTGACGCCGCAAGACACGTGCATCACTGTATGCTGTATCGCTGCATCACTTGCGGTACCGAGTGGAAGCCCTTCCCGTCACTTGTAGACAACTACTCAGCACCCCGAAGCCGCACGTCACGGGATGCTGGCTGGTCGGTGCATTCGGTGCCTATTTGAGACATAGGCCCGGGGTGGAAGTCGATGCGCTTGCCCGAGGACGAGCTGCCACCGGTCAGCAAGACACCCATACCTAGCACTTCAGTGGCACTACGGTTCAGGGCCCTGTACTCTGCGGCCTGAGGCGAGCTGCACAAGGTATCACAAGATGATGCATGCCGATGGAAACCAGTATGCGACGTCCTTCGAGCACTGATGTGCCTCGAGGGCTTCTTGGCTTGAAGTGACTAGCTGTGAGTCGGGATAACTACTCGACGACCCTCAACACTCCTCCGAAACAAAGGTCTGAAGTTATGGGAACCGGCATGGCTGCTGACACGGAGCAGGTGATGTTGTCTTTAGAGTCCTGGCAAGCTGCATGGGGCCGATTCACGTGCTGCCTTTTCTTGTACTCCAGTACTGACTGTAGCAGCCCAACAGTCAACAGCAGTGCAGGTTCTCCACCCCGCAAGCCATCTTGCAAGAGATGCCTGGAGCTAGACCACAAGAAGCCCGCCGTCTTGCTGCTTGGGCTCGCATTCCACCGCTTTGTGGCAAACGGCTCTTGCAGCCTCCCTCATGTCCTTCCCGGACCCAAGCCTGCAACGCATTTGTTTTACTCAATGATATTGGGTTCTGGGCATTTCTGGCATAAGCTTGACACTGAAGTCGGGAACAAGCTGAGTAGATGCCTAGATGATGGCAGGGTCCAAGACGATCTGTTTGCTTGACAGGTGGCGTGGACGCGACCAGCTTGACAACCTCCGCATTTGGGAAGGTTCCTTCTGAGACACCTGAAACCATTGCCGCAGAACGCTGACAGGCAGATGTGCTTTCCATCAACCAGGACACCTGGCCTAAGGTGCGATGTCTTTCAATTCGGTGGTTTGCTGCAGAGGACGAAGCCAACAAGAAGAGCAACAACGAAAGCATGCTGTTGAGCACATCATGAATTCTAAACATCACTGTAAAGGAGGAAGGCATACTAGCTATACAACATCGAGGCTCCGTACACTAGCATGAACGTCCTGACAAGCTTTCAGATAAGATGACAAAGCGAATCACTCGATAGCTCATGCAAGTCACCGTCGCAGACCAGCAGGAGAAAATCGGACTCATCACACCTTGGCCAGCACCCCAAGATTGAGTTAAGTCTGAACTGTTATACCAGCTTCCCCTACCACATGCCTCCTTCACAATCTTAGAGCAAAGGCAGAACCCACTGCGGCATGGTCAAGTGTTGCAAGAGGAAGATTTTGCGACTGAACCCGGGCAGACCGAAACTGTGACCACCCCCTGCGCGCGACATCACGCGATCTCCAACAACCGACGACAAGACCGAGATAGCCTTTTTTTGTCACCAAAAACACGCGGGATCGGAGCAATCAGTCCAAAGCGGCTCGAAGTGCGACATCTCCGGGTCCACGGTCACCGGACGATCCTGCGAAGCCAAGCACCCTGCAAGACACAAAGTATGACCCACCGAAAAACAGAAACCAGGCTCTTTTCGGTGAAAAGTTCTATGAACGTGAAGTCCTTCAAAAGAAGCCCGACGCCGAGGCCAAGATTTTCATGGCTCGTCCGCCATCTTTCGGCTGATCTTTCGGCTCTCTTCGCTCTTCGGGATGCCACAACCACACTGATGATCACAAGAACTCAAGCGATGCACTTCGAGTGTCCTCCGGGCCAGGTCCACCCGTCATCTTCTCGTCCTGCCGGCTTTCAGGGCATGGAGCGTCTCCAGCCAACTTCGGTGCTGCTAGCCGACGTCAAGCAAGGGCACTCGGCGGCGAAAGTTGCGCGGCTGTTCGAGGCACGTCCCTTTCGGCTCAACACTTTCGCAGACGAAAGTAGCACAGGTGAATCTTGCCATGGCTGTTGTACCATTAATAAACCCTAAACCATCCTAAACCCCTAAAGGCCCCAAAGGGTTGTTTCCATCACCCTGGGACAGAGACTCCCAAACCCACATTTCCCTTACACAGCCTTGTCTCCGAAGCCTCGGCTCACCGACAGGTTGCCATTGACCTGGTAGGCATCTTGGAGTTTCATAACATAAACATAGTAGACACATGACATAGTTTGATATGATAATAGCATGCTGTCATGCAATCCAATAGGGTCAGATGTCATTGCTGTAAATGTTTAGGGCTGAAGGCAAATTGGAATTGCGTGTCCGCAAAACATCTGCGGCCGGGGAATCTCGCAACACAAAACGTTCACCACATGCTCTGTGCTGTGGCAAGGAACACGTGCCACGCCGCCATCTGCAATCTCAACCTAGGCGAGCATGTCTTGTTCGCAAGACTGCAAGACACGTGGCTGGACGGTCATCCTTGGGTTAGACACTGCTTTGCGTTCCTTGCTTCTGCGACAGTCTGCCAAAACATCAGCACCTTCAGAATGCCGGCCTTGCCACCACACCGCTCAATGCGCGCCTGCAAAGTGCAGATTGTTCTGGTAAGGTGGTCACCAAAACAACAAAGTGGTTGCCATCGCTCGGCCTTCTCCGCTGGGTGGTCAGGCTTGTGATCCGTGGTTAATCCTGACCGCTTTCCAGTGCTGGGGGATGGAACACAGTAACTGCGCAAGCATACTGAAGAAAGACCTCAAGGACTGCGCTCCTTTGTCCGTGCCACCACCGTCCACTATGCTGCCATCACGCTTGCCTAGCAGTGTCCGGCTGTCGCCAGCATTGATCACGTGAAGCCGATGCTTTCCACCTGTCGTCGAATGTGTCAGGTGGGCAAACCAGGTCCAGAAACTTGTTGGTTGACGTTGAGCCCTTCGCACGAAAAGCCGGTCAGGTAGCCTGCCTGCTTCTTTGGGCTTTCGCACGATGCACATAGTGGCAGTTGTGCCACTGCTCTGCGCTGAGTCCAGAAATTCCTGGTCAATCTTGATGAACCTGAGTGCTTCATCAACACCTCACACCTCTTGCAACGCCCCTCGGTGTGTCACTTCATACCATTTCGGATCATGCCGGGTTGGACATTCGACACACATGCACCCTATCAAACCAGGCGTCCATGGCTTACCAGGTGACAACAGCGCGGAAGACTGTCGTTGTGTCATCATGCATGTGTACCGGTAGTCGTCAAGCTCGTCAGCAAAACCCTTGTAGGCTCCTCTTGTTCATACCCCTCAAACGTCCGAATATCTCTACGGCGCAGCAAAACTGAGCTGCACTAACTGGGGTGCTGGACAAGGTGCAATTTTTTAACTGCCTCGTCGCTGTCAGGGCATCCATTGGCTTCAATTTCCTCCCGCAGCCTGCCACAACAACACTCACTTCAAAACACACACGGAAATGCGGTACATACGAAGCATAAGGTCGGAAAGACTTGACATAGTTGTCCCTATATTTTTACACCACATATAATCGAAGACTCCCGTCGCTTCAGTTGTGCTCGGCCTTCTTGCAGCGAACTCCGAACAAGCACCTGCTGGCACTGCGAGTCGCGAGGGAGCCGGCGAGTTTGTTCTTCCAATCGTCAGCACCGCTGCCTCCACCATGTCCGTCAAAAACGCCGAAGACCCCCCAGCCCTCACCGAGCCTTGGAGGGAGTTCTGATTGTGGAAAAGCTTCGACTCTTCTAGGGTACCATTCTTGCTGAGTTGTGCTGAGTGGTGCTGAGTGGTAGTGGATTCAGAGCCCAAGCATGCTGGACTCGGCAACGAGGCGACCCTGCAACGAAGTTAAGTTCGACTCTGCTATCACGGGGAAGTATTGACTGGGCCGTGGGTTCTTGGACGATTGTCAATTTTGTCAATTATCAAGCGCCTACATGAAAAGCACGGTAAGCCGTGGCCGGGGTTGCCTGCTATATGCAACAACTCAGGTACGTGGATTCCAATTTCCGAAGAAGGAAAACTCCGATACCGCATCATGTGCTGGGCCCAGGCATGATCAAATGCGCGTCCTCCATGCTGGTACGCCAGCCGTTCCTGAGTGGCGCAGCTATTGCTCAAGAACTCGCAGGGCTGGCTTCAAAATCTCAGGCTTTCCTTGTCACATATTCACAAGGGCTCGAGCCGTTCACGATGTCATACAACATGGCTAAGAGCATGCAGGACCCTCTGGCTGAAAAATTCTGCATGCTGGAACAACCGACCTTGAGTATAACAATGCACTCGAGAACCCGCTGCATGCCGAGTGTCATTTCAGCCACGGCGACATCAAACTCCCCCTGGTGGCACCGGACACGAAATCTTCAGTGCAAACATGGCGAAGATCTGCTAATAGTCGGCTTGTGACTCCGTACAGGAGATGCTGCACCGTGCGAGTGACTCAATGCTTCCAGTGATGCATCCCGCTTGGATGACAAGAGGTCTCGACTCGAGATATTGAAGAGAACGAAAGTCAGCGATTACTGAGCCATTGCCGACTCACGGACTCGTAACACCACTCGTGGTACAGGTGTGCAGGGTTTTCTTTCCACCAGCGTCTTAGCAGCACGAACATCAACCAACCTCAAGCCCCAGATCGATGAATATGCGCTGGTAATACGAGAGCATATCTCTGGTGTCATGTTCTGCCTGCTGGCACCACTGAATTCACACACTTGAAATTTACCAGGTCCTCCATCCTCCATCCAAACCCTCCGATATGATACATCTTGTCATCTTCTAATTATAGGATCCTTAAGGGGGGGTGGTTCAAGGGGGGAGGGTACTAGGGAGATTTGGGGAACCTTAGGGAAGCTTAGGGAGTATTGGGGAATAATGGGGATTACTAGGTTATCTACCCCCCTCCCCTTGGACCACCCGTCTAAGCAATGGAAGCCGCACTCTCAAGTCTGAGTCTCCGTTGCAGCCAAGTAACTGAACATTGGGATTCAACCACTGTTGATTCAACAGCTTTCGGCAGCTGCGCGCCCATTCTGGCTGCAGATCCGAACACCTGACGTGCTTTGCTGCAAGAGTAGAACAGATACGGATGTCTTAACGTATGTGCATGTGTGCATATCCCCAAATATGCAGAACTCAAGTAAGACTGACCAAACGAAACTGAAGCCAGCAATCATGACTTTAGCTGCAGACCTACACCCTCCTTCCTCAAGCTCACGTAACCAGCTGCAGGCTGACGTTGCCAAGAATCAGAACAAAAGTGGCACAAAGCGCAAAGTCAGCCAATGGGGAGGCTCCGAACCGAAACGGCTGAACGAAGCAAGACTTTCTCTGCTCAACTTGCCTGAAAGCGAAAACCAACAACGACAGCTACAAGCAGGCACTCTTCGTCCTTCGATCCTGATCACTGGCTGCCATTGCCAAACCAGAGGAGCTAGAAGGTGAAACAAAGCGCCATGTCCGGAAGGCATGAGCTCATCAGCAGGGGAAGTCCAAAGTGACCGACAGCTGTGCTTCCTCCTCACACTCCCCTTCAGAGAGCGACAGAATAGTTTCCACATCGCTGCCATCCGCTTTCTCCGTGGTGGACGGTGCAACGCCGAGGTGTCTGCTCTCTCTCCTGCCACCCACCGTGACAGGAATGGTGCTGCGAAGAAGCGGTGCGCCTATCCGGAATACTTTTGTCCGTATCTCAGATGCACCCCCCTCTGAAATCGTGCAATGCGCACTTGGGGTAGCCAGACCTTCAGTTGGAACTGGTGCTGAAGCAGGTGCTCCTGCAGACACCGGCATGGCTTTGGCAAGGCCGGCATTGCTTGATTTTCTCGGATACCCTGCAGCTGCCGGTTGCTTTATATCACCATCGATGCTTCGTGGCTCGGTTTCGCCTTGTGCCAAATTCTTCGGCACGGTGGGGTGAGGCATTTCCCCTCTCCCTACCGGATCTTCACCGCCAGAAACGACGTGCACTGCATGCGATGGTGCACCCACCGCAGTACCATCGCCTTTGGACGGTGCTGACGCAACTAGCTGTGGCGACACGTGTGTCTCGTCCAAGACCTGGCCTGTGCTCTTTGCCCGCCGCGATGCTGCAGACTTGGACTCCATATCCGACGAAGCACCTGGGCCCTTGGTCGTGGACACTGCAGGTGCAAGCGAAGCCCCATATCCAGCTGCGCATCCTTGCACGCTATCAACTTTGGGTGATACAGCATATCCAGATCCTTGCGCGTTGTCCCGTTTGGGCGAAGGCAGTGGCTTGCGAAGATCTGCTTCCAAAAGATCTGCAACTCCCAAGGCGCCTGCGAGCCTAGCCCTGCTCGACATGGCGCAATTTGCAATTCTTGGAACCACTCATAGCTGAAACATGAAGCCACTGTGCCGTCTGGTAACGGCACATAACGGAGCATGTCCTATGGTACCCGGGAAACCACCTCAGTACTGTGTTCAAATCCTCACGAAAACTCACGAACAAATCCAATCCGGTTGCAAGTCAAACACATTGCATGTAAGCACGTCACATCGTCAGAGAGGCGTGTCCGGAAACGACCGTGGGTCACAGTCAGAAAGCAACTACGACAAGCATGCTGGTTTGTCAACCACCACGAACAAACCAAGAACACCCAAACAAACAAACCAACACCCACAACAAAGTCTGCAACCATGCATGCTATCAACAACACACTAAAACCAAATCACTGAGTTCGGAACCAAGCATGTCGCACATCATGTCAACGGAACCGGTATGTACAAACCGGATTCACAAACTCGCGCTCAGAAATATGCTGTCACATCTCACATGCTTCTGCGGCTATGCACACATCCGCCACGAAATCAATGTTGTTCCTGATGTCACGGCATGTGTTGACATCTCCATCTGTGGACAATAAGACATGCAAAGATAATGGATGTCGAGACCGGCTGGCCCACCTTTGTCGCAAAAAATTGTGTGCAGGGCAGTCAAACAAAGCATGCGAAAAAGAGTCAACGCTGCGGGCACAGAAACGGCAAGGGCAGTTGATCAAATAAGCACTAAGTGATGTCTGGCTGCATGGCCATCAGCAAAACGGTGATGGCCGCAACGTGCCCACCCCCAATATCGCGCTCGATGTGTTGCAACTGCGGGTCCATAGACAGCACGGTGCAAGGCGGGCCTGGGTTGATTTTTTCTTTGTTTTTTGTTTTTTGTTTTTTTTTGACGCAACGCACCTTTTTCCGCCGGCCGGAAGGAGTCTTCTGGTTCTTAGGACCTACTGGGCCGAGGCGCAGGGCTTGCCGCGGACAAGCGGCTCTGGCCCTCTGGGGCGGCAAGCTGGAGGACTCCGTCGAGCGGCGGGCCTTCGCCGGCCTCCGGTTGCAGCGGTTGCAGCCAGGCGCCGCCCAAGGCCGTACTGGCGACTGCCTGCTGCACCGCAACTGAGAGCAGGCTCCAGCCCATCCCGCGGTGGCGGCCGCGCGTACGGCTGGGGGGGCGCGGTATGCCTTCACACGCACCAGGTCTCGCACCACGACGAGCGTCTGCGGCCCGCCGGGCGTAAGTTCCGGGTACGCGGCGTGCTTGCGGCGCTCGGCCACTCGCAGTACGGCCACGTCCACGGCCGCTGCGCATGGCTGTGGGTGCCCCGAGCGTGTGAGTGGGGACACCAAAGTCGCGTCGCAGCACTGCTGCTCCTCCGCTGCGCAGGGCCCCGTACACGACGAGGTCGAGCCTGCGACGGTCCTGCACTCCGACATGCGGGGCGGTGGTGTGGGCCAACCATTGTTGTGGGACGACTTGCCCTTCCGATCCCAGCGCTTCTCGCGCAACCCGCACCCACGCCCGTTCCACGATCTTCGCCCGCCTGGCGAGGAAGCCTGTGCGTGGGCACGCGAGCGCATGATCGCCGAAGCAGTCAACGAGGCCCCCGCAGCCGTGGGGTTGCCCGCAGGTGTTGCTGTGCAGGGGCAGAGATTGTCGCAGGCGGCGCCTCAAAGCGATCTGCATGGCGGGCGGTGGGAGCGTGGTGGCCGGCTCAGTCGGGATCGCAGCGAGCCAGGCGCCCGCTTGCGGTCCGGACGCAGGAGTGCTTGGGAACTGGGCCTGGGTTGCCAACAGGCCTACTGCTGGAAGGAGCTGCATTCTAGAAGCATAATGGCGGTCGGCATGCCAGATAAACGACCTCTTCACGGTGCGAAGCCAAGGCTTAATCGAAGTTTTTTTTTTACACCTGCATGGTTTGCAGGGCTACCGAAGTGGATACTGTGAGCATGGGGAGGCGGAGCTCCGAGCAAGGAGAGCTCGCCCAATACTTCACGGACTCACGATAGAGGCTGGTTCAATGCAAATTTTGCTAGCTGCGCCGCAAAGCAATGAAGAGGGAGGCAAAGCAAACTGCGCAAAGGCCTGCTGCTTGAGAGAGGCGCAAGGTGTCGGTATCATGCCAACCAAGTTGGCCCGGGACAGCCAGCCAAGTAAGCAACCGTGGACTCCAATTTTTTTTCGAGCTTGAAACCGGCGAACTTGAGCACTTTGGGGCACCTCCAACACGAAACATGCAGACGGTCGCACGTAGGCATGGAAAATGCGCTCCACGAGGAAAAATGGCAAAGTGGTTGACGGTGTCCATGAAACAGAGGCACCTAACTTACGCTCACCCCGGCATAAAAGCTCGTCGATGTGTTGCGTCCACCCCAAGCGTTCATGGAGACTGATCCTTGAGTACGTGTACGTGCTGACACGTGGAAGGACATGCTCACCGTGCTGTGCGCCAGCACGGCTTCGCCCAAACACAACCAATGCTGACGTGGAACCTCCAAGCATTGCCCCAGTCACGAGCTGCATCAAGTCCCCGTTGTAGGTCAGCAGGGCTTTCCCTCAAAATGACGATGTCATCGGCATACAACAAAACCTTGGTGCGCCGCGGTCAGAGCCGCATAACACACCCCCACAAGCACGCTTACTGGCGGCCGCAAGCCCGTTGATGAGTAAATTGAAGAGGAAGCCACTCAAAACAGCACCTTGCCCTACCCCACTTTCCACATCCCACGAGTTAGAAGCACATGATCCGATAATATCCGATACATACCGCAGCGGTTCGGTCACTCACGAAACCATCAACCAAATGCCACATGTGAGTGGGCATGCCCGCCCTATACAAATTTGGAACTGCACCATCGCGCCAGGCTACATCGAAAGCTTTGCGGATGTCAAAAAATGCGCAGAAAGTTCAGGAGTTCCTGGGTAATCGAAGGGTTCTCTACAACGTATAGAATTGGACATCAGATCCCCAGCGAAATCTTGCTGGAAGGGTCGAGCTGCAAGTCTACTGCCGGTCTAATGCGGTTTGAACTGGGCTTGAAACCATCCCTTCCAATCTTTGTGCAAAGCATGAATTTTCTTGTTCCACGCACTTTTCCGATTGCAAGAAGAACCGGTAGCTACGACAGTCCTACGGCATCACATTACTAATACTACGCGCAGCTCTGGTCCAGGGCCGCAAGGGCATGCGGCTGGGCGCCTCGTCAGCGGCGACGTCGAGCACACGGTCCAGTGCTGGGCCGTCGCCCGGCCACGAGGGTTCCAATGCTGTGTTGGCAACGGCGAGCTGGACCGCGACTGACAAGGCTCCCGGCGCCACGCGCCGTGCGGAGCGCGGACAGCTCGGAGGCGGATGAGGTTTTGAAGGAAGTGCTGCGCTGTTGCGTTCCTGGCCGCCCCTCGCGAGCTCCGGGTAGGTGCTATGCTTGCGCCGCTCCGCGACCTTCAGTGCAGCTCCGCCCGATGCGGGTGCCCTGTCCTCCTGAAGGGGGATCCCAGCGTTGCGTCGCACAGCGCCCCGCCATGGGTTGTGGCGCTGTAGAACAAAAGGTATACAAGGTCGAAGCGCCTACGGTCCTTGGTTGGGACGCCGGGGGCAGTTGTATTCGCGAGCCACTGCTGTGGCACGACCTGGCCTTCAGGTCCTACGACATCGCCCGCCGTGCGGACCCAGGCGCGCTCTGTCACTTTCGCACGTCTAGCCAACAAGCCCGTCCGCGAGCAAGCTAGGACATGGTCGCCTCAGGGGTCCATAGCTCCACCACATCCAGCGCTGGGACCGCAGCGGCTGGGGCAAAGAGGCAAGGGCACGCGAAGGCGTCGCCTCAACGCAATTTGCATGCCTTGTGGCGGGATGCTTGTTGCCTGGTCGCACGGCACAGAGGTGAGCCTCGCTCCGGCATGCGGCCCTACCGGGGAGCGGTGCAGTGCGCGCGAACTGGGCGGCAAGGAAGGCAGAAACATCCGCGATGCGCGGTGCTGCTAGCACTGCGGCCAGTTCCCGGCACCAGGGGCCGCTGGTTGGGCAGGACGGGCTCCTTCGAGCAGCATACGCCATGTCGGGCAATCGCTCCATCCTTGGTCTTGCAAGGTTCGGCGTGCGTTACCTGCTTCTCCAATTATGGGCCGATAATCATTACGCTCAGTGGCACTGATGTCTCTGGCCATTGGGACCACCACCCCATGCTTCCGAATGGACGGCATACAACTAGACAACCTGCATAGTTCAAGAAAGTTGAGAACGGCATGTTACCATCACGAAATGTCGACACATAGTGCTCGCATTCCTAGCAGCATCGCATCAACGCGAACATTATTTCACCAAGTCGGTTGTTCCCAAGTGCCGTCTCATGAACATCGGTACAACTTCGGATCCGCATTCAGAAAGTCATAGTACAAGTCATCTAAAACTAATCGTTGATTGGTGGTGGCGTGGCGCGCCAAGTCTGATACATACGCTCGTACATGCGCGGACCAATGTTGCACATCCTGCATCTGAGCCTGAATCAGCACTGAGGTCGATTCTGGGTAGTGCAATACACCGACAAATTAATTCTTTTCCACTCTGGTCAAGAGGCGGCCGCGGCTTTCTTCTGCACGCTTGCATCTGCATTTGCAGCCACGACGACAACGAATACTGCTGTTACTACTGCATGCGGCTGTTCATGTAGCAAATAGAAACATGGCATAATGGAAATGCGAATAATGAGGTGACTGCAGCGTCGCTCAGAACATAATATAAATATATATATATATATATGTGTGTGTATATATAGTCTTCCTCCCGACTCGGCAAGATGGCGCTCCAAGCCTGCTCCCGTTCGTCCGCCTTTCCGCGGGCGCACAGAAAAATATTGTTGGTGGGATGACCAAGGGAACCGGTGAGAACTGCATCAAGCGGAACGTCGCGAGCACGTGGGCCACCGGCGCTCCATGCCGTCGGTCAATACGCCGTGCTGCGCGCATGAACGAACATGTTTTCGCATCCTTATGACGTAGATGACAGCGCTGGCGAGGTCGACGCTCTCTG